GATTTAAAATTTGGGCGTGTTGGACGCTTTTCGGTAGATATTCCAGAGAATGACCATTTAGAACGCATGAGAATTAATGTCTTATTTTATCAAATGGTAGATGTTGGATCAACCGTTAGTATTAACGAGACTTATATGACATGTTGTAATAACATAGGAAACGGATATCTTTGATTTACACCTATGCCAATTATATTGAAATGTAAACATTCATAATTAACTTAATAAATTCAAACTTATAAATTCTCCCAGGGCTACCAATGTTCCAGACAAGGATATTCTTGACCTTGGTGACGAGGATATGAGTTTCGATCAAGATGCTCCGTCTCAGTTGCCAACATCCCTGGAAGTTGTCACTTTCAGGAGTGGTATGGAATGCCCGGCATGCCCTGACAAGGAGATGTTTGTAAATGTACAAGCTTTTGACAGGCACTGGTTAATGCGCCATACACGGCACCTGACAACATTCTTCTGCCCCGTAAGGGAGTGCCGATCAGTTTACAACAGGTTCGCTGACCTGACCCGTCACTATGGGGTGGTGCACGCCGGACGTAAAGGGAATCCGGCCAACCCCATGCAGGTCTGCAGAAGAGCTCGGACAAAGGTGATGGTGAATAGATGCTTTGTCGACCCAGGCAATCTTGTCTTTCAAACTAACTCAGCAAAGAAGAGCACAACGAAGAACGTAACTGGGAAGAAGATACGATCACAGGTTACCCAGGTACCTGCAACCGTGAAACCTGGAGATCATATACCCAAAGCTGAGCATAAGTTCAGCACTGGAGAGGCAGTTCCGGCCACAGAGCCGAGATCCAACCAGATGGCGGACCAGTCCACGCAGTGGGAGGTGGCTTATGACAGGGCCCAACTGGATATTCAGATGCTCAGGCAGGAAGTCGAGCATCTGCAACGACGTCTAGCCAAGGCAACGCCCTCATGGCCTACTGCAGCTGACATCCCGCGGTCACGACCAGCTCTGGACATCTTCATCAATTCTGGCAGGGAGGCCCTGTCAGTTCTTCACATGGCCGAAGACCAGAGGTTCATGGAACAGCTGAACCTGCGCCATCAAGCTGATGCGTACATCCTGAACATGCAGAAGTGAGACAGTGTATCTGTTGAACTCTGGGATTGTCTCTCAGACTGTGATATTGGACTTAAAATGTTTTATTCTTCTGTATTTTAATTCATGGATGTTCTTGTGGAAATGTAAGTGAATAAGTAAGTATACTGGTATGTAACAGGTATATACTAAAATTTATGTTTCACTATGTCAAATAGGAAAGGTATTAGACGAATATTCCGTGATATTATATTGTTGTGTAATATCAATTGTATTGACACATATCCACTATGATTAGATTGTTGTTTAACCCTCTGGATGCCGAGTTTTTTTTCTGACGCACATTTTTTTAAGATCGGAAAAGTGAAGGTTGTGCGAGAATTGCGCTCACGCGGCACTGGATCTACCTCTGGCTATAAAATTACGCAGAGGTGGAGAATATTAAATTTCTTATTTGATAGTGAAAATTTAACTGTAAATATCAAACCGGTTTTTAAGAAAGACACTCCTAAGTGTTGTCCGAGAATTTTTTCTGCGTTGAAAAACAGTAAATTTCTCTGCTTTTTATCGTACACCGATAAAAGTACTGTGCGACAATTTTTTTTATTAAGAAGCTTTACGGAAACTGTGAGCGAACAAAATACTGCCTAATATCTGAACGACATAACTACATATCAAATGGAGTTATATGCGTATGTATAACGACATACATTCAATTCCAAAAATAGCATGCCGTAAATGACGAAAACTGATTTTTCTCTATGACGTCAAAAGGTGACAGAGAGGTTACACACGTACAAAGAAAAGGGTCATAACTCCGCTATGCTTAGCTCTAGTTTATTGTAACTCAGGTCACTTGATGAGAATTAGCCGTGGGTAAGGATAATATATTTCGTGGTGTTTTGTTCACGAGGAACTAAACTATTCCAACACAAATATCGATAAAGAAACTGTATACGTTTAGTTGTAAAAAAGACCCATAAGAAATCATGAAATCGTGCTTCATAAAAAAAAGGTAATAGAGAAATGGATGGCCATATCTAACCTCTAACTTAGTCCTTAGATTCCAACATTCTCCTGAATGTGTAAGTGTAATTTGACTAATGTTGCATCATTATTAATGGAGCACTAGCCTTATCATCAAATGTTATGAAATACCCTAAAAATAACACCATTCCTTTTGACGTCATGGCTGGTTTTATGTCTTTGATAACGTCGGAAAAAGACAACACTGGTATTTTGATTAATATATATCTCCCCTAATTATCGTTCATGGTATGGAAAATCTCGATGTGTGGAACGGAATTTGATGCTTTTTCGACACAACATAAAATGACTGCTTTCACCAATTAAATAATGTCTTGAATATGTAAACAATTAGCTAGTTTATCGTGTGTCTTAATTAGACAAGACACGCACCTGTTTGGCATCAATTTACGTAATGAAATACCCAAAAGAATGTTTCAAAACAACCAAAATTATATTCAATATTGGACATATATTTGTTCATGATTATATTAGTTTTTCTTACACAATAAAAGATGCGAAGAAAGCTCTATTGGTAAAGAAATATCAGGATAAGCGTATACGTTTGAACCAACTGGGTACCTGGCATGGGTTATATTTTTATACATTTTACAATTCCTGGAGAAATAAAGTAAACTGTTTACTATCTTGTGATCACAATATTGAAAAAAGAATGAAACCATTGATTATGTAATGCAAAACGAGAGGAATAATTCGTAAATTGTTTGTGACTAACGCGCACCTGGCGAATCGTTAGATATCACTGTTCTCTGTATCCAACGACATAAAAGACTAATCCAAGACCAAGACATTTCAGAAATGTGTGCATATATTTTACCGAAAAATATTATCCATTTTGTTAAAGTAATATATTCAGTTTTAGTTATAAAATAAAATGAAACGGCTATTCATGGACATTGGTTATATGAACTTATAATATTGACTTATTACACATCCAAAGAAATACGTACATGCTGCAGTTACATTTACACTTCATCTTGTAACACTTGTCCAAAGGAAAGAAATATCGTAGTGGACACTATAAACCTATCACATTGTTATGTAAACAATGTTCAAACAAACAGGAGATTATCAAAGGTTCGTTCATACATGTTGTGGCCTATATGTACGTATGATTCATTTTGAACATTGACAAATATCCAAAGTGAAATGAATTGTGTGAAAAAATGTATAAAAGACATGCAAAATATACACCATAACTGAAACTGTAAATAGCATGATACAGTGATCGTGTGCACTCTCATTCAAGGACCTTCACCTCTAAGAAATTACCAAATATGTACAACAATGTTGACGTATGACATCACTACCTGTGACCCACTTTTACAAAATAGCGTATTCACTGTCAACAGTACGCAGGATTGTACGAGGGAACTTTCGTTGATTCAGGGATCGTAGAAACATAAATGTGACATGTAAGTAATCAGAAACATTCTAAAAATCTATGTACTGTTATTTGTTGTCATAATTTTCATTGAAACAATCGGAAATAGTCAGAAATTCCGTTAAATACCGTTGTCATTTTGCGTCAGTCATGGCGTCAACCAGAACGGTAATTTTGACAACTTCTGTTGAAAATATCAAATCATTGCAATGTATCTATTTGAAGTTCCCTAATTCTTCCTACGATTCTCTTCCCATGCATATTCTGAAAATGTTGAGCCAATATCTTGAACGAATAGACGAATGGGTAGCTCAAAATAGGAGAAAATGCTACACTGTGTAAAATCTGAATTTTGCTTTGTTTACATTTCAACCATGTGCAGTTTTTCGAGCACAGCGTTCGTTTTCACTCCTTACTTATTTTGCTTGATTTCATCTAGCCACTTTGTATTGGTGACAAAGATCACTGGTCATTTGATTCTAAAATGTATGAGGAATTCAAGGATGTAGGTATCGCAGATAAGTTTGAAATATACGTGATGTTACAGGCGTCTCATAACCGGTGTACCTGAAACGTGATTTTGTAAACACTATCCAATATGGCGGAAAGTTCACTTCGGCGTTCGTGTTTTCGTTTTTTCCAAAACATTCTAAACGATTCTAGGGTTATCGGAGACGTTTTGGAATGATCATTGGTGATTTCATAAAAGACAGATACCCGTGATCACTAATATGCTATTTTTGAAATTCATTTCTCCGAATAAATACCCGAAATTTAGATTTCAAAACATGCTGTAAATAACGCCGTGAGTGGTGATTTAGTAATGTGTAAAAAATGGCGACATTTACGATGTACCTAATTTTCAGAGGTCATGTTCAGTACTTTTGCTTGGCCTAAAACACCAGTGGATGATATCACAGAACAGGGAATTTCCCACCTTATTTAAAACTGTAAAGTGTAGTTGTGTGGGTGATGTATTTTGAATTTTATTTGACTTCAAAGTGAGGGTTGTAGAGGAGGGACATATATGTCCCTCTGGCATCCAGGGGGTAACTCGCGGTCGAGTTACATTTTAAAACGGGGAATATTGTAATGTACAAGCCTTTTGTACATTTCGGTCAGTAGACAGTGAGATGAATCATATTGTATATGTTGTATGTGATACAGCATACCGTAAAGATATACGTTATTGCTACATGAATTAACGTATATCACCACTGGTCTTACTGACTGTTTGTTTAATGTGCAAAAACAAAATGTGAACACGTTCTAAATCACCTGTATCGATTTGGCAACGTGATAGTTCGTGTGACGTCACCTATATTCGTGAGTCTGTTCAACGAAACTACTTCTTGTAGCATAATGGCTTAAATCAGCCTTGTATGGCTACAAAAGTGCATCTAGTCCATCTAAATGCATTGTATATTACTACACAGCCGTGACTCGAAGTAAAATAACTTCTGTCACTGGTGGAGTGCAATTTCCCACGTTCCACCGACCGTATCCTCGTGCGAGAGACTACTTCCGGTATGACGTCACTTTGTTGACAGTTTGATCGGTTGTAGATTTTCTGATACGAGAGTGAAAGCCGGTTCGAGCCGAGATATGTGAGTTGACATTCAAGTATTTTATATTTATTGTACATCTTCCTAACTGAATGAAATACTGAAAAGAATAATTATATTCTTGTAGATTAATAAATCTTATTGTGCAATTCTTAATTGTGAAATTATTCTTACAAAATTAAATAATTAAAACTGTGTGGTTGGTGGTATTGGGAGTGATCCACAATTCGCTACCAGAGCTGTACCCCAATACCCACCCCCTGAACCGTTACACAGGGATTTGTGTTTGTTTACGGTATTCTATAGGATATGTAACTGTTCCATGGCACTGGTTATTTGACTACTCACTAATCTACTTCCTGTATTTCATTTCATTGTACTTGCGACCACCAACAGAAACATGTTCCTACCTCGTACGTTACAGCATGTAGCGATTGGAATTCATCAAAATGAGATTAAAGTCATATCGTTTCAACAAAATCAGTTAATAGTAGTTGCGATTGTATCTTAGAAATTTATCAAAATGAGATCAATGCCATGTGTTGATATTTCTAAATGATACACGGAATTTCGGATATATGAAAATAACTAAGGGTGTGTGATAAACTGTTTGTGACAGTGAAGGAAAGTGCATGTGTACATGCAGTATATCTGTATGTGTTATCTCTACAGGCTGTGTATGAACAGCACTGCAAGTCGTGTAAAATAGGCTGCCTCCCATATCGGGCAGAGAGGATGATCTGTTCCGTGTGCAGTCGGGCGATATCTAACCGATTATTATTTATTTAAGTTGGCAGCTTAGATTAGATTAAGTCGGTGCAAATATTTTGCTCGATTATATAGATTAAAAAGATTCCATGTATAGGGAGCTAAGGTGTAGAAGTGGATAATCCAGTAAAATTATGATAACAGGTACTTTACGATACTTTCAAATCAAGAGTATGAATGAATGAATGAATGAATGAATTAATTAATGAATGAATTTCCTCCAGAGTTGAATCCGAAGATTTTACATAGGCAAATACATTATTTACAATACATGAATGAAATTACTTGACAATATACATCAGAATCATGTTATACAGTGCTATGAATAAACAATTTACAATGTACATTTTGAGAGCAGTAAGGTATCTAGTGGATATACATAAGGTACTAGCATTTCTTCAAATTCCCAAAAAGGGTCAGAAAGACAGCATGCTTTGCTAAGTATCGTAATCAATTTCGTCAGTCAAGCCATGAACATCTGAATGAAAGAATGAAAGCATATCATCATCGTCAAGCATATCTATTTTCACATATACATCAACATCAAGTTTATCAATCAGGTATGAGAAGAAATGATTTCTGTCAGTAATAAAATGTATCACATTGCAAAATAATATGGCAATCATAGTCATAGCAATGTCTATTACAATGGTTGCATTCTTTCGACACTTTTGCTCTTGATCCGATTTTAATACAAAGTTACAGGGGTTGTCTTAAATGTTGATATAGATGCATTACATTATAAAGAACATGCATTTGTAATCATTTATGAATTGTATGATACCGTGAAAGATCTGGTCTCTGTGCTAGTCTCTCTCTACATATGTACTGTTCATTCTCTGATAGACGTCTGATTACAAGAGATCGCCAAGCCGATTTAGTTGGGAATGAACCACTATCAGTATAGTCTTTAATATAGTTGTCTAAATGATAATGTTTAGCAGTATGTAGAAGGATGCTGCATATGCTTACTGGAGGCTAATATTGACAATAGCGTTGGTAGCAATGTGAGCACAAAATAGATCTTTTGTTATTGAGTTACCATCGTTATTGCAGATCCTTCTTAATAATTGTAGTCTACATTTATCAATGTAGCCATTCATTGGCTACATTCCAAAGTTAGAAATATGCGAATCGGTTGGATGTCTTTAACCAAATCCTTGTATATGGCGAGCACAGTAGCGTTGTGTACATTCAACCATTTTAAGTTCTTTACCGTATAAGGCTGGTGACAATTTACATTCATAAAAACTTGTAGATAAAATCGCTCTTTTCCATATATTGACACATGCAACTGGGTGGAGGTCGGAATCGTTAAGGCCGAGTGATCGTAGTGAATTAACACATTTTTTGCTTTTGAGCAACACGTCATGATTCTTTCTTTACAAGATAAATTACTGTTTATGATTATTCGGAGGTGTCAATTGTTGCATCGCCAAACTTGTAGATTACTTTATTATGGCGTGTTTTGCAGAATACAAATGATTTACACGTTGAGGCATTATAGGTGAGTCTCCACTTGTTGGCATATAAACGAACTGAATCAAGTGAAGACTGTAAGGCCCCGTGGGGTTGTAGAGAGAGAGTTGTGTCATCGGTCAATAAATAACAGGGTATGTAGATGCCATAAACAGAGAGGCAATCGTTCGCTTTCCTTAGTTCACATATAAGATCATTGCTACGGGGTTGAGGTCTTTATTGCGATGCCTTGTATTAGGAGATCAAAGACTTAAAACACCCCGAAACACATAATTACATAATAAATAATAGGTACAACATTATCATCAACGCTACGTACATATACATAGCATTGGCTTATCACAAGTAGGTATTTCATATCAGTCATCCATTAAAACACCAGAGAGACTGTGCGCTTAACGCTCATACTAGAGCATATACTGCAATAAACATGCAACACAGTACTGACATCCAAGGGAGATAACTCCTTGACTTGTTTATTGGTTATATAATATATACACAAAATAGAGATTATAGCAATTTAACTCGTCTGATTTAATATTATATCTTTATTTTTTGCTGGTCTGAGCAGCCCTGTCAGTTCGTGTGCTGAGTATGCAGTGTAATCAAAGCATGTGGTTTAACATCATGGGTGTGGATATTTCGACGTGGAGAGCACGAATTGGGACATTTAACAGTATTGTTGTTGATGAATATGACTCACGTCGCGCTGGTCATGGATGAATGACTTGATGTTTGTTTTTAACCTCATTTACCTGGAACCTTGTTGAATCTCCACTCTCTAGCCTCCGTCACTGATGGTGCTGTTAAATCATCGTTGCTGAGTCCACCATGTCCAAGCAGCGTCGCTACGGCTATTTCCGGTGTCCTGACTGCAACAGTCACTGGGAGAGTTCCCATGTCTACTGCTACGGTTTCACGGTAGGCTGCTGGTTGTTTGGGCGCCTAGTTATGATTTAATTACAATGTTCACGCCGCTATGTTGGATTTCTTTACGGCACACGCCGCAGGAGTGTTGTAATGAATTAAAAATGTCAAAAATGCTTTAAACTTACTTGTTCGGGTAAATAAACAACATTCGATTACAGCTTTTATCATATCCTTATACACTCTTTTGTATGTGTTTGTATGTCAGTTTTTAGTAGTAATGCAATGAAACCCCTTTGACCCGTTCTAATCATCCGGATTATCAATGTCCTTTATCTGGAGACGTTAGTCACAGCAATTACATTTTTTATGCATACATTTTTCCCTTTCCTTTCATAATTTCCATTGACTATTGCAAAACTTCATAGAATCCTGCGTCAGCGTATAAATATAAGCAACAAAACCCTTTCCATGAAGCAGTATTAATGAATACGTACAAACGTTTGCGTCATAACTTAGAGCACCGAACCGTGAAGTTCATGGAAGTCGGTTAGTATCTGCGTGTTATTGTGAACGAGAGACAATACAATACTGTTTGTTAACACGCCAATGAAATTCAGTAGGGGAATATCCTACTTCTACTTTCGTTTTCCATCTATTCTCACATAACCTGTATATGGGTGTAAACATACTCTATATATGGCTTGTAAACTGATAGATATGCTTCCTGGAAAACAACGCACAAACATGGCAGTGTGTCCAGGTGTCTTGTAAAGTGTAGAGTTTGTGTCTCTATATTCCTAAAGTACGCCTTTAGGGTTTGTGGGGTGTACGGTTGTGTGTGTCTGATTGTGTTCCTTGGTTGATCAGTACCCTACCCGTAAAGTGATAACAGCCACCGCCACCAATTTGATCTTCTCCCACATTGAAAAGGATTTTTTTAATGGCGGACAATGTACGCTCTTTAAAAAAAGAAATGCACAGGTAGATTGTTAGTAAGTTTATTGTACCTGATAAAGTTGCTATATTTAATCTAATATCATAGATATAAATGTGACATTTGGAGCTCGATAGTCACATGTTGTCGTTGTACATAGGCATTGAAGTGGCGTGCAACGGAAAAATGCGATTTCCTCTTTGGATACGTCCTATAGCGATGTTCCGATCGGCAGCGCTGAGTCTCCGCATTTTCGAACTTGAAAAATGTTGACAATTGAATGACAAATTATTGGCTTATTCTTGCCTTTTTATAGCCACTACCTAGAATTACGAATGCCATGACTTGCACGTGCATTTTGATTTACTGTTTCTGCCATGACATTTTGGAACAAGTGTGAAAACAATGCCGTTTTAGACATTGCAAATCGACAATGGCTGCGTTTTTACGCACCGTTTGTCGAATATCAGGTCACCAACATTTTCCAATAACATATATCCAGTTTATATCCCGGATGTTTTGTGTATTCAGGTTCAATGAACAACGTACTACCTGTGCGTTTCTTTTTTTGAAGAGTGTACATATAGTGTTTAATAACAGCGCTAAATCCAACTCACTCCCTCTTATTTGTCCACTCCAGCCGCTGTACGAGCAGGACTGCAAGTCATGTGACACCTCCTGTCTACCCTACCGTGTAGAGAAACTCATCTGCTCCGTATGCAAAAAACATAATTGCACATGTACAAAAGAAGACCGAAAAAAGAGGAACATCGACCCCAACAAACCACACCGATCTGACCTCTGTCACAAGTGCCAGTCAGGCGACCCCTGTTAGCTTCTGAACGGCCTCAGGACGTCGAGAGACAGGGGACCAGTAATAACTGTGAAATGAACTCCTGTAGTATGATTGATATTTCAGCTTTTTGTACTTTTTGTACTTTTGTACTTTTGTATTATTTACACGTTACACATTGTAATGAACAAAAATAAGGGAACACTGCTGTTTACAATAAAACAACGGCATGCTGCAAATTATGTTACAGGGGAATATTCCCCCTTATGGTGTGTTGAATTCATTGCCAAATGGTATCTTTAGGCATTCTTCTACGGTTCCCTTATATTTGTCCACAGTATATACACACTCTCATCAGCCGCTGGTTGTTAACTGTATTCCGTTTCCAGGACCTTTACAAAATATATCTTTCCTACCTACGTTGATTATCCAACAAGACCTTGTTTCTGTGTGATATTCTTGAAATCATTCCATGATTAAATCTTAAAGTACACAGCGGCTTTTTCTTCACTTTAACGAACACTGAAGATCTGGGAAGTTCCACGATCAGGTATGGTCTAAAACCGTTCATTGTCATCTACAAAGATAGCAAGCCATCATCAATCAAATTATTAGTGTGATGGAAGAATACGGTGGACAAGGCATATATATGAATGATGTTTCTGCAGTTGCTGATACTACCTTACAGTTACGAAATGTCTTTTTGTGAATTAACTGGTAGGAATGTAAATGTGAAAAACACAAAGGTTATGGTGTTTCTTGTAAGCGGTCATATGCGTCTCTATGAGAATTGGTATCTTCATGGCCAGAAGCTTGAGGTGGTGTCATTTTATAGAAATTAAGGTAAAGTATTTACACCCAGACTAGTCTGGACTAAAGAGCAGCCCTGCCTTGCATCAGAAGCAATATTTTTGGCATACTATATGGCAATACTATATGGCAATATTTTTGTATTGATCTTTTCATGATCTTTGGTCCAATGGTGACATCATAATATACTATCAGTCAGAAACTTGGGGAATAATATTTTGTAAAACTGCTGAAACTGTTCAGATAAAAATGTGCAAATATTTCCTGAAAGACAGTGAAACTACATGCAATAATGTGGTACTGGGTGTAAGTGGTAGAGCTTCAACTTACATACATATCACGGGCCGTTAAGTATTGGTGTAGCTTTATCGCTCTGGATAGAAATAGGCTGCCTCATCAATGTTATGTAATGTTAAAATCTCTTGATGATGCTGGCAGTCACATGGGCTACACATATCAAACATATCACATTTCAATTTGGGTTTGGTTTTGTATGGATAAGCTGGGATGTTGGGATTATAACCATTTTTATCAGATTTTTTAAGATAAGACTTGTTGATAATCCCCAACCAAACTGGTATATATTTACCTTTTTGCAAGTAGATTCAGATGGACTGATGTGAAGCTCAAGCTCCTTTTTAACGGATTGCCGAGTCCATCGACGTGTCTTAGAAAACACATTTCTGAAATCTGACCGTGGTACCGAATCTAAACGACTTATAGTATACAGCAATTTATTGTTTTTTGTTTGTTTAAGAAGTGTGGAGTATAAAATTTCAAAATGAACCAGTAACACGAGCAGACAATATGTATAGTACAGTATTGCTCCAGTATCCTAAAGTATCATGTCAGTATGACACCGAGAACCGGTAGGTACAATGTGTCAATCCTATTGTATATACATTGGTGTCCCCTGTCGTAACACTGCTAAAACATGTCTCACTCACTCACTCACTCACTCACCCACCCACCCACCCACCCACCCACTCACTCACTCACTCACTCACTCACTCACCCACCCACCCACCCACACACTCACTCACTCACTCACACATCAGGTAGCGGGTATCCAGTCTATTCAAGTACCTTTCTCCGAGAAAAGTGAGGCACACGCTACAGATCATTGCACTTATATAGCGATGTTCTGCATGATGTCTACTCGTTCGGATGCTCTGCCATTAATGCCGAGCTCCATGCAGGGTGGGTGCCATCCTTTAACGTCTTTAAACAAAGAGAAACAAACATTTTGCATAGTAATAGCTGTATTTAATCTGCACAGATGAGTGAGGCATGGGTTTTATCCCGGTAGTTCAGCTTGATGATATGTTAGGAATTTCCAGAGATCTGTTTAGTCGCATACACTTTTGATGAGGAGTGTAAATCAACTGTGATCTGAACATGAAATGTCACTAGTGTCACAACTTCCCGAGGCAAGGGAGTTAACTGACAATGAAAGTCCAGTTTCCTACCTTGCTGAACTAGGCCATCTTCCCGAGACAAGAGAGTTAACTGACTATGAAAGTCCAGTTTCCTACCTTGCTGAACTAGGCCATCTTCCCGAGGCAAGAGAGTTAACTGACTATGAAAGTCCAGTTTCCTACCTTGCTGAACTAGGCTGGTATTATGGAGTTACATTTTGGCTGGCCTAACGAGTCTATACATAGTCCAATCAAAATCGTGCAACGGAATCGAAATCCGGTCAGTAAACTGTCGTGCAGATTTCAGTCGATTGCAGGATTTGCAAAGCATGTGTACCGCCAGCTCGTTGTCAACAGATATTTTCCAAATCTTTTTATGTTTTTAATCAAAGTGCTCACGTCATTTGATGCACTTCACAATATAGATTTTGATTATCGATCAGATCATCTTCACATCTTCACAGTGAGTTGGGTTTAACGCCGCTTTTAACAGTATTCCAGTTACATCGCGGCGTGTCAGCTTGATGTGGAAGAAAACGCCAGAAGTGATACAGGACTCAGACGTTTACCACTTCGGTCAAACCCACGAGCATGGGTATGGTGCTGACAAACCTAATAACATGATCGGAGCGAACCGGGATTCGAACCCACAATCTTAGGTTTCTGGCGTGCCTAAAGGACGCACTCTGCAATCGCGGCGCCTCAGACGACTGGGCCACCCGTGCCCCCTGTCACAGATGACCAACTGTTGACATCGATATATCTTATCGCGCATCCACATACCACGTAAGCAGAGTGTCAGGTGTTATTCTATTCCGGTGTCTGATGTATGCAAACTGTCTGTAGATAGCCCTGTTGTTGTACAACAAACCATCTGTCTCTTATAGCCATGTCCTGTACTGTTGTATGTGACGCTACTGAAATTCGAGAAGAATGTCTCGAGATAAGGTGGGCGTGGTAACTCGTTTTTCTACGTTTACCAGTCACATAATCTGATGTGGTCATTGCCAAGATAAGCTGTATGTGTTACATAATATATGGTGTAATCTTCCCATTTAAAACATGCTGTTTGCTGCCTTTCTTAATGACGTCATAATCCCATCGCTGTTTTTGACGTCGGCATAGACGAGATATGGGAAAAATGTAAACAGGCATATAAATTTATTCTATATTTATTAGGGATTAATAGGTGTCTCAATGATTCAGAGTTGCGTCCCTTAGCCATGTCAGGCAACGATGATCGTGGGTTTATCAGAGCCAAATCCGTGCTCAGTGGTAAAAATCCTGACCAGTATCATTTCAGTATTTCACTACATGAAGCTTTTTCGTTTTGTTTGTTTGTTTGTTGTTTAACGCCCACTCGGCAATATTCCAGCTATATGACGGCGGTCTGTTAATAATCGAGTCTGGACGTGACAATTCAGTGATTGATATCATGAGCCTCTTTCCACGCAATTGGGATGCGATGACATACATCATCCAAGTCAGTGAGCCTGACCACCCGATCACGTTAGTCGTCTCATGATATATGTATACTGTAATGTAACAGTACAAAGTAGTTAAAGGGCAAGTTCACACGGAAATGAACCAATTTTTCTTGTACTTTTTCCACATTAAAAGTGTTAAAATAGAAGTGTCATAGACAAAAATATAAAAACATCATATTTAATTAACATATTTTTTGCATTAAAACGATTTATATTTTTCACATTTACCAAGTGTTCTATTTCCATAACAAAAACACCAAGGCTTATGCCCCTTGCAATATGACGTCATTGGTGCCAATTGATAAACATTATGACGTCATCATGCTTTGTTAGAGCCGCTTCACGTGATGTAGGTACAGTTTTGTGATTTTAGCGTCTCAGATGCCAGCCAGAATTGTGTTATACTGAGTCACCACTGCGCCGGAGTGTGTCGTAGACCATGTTGTTTTACCCCAAACTGGTCCTTGATATCTTTTGCGTTGAGAATAGACAGGGACCCAGTTGAATTAGCACCAATTACGTCATAATCTAAGGGGGATAACTCAGGCCTATTTCGCTCGTAAAACGAAGGCCTCATAACGGCATATCATTTTAACACTATTGTGAGCTTCCTACTTTCACTGTGAAAAAAAATGAGTGTATATTTTCAAACACAGATACTAACTAATTCTAAAATTGCGTTTTGTTTAGAAAAAGAAAGAAAGTGATTTTTGCGTGTACACTTCCCCTTTAATGACGTCATAATCCCATCGCTGTTTTTGACGTCGGCATAGACGAGATATGGGAAAAATGTAAACAGGCATATAAATTTATTCTATGTTTATTAGGGATTAATAGGTGTCTCAATGATTCAGAGTTCCGTCCCTTAGCCATGTCAGGCAACGATGATCGTGGGTTTAGCAGAGCCAAATCCGTGCTCAGTGGTAAAAATCTTGACCAGTATCATTTCAGTATTTCACTGTTTGTTTGTTTGTTGTTTAACGCCTCAATCGGCAATATTCCAGCTATATGACGGCGGTCTGTAAATAATCGAGTCTGGACGTGACAATCCAGTGATTGATATCATGAGCATCTTTCCACGCAATTGGGATGCGATGACATACATCAACCAAGTCAGTGAGCCTGACCACCCGATCACGTTAGTCGTCTCATGATATATGTATACTGTAATGTAACAGTACAAAGTAGTTAAACATCTCGCTCCCCCATTTATGTATCACATATACTAATAAGAAATGTAGATTAAATGAATGTATTGCATATATTCGGTTGTCATTACCTGCATCTACACTGCATCAAGAAACAGAAGATCTACTCGTGCAGTAGTTACTGATTTACGCGCAAACATTTGTTGTGCATCTGATGCTAGCTTCCGCTCAAATAGCCAAATAAGGATAGGCGTTTACGCCAGGTTTCCAGCGACTCAGTTACTTTCGCTTTGTTTTCCGAGAAACTGAGTGACATTCCCAATCACAGCTCCAAACCACGTATTCAGTGATAACAGTTGTCACATACACGTATATATCACTGTGAGGAGCCAACAACGTGTCAGCTCTTTTCTACATATCTGCCATCGTGCTGCTGTTGTCCTGCTGTCCACGATGTCTGACCGACGCTATGGCTACTTCCGCTGTTCTAAGTGTAACGCCCACTGGGAGAGTTCCCATGTTTACTGCCACGGTTTCAAGGTAGGTTGTTGGTGGTTATAGCGTCTCTCTTTCAGACCCCTCAATATATATTTACTGATAAAAACATTCACCCAACCCGTCCAGACCCTTCTCAGATCCAGCACCCTATAGATCCCTTTTCAGATATGAAATTCAGAAATATGGTTCCTTTATAGACTTGTTTTTATTTAACCTCATACAGGACAGGGGCTATTTTTTAATCTAGCGGTTGGAGATAGTCACTTCTGGGGTAGCCCAGTACTTAATGCGTCCAGTCGTTCGACTCCCTGCACTGCTCATGGGTTTAAAGTCTGGGTAAATTAATATATCGTTTCAACAAAATCAGTTAATAGTAGTTGCGATTGTATCTTAGAGATTTATCAAAATGAGATCAATGCCATGTGTTGATATTTCTAAATGATACACGGAATTTCGGATATATGAAAATAACTAAGGGTGTGTGATAAACTGTTTGTGACAGTGAAGGAAAGTGCATGTGAACATGCAGTATATCTGTATGTGTTATCTCTACAGGCTGTGTACAAACAGGACTGCAAGTCGTGTAAAATAGGCTGCCTCCCATATCGGGTAGAGAAGATGATCTGTTCCGTGTGCGGTAGTAAAGATTGCACATGCACCAGTGAAGACCGGAAAAATAGGAATATTGATCTCAACAAACCTCACAGGTCTGACCTGTGTCACAAGTGCAGGTCTGGGCGACCGTGCAGATACTGAGGTTGCAGCATTGCACTGAAAGTTGACTGCCTACAGCACCAGACATTAAGGATTGCCTATCTCTCCATAGATAGATGGTAATAATGATGATGATGACGAAAATTCTTTGGTAATTGAAATGTCTGACAAAACCTAAACACTATCCTCCAGCTTGTGAGTTTTTATGGGTTTCTTTAGATGTTTGTAAGTGCACAGTAAATATAACAATTACCTTTGTCTAATTTGCTTTTAATCCGTACGACACTTGGTTTTTGTAACGAATTTACCCAATGAAATGATTGAATTATATAATAAAACTGCAGGGCAAACACAAAAGGATATTTACTTTGGCAGGTTACCAGACAATTGAGCTCTGTTCAACGGATTTATTTTTAAAAGTTGCGTCATTTGTTTGAGAACCGCACCGTGACGTTCATGGAAGTCGTTTTAGTATGTGTGTATTATTGTAAACAAGAGGCCATATACATCCATACTATTCAAAATCACTCCACTGAAAGACATCAAGGGACATCCTACTTCTAGTTTCGTTCTCCATCTGTTAGTCACACATAATCTGTATATGGGTGTAAACAAACTCCATATTTGGCATATAACAGATCAATATCATTCCTTGAATACGACACTTAGACATGGGCAGTTTGCCAGGGTGTCTTGTAAAGGGAGATAACCATGGTTGCTGTTGTTCAGGTGGGCGTAAATGGACCTAAGTTCTAAAAATACCACGTACCTGCATACTGATGTCATATCTATCCATGCGGTTTATATAAATAAAACATTTCATTGCCATGATTGCTCTCTGTGTTACGTTCCTTAAATATTGTTAGGGTAACCTAGTAGTTATTGCGTTCGCTCGTCACACAAAAGGTAGGATCCTATATTAGTTTCCATATTTTCATAAACTATTTCTCTATATGGAGTATCAAACGACGATATTTTTTATTCAGTTGTACATCACCTATATTCGTTATAAACTACATGTGTATCTGGCGATATCTAACCGATTATTATTTATTTAAGTTAGCAGCTTAGATTAGATTAAGTCGGTGCAAATATTTTGCTCGATTATATAGATTAAAAAGATTCCATGTATAGGGAGCTAAGGTGTAGAAGTGGATAATCCAGTAAAATTATGATAACGGGCACTTTACGATACTTTCAAATCAAGAGAATGAATGAATGAATGAATGAATGAATGAATGAATTTCCTCCAGAGTTGAATCCGAAGATTTTACATAGGCAAATACATTATTTACAATACATGAATGAAATTACTTGACAATATACATCAGAATCATGTTATACAGTGCTATGAATAAACAATTTACAATGTACATTTTGAGAGCAGTAAGGTATCTAGTGGATATACATAAGGTACTAGCATTTCTTCAAATTCCCAAAAAGGGTCAGAAAGACAGCATGCTTTGCTAAGTATCGTAATCAATTTCGTCAGTCAAGCCATGAACATCTGAATGAAAGAATGAAAGCATATCATCATCGTCAAGCATATCTATTTTCACATATACATCAACATCAAGTTTATCAATCAGGTATGAGAAGAAATGATTTCTGTCAGTTATAAAATGTATCACATTGCAAAATAATATGGCAATCATAGTCATAGCAATGTCTATTACAATGGTTGCATTCTTTCGACACTTTTGCTCTTGATCCGATTTTAATACAAAGTTACAGGGGTTGTCTTAAATGTTGATATAGATGCATTACATTATAAAGAACATGCATTTGTAATCATTTATGAATTGTATGATACCGTGAAAGATCTGGTCTCTGTGCTAGTCTCTCTCTACATATGTACTGTTCATTCTCTGATAGACGTCTGATTACAAGAGATCGCCAAGCCGATTTAGTTGGGAATGAACCACTATCAGTATAGTCTTTAATATAGTTGTCTAAATGATAATGTTTAGCAGTATGTAGAAGGATGCTGCATATGCTTACTGGAGGCTAATATTGACAATAGCGTTGGTAGCAATGTGAGCACAAAATAGATCTTTTGTTATTGAGTTACCATCGTTATTGCAGATCCTTCTTAATAATTGTAGTCTACATTTATCAATGTAGCCATTCATTGGCTACATTCCAAAGTTAGAAATATGCGAATCGGTTGGATGTCTTTAACCAAATCCTTGTATATGGCGAGCACAGTAGCGTTGTGTACATTCAACCATTTTAAGTTCTTTACCGTATAAGGCTGGTGACAATTTACATTCATAAAAACTTGTAGATAAAATCGCTCTTTTCCATATATTGACACATGCAACTGGATGGAGGTCGGAATCGTTAAGGCCGAGTGATCGTAGTGAATTAACACATTTTTTGCTTTTGAGCAACACGTCATGATTCTTTCTTTACAAGATAAATTACTGTTTATGATTATTCGGAGGTGTCAATTGTTGCATCGCCAAACTTGTAGATTACTTTATTATGGCGTGTTTTGCAGAATACAAATGATTTACACGTTGAGGCATTATAGGTGAGTCTCCACTTGTTGGCATATAAACGAACTGAATCAAGTGAAGACTGTAAGGCCCCGTGGGGTTGTAGAGAGAGAGTTGTGTCATCGGTCAATAAATAACAGGGTATGTAGATGCCATAAACAGAGAGGCAATCGTTCGCTTTCCTTAGTTCACATATAAGATCATTGCTACGGGGTTGAGGTCTTTATTGCAATGCCTTGTATTAGGAGATCAAAGACTTAAAACACCCCGAAACACATAATTACATAATAAATAATAGGTACAACATTATCATCAACACTACGTACATATACATAGCATTGGCTTATCACAAGTAGGTATTTCATATCAGTCATCCATTAAAACACCAGAGAGACTGTGCGCTTAACGCTCATACTAGAGCATATACTGCAATAAACATGCAACACAGTACTGACATCCAAGGGAGATAACTCCTTGACTTGTTTATTGGTTATATAATATATACACAAAATAGAGATTATAGCAATTTAACTCGCCTGATTTAATATTATATCTTTATTTTTTGCTGGTCTGAGCAGCCCTGTCAGTTCATGTGCTGAGTATGCAGTGTAATCAAAGCGTGTGGTTTAACATCATGGGTGTGGATATCTCGACGTGGAGAGCACGAATTGGGACATTTAACAGCCCGCTTCACTCAACGGTATTGTTGTTGATGAATATGACTCCACGTCGCGCTGGTCATGGATGAATGACTTGATGTTTGTTTTTAACCTCATTTACCTGGAACCTTGTTGAATCTCCACTCTCTAGCCTCCGTCACTGATGGTGCTGTTAAATCATCGTTGCTGAGTCCACCATGTCCAAGCAGCGTCGCTACGGCTATTTCCGGTGTCCTGACTGCAACAGTCACTGGGAGAGTTCCCATGTCTACTGCTACGGTTTCACGGTAGGCTGCTGGTTGTTTGGGCGCCTAGTTATGATTTAATTACAATGTTCACGCCGCTATGTTGGATTTCTTTACGGCACACGCCGCAGGAGTGTTGTAATGAATTAAAAATGTCAAAAATGCTTTAAACTTACTTGTTCGGGTAAATAAACAACATTCGATAAACAGCTTTTATCATATCCTTATACACTCTTTTGTATGTGTTTGTATGTCAGTTTTTAGTAGTAATGCAATGAAACCCCTTTGACCCGTTCTAATCATCCGGATTAACAATGTCCTTTATCTGGAGACGTTAGTCACAGCAATTACATTTTTTATGCATACATTTTTCCCTTTCCTTTCATAATTTCCATTGACTATTGCAAAACTTCATAGAATCCTGCGTCAGCGTATAAATATAAGCAACAAAACCCTTTCCATGAAGCAGTAATAATGAATACGTTCAAACGTTTGCGTCATGACTTAGAGCACCGAACCGTGAAGTTCATGGAAGTCGGTTAGTATCTGCGTGTTATTGTGAACAAGAGACAATACAATACTGTTTGTTAACACGCTTGGGGTGGGGTGGGGTGTACGGTTGTGTGTGTCTGATTGTGTTCCTTGGTTGATCAGCACCCTACCCGTAAAGTGATAACAGCCACCGCCGCCAATTTGAGCTTCTCCCACATGGAAAAGGATTTTTTAAATGGCGGACAATGTAGGCTCTTAAAAAAGAGAAACGCACAGGTAGATTGTTAGTAAATTTATTGTCCCTGATAAAGTTGCTATATTTAATTTAATATCATAGATATAAAGGTGACATTTTGGAGCTCGATAGTCACTTGTTGTCGTTGTACATAGGCATTGAAGTGGCATGCAACGGAAAAATGCGATTTCCTCTTTGGATACGTCCTATGGCGATGTTCCGATCGGCAGCGCTGAGTCTCCGCATAATCGAACTTGAAAAATGTTGACAATTGAATGACAAATTATTGGCTTATTCTTGCCTTTTTATAGCCACTACCTAGAATTACGAATGCCATGACTTGCACGTGCATTTTGATTTACTGTTTCTGCCATGACATTTTGGAACAAGTGTGAAAACAATGCCGTTTTAGACATTGCAAATCGACAATGGCTGCGTTTTTACGCACCGTTTGTCGAATATCAGGTCACCAACATTTTCCAATAACATATATCCAGTTTATATCCCGGATGTTTTGTGTATTCAGGTTCAATGAACAACGTACTACCTGTGCGTTTCTTTTTTTGAAGAGTGTACATGTAGTGTTTAATAACAGCGCTAAATCCAACTCACTCACTCTTATTTGTCCACTCCAGCCGCTGTACGAGCAGGACTGCAAGTCATGTGACACCTCCTGTCTGCCCTACCGTGTAGAGAAACTCATCTGCTCCGTATGCAAAAAACATAATTGCACATGTACAAAAGAAGACCGAAAAAAGAGGAACATCGACCCCAACAAACCACACCGATCTGACCTCTGTCACAAGTGCCAGTCAGGCGACCCCTGTTAGCTTCTGAACGGCCTCAGGACGTCGAGAGACAGGGGACCAGTAATAACTGTGAAATGAACTCCTGTAGTATGATTGATATTTCAGCTTTTTGTACTTTTTGTACTTTTGTACTTTTGTATTATTTACACGTTACACATTGTAATGAACAAAAATAAGGGAACACTGCTGTTTACAATAAAACAACGGCATGCTGCAAATTATGTTACAGGGGAATATTCCCCCTTATGGTGTGTTGAATTCATTGCCAAATGGTATCTTTAGGCATTCTTCTACGGTTCCCTTATATTTGTCCACAGTATATACACACTCTCATCAGCCGCTGGTTGTTAACTGTATTCCGTTTCCAGGACCTTTACAAAATATATCTTTCCTACCTACGTTGATTATCCAACAAGACCTTGTTTCTGTGTGATATTCTTGAAATCATTCCATGATTAAATCTTAAAGTACACAGCGGCTTTTTCTTCACTTTAACGAACACTGAAGATCTGGGAAGTTCCACGATCAGGTATGGTCTAAAACCGTTCATTGTCATCTACAAAGATAGCAAGCCATCATCAATCAAATTATTAGTGTGATGGAAGAATACGGTGGACAAGGCATATATATGAATGATGTTTCTGCAGTTGCTGATACTACCTTACAGTTACGAAATGTCTTTTTGTGAATTAACTGGTAGGAATGTAAATGTGAAAAACACAAAGGTTATGGTGTTTCTTGTAAGCGGTCATATGCGTCTCTATGAGAATTGGTATCTTCATGGCCAGAAGCTTGAGGTGGTGTCATTTTATAGAAATTAAGGTAAAGTATTTACACCCAGACTAGTCTGGACTAAAGAGCAGCCCTGCCTTGCATCAGAAGCAATATTTTTGGCATACTATATGGCAATACTATATGGCAATATTTTTGTATTGATCTTTTCATGATCTTTGGTCCAATGGTGACATCATAATATACTATCAGTCAGAAACTTGGGGAATAATATTTTGTAAAACTGCTGAAACTGTTCAGATAAAAATGTGCAAATATTTCCTGAAAGACAGTGAAACTACATGCAATAATGTGGTACTGGGTGTAAGTGGTAGAGCTTCAACTTACATACATATCACGGGCCGTTAAGTATTGGTGTAGCTTTATCGCTCTGGATAGAAATAGGCTGCCTCATCAATGTTATGTAATGTTAAAATCTCTTGATGATGCTGGCAGTCACATGGGCTACACATATCAAACATATCACATTTCAATTTGGGTTTGGTTTTGTATGGATAAGCTGGGATGTTGGGATTATAACCATTTTTATCAGATTTTTTAAGATAAGACTTGTTGATAATCCCCAACCAAACTGGTATATATTTACCTTTTTGCAAGTAGATTCAGATGGACTGATGTGAAGCTCAAGCTCCTTTTTAACGGATTGCCGAGTCCATCGACGTGTCTTAGAAAACACATTTCTGAAATCTGACCGTGGTACCGAATCTAAACGACTTATAGTATACAGCAATTTATTGTTTTTTGTTTGTTTAAGAAGTGTGGAGTATAAAATTTCAAAATGAACCAGTAACACGAGCAGACAATATGTATAGTACAGTATTGCTCCAGTATCCTAAAGTATCATGTCAGTATGACACCGAGAACCGGTAGGTACAATGTGTCAATCCTATTGTATATACATTGGTGTCCCCTGTCGTAACACTGCTAAAACATGTCTCACTCACTCACTCACTCACTCACTCACTCACTCACTCACCCACCCACCCACCCACACACTCACTCACTCACTCACACATCAGGTAGCGGGTATCCAGTCTATTCAAGTACCTTTCTCCGAGAAAAGTGAGGCACACGCTACAGATCATTGCACTTATATAGCGATGTTCTGCATGATGTCTACTCGTTCGGATGCTCTGCCATTAATGCCGAGCTCCATGCAGGGTGGGTGCCATCCTTTAACGTCTTTAAACAAAGAGAAACAAACATTTTGCATAGTAATAGCTGTATTTAATCTGCACAGATGAGTGAGGCATGGGTTTTATCCCGGTAGTTCAGCTTGATGATATGTTAGGAATTTCCAGAGATCTGCTTAGTCGCATACACTTTTGATGAGGAGTGTAAATCAACTGTGATCTGAACATGAAATGTCACTAGTGTCACAACTTCCCGAGGCAAGGGAGTTAACTGACAATGAAAGTCCAGTTTCCTACCTTGCTGAACTAGGCCATCTTCCCGAGACAAGAGAGTTAACTGACTATGAAAGTCCAGTTTCCTACCTTGCTGAACTAGGCCATCTTCCCGAGGCAAGAGAGTTAACTGACTATGAAAGTCAAGTTTCCTACCTTGCTGAACTAGGCTGGTATTATGGAGTTACATTTTGGCTGGCCTAACGAGTCTATACATAGTCCAATCAAAATCGTGCAACGGAATCGAAATCCGGTCAGTAAACTGTCGTGCAGATTTCAGTCGATTGCAGGATTTGCAAAGCATGTGTACCGCCAGCTCGTTGTCAACAGATATTTTCCAAATCTTTTTATGTTTTTAATCAAGGTGCTCACGTCATTTGATGCACTTCACAATATAGATTTTGATTATCGATCAGATCATCTTCACATCTTCACAGTGAGTTGGGTTTAACGCCGCTTTTAACAGTATTCTAGTTACATCGCGGCGTGTCAGCTTGATGTGGAAGAAAAAGCCCGAAGTGATACAGGACTCCGACGTTTACCACTTCGGTCAAACCCACGAGCATGGGTATGGTGCTGACAAACCTAATAACATTCGAACCCACAATCTTAGGTTTCTGGCGTGCCTAAAGGACGCACTCTGCACTGCAAATCGCGGCGCCTTAGACGACTGGGCCACCCGTGCCCCCTGTCACAGATGACCAACTGTTGACATCGATATATCTTATCGCGCATCCACATACCACGTAAGCAGAGTGTCAGGTGTTATTCTATCCCGGTGTCTGACGTATGTCAACTGTCTGTAGATAGCCCTGTTGTTGTACAACAAACCATCTGTCTCTTATAGCCATGTCCTGTACTGTTGTATGTGACTCTGCTGAAATTCGAGAAGAATGTCTCGAGATAAGGTGGGCGTGGTAACTCGTTTTTCTACGTTTACCAGTCACCCAATCTGATGTGGTCATTGCCAAGATAAGCTGTATGTGTTACATAATATATGGTGTAATCTTCCCATTTAAAACATGCTGTTTGCTGCCTTTCTTAATGACGTCATAATCCCATCGCTGTTTTTGACGTCGGCATAGACGAGATATGGGAAAAATGTAAACAGGCATATAAATTTATTCTATATTTATTAGGGATTAATAGGTGTCTCAATGATTCAGAGTTGCGTCCCTTAGCCATGTCAGGCAACGATGATCGTGGGTTTAGCATAGCCAAATCCGTGCTCAGTGGTAAAAATCTTGACCAGTATTATTTCAGTATTTCACTACATGAAGCTTTTTCGTTTTGTTTGTTTGTTTGTTGTTTAACGCCCACTCGGCAATATTTCTAGCTATATGACGGCGGTCTGTTAATAATCGAGTCTGGACGTGACAATTCAGTGATTGATATCATGAGCATCTTTCCACGCAATTGGGATGCGATGACATACATCATCCAAGTCAGTGAGCCTGACCACCCGATCACGTTAGTCGTCTCATGATATATGTATACTGTAATGTAACTGTACAAAGTAGTTAAACATCTCGCTCCCCCATTTATGTACCATATATACTAATAAGAAATGTAGATTAAATGAATGTATTGCATATATTCGGTTGTCATTACCTGCTTCTACACTGCATCAAGAAACTGAAGATCTACTCGTGCAGTAGTTACTGATTTACGCGCAAACATTTGTTGTGCATCTGATGCTAGCTTCCGCTCAAATAGCCAAATAAGGATAGGCGTTTACGCCAGGTTTCCAGCGACTCAGTTACTTTCGCTTTGTTTTCCGAGAAACTGAGTGACATTCCCAATCACAGCTCCAAACCACGTATTCAGTGATAACAGTTGTCACATACACGTATATATCACTGTGAGGAGCCAACAACGTGTCAGCTCTTTTCTACATATCTGCCATCGTGCTGCTGTTGTCCTGCTGTCCACGATGTCTGACCGACGCTATGGCTACTTCCGCTGTTCTAAGTGTAACGCCCACTGGGAGAGTTCCCATGTTTACTGCCACGGTTTCAAGGTAGGTTGTTGGTGGTTATAGCGTCTCTCTTTCAGACCCCTCAATATATATTTACTGATAAAAACATTCACCCAACCCGTCCAGACCCTTCTCAGATCCAGCACCCTATAGATCCCTTTTCAGATATGAAATTCAGAAATATGGTTCCTTTATAGACTTGTTTTTATTTAACCTCATACAGGACAGGGGCTATTTTTTAATCTAGCGGTTGGAGTTGGTCACTTCTGGGGTAGCCCAGTACTTAATGCGTCCGGTCGTTCGACTCCCTGCACTGCTCATGGGTTTAAAGTCTGGGTAAATTAATATATCGTTTCAACAAAATCAGTTAATAGTAGTTGCGATTGTATCTTAGAGATTTATCAAAATGAGATCAATGCCATGTGTTGATATTTCTAAATGATACACGGAATTTCGGATATATGAAAATAACTAAGGGTGTGTGATAAACTGTTTGTGACAGTGAAGGAAAGTGCATGTGTACATGCAGTATATCTTTATGTGTTATCTCTACAGGCTGTGTACAAACAGGACTGCAAGTCGTGTAAAATAGGCTGCCTCCCATATCGGGTAGAGAAGATGATCTGTTCCGTGTGCGGTAGTAAAGATTGCACATGCACCAGTGAAGACCGGAAAAATAGGAATATTGATCTCAACAAACCTCACAGGTCTGACCTGTGTCACAAGTGCAGGTCTGGGCGACCGTGCAGATACTGAGGTTGCAGCATTGCACTGAAAGTTGACTGCCTACAGCACCAGACATTAAGGATTGCCTATCTCTCCATAGATAGATGGTAATAATGATGATGATGATGACGAAAATTCTTTGGTAATTGAAATGTCTGACAAAACCTAAACACTATCCTCCAGCTTGTGAGTTTTTATGGGTTTCTTTAGATGTTTGTAAGTGCACAGTAAATATAACAATTACCTTTGTCTAATTTGCTTTTAATCCGTACGACACTTGGTTTTTGTAACGAATTTACCCAATGAAATGATTGAATTATATTATAAAACTGCAGGGCAAACACAAAATGATATTTACTTTGGCAGGTTACCAGACAATTGAGCTCTGTTCAACAGATTTATTTTTAAAAGTTGCGTCATTTGTTTGAGAACCGCACCGTGACGTTCATGGAAGTCGTTTTAGTATGTGTGTATTATTGTAAACAAGAGGCCATATACATCCATACTATTCAAAATCACTCCACTGAAAGACATCAAGGGAAATCCTACTTCTAGTTTCGTTCTCCATCTGTTAGTCACACATAATCTGTATATGGGTGTAAACAAACTCCATATTTGGCATGTAACAGATCAATATCATTCCTTGAATACGACACTCAGACATGGGCAGTTTGCCAGGGTGTCTTGTAAAGGGAGATAACCATGGTTGCTGTTGTTCAGGTGGGCGTAAATGGACCTTAGTTCTAAAAATACCACGTACCTGCATACTGATGTCATATCTATCCATGCAGTTTATATAAATAAAACATTTCATTGCCATGATTGCTCTCTGTGTTACGTTCCTTAAATATTGTTTGGGTAACCTAGTGGTTATTACGTTCGCTCGTCACACAAAAGGCAGGATTCTATATTAGTTTCCATATTTTAATAAACTATTTCTCTATATGGAGTATCAAACGACCATATTTTTTATTCAGTTGTACATCACCTATATTCGTTATAAACTACATGTGTATCTGGCCAGGTGATGTGAGGCGACCCAAAGTCGTTCCAGGATTCTCTGATTGTTGGTTTGAATATCAGATTCTTCCTGATTATGATCCATGGTTTGTACCTATTGTATATTGTACATGTTACACATACTGATGGACAAAATTAACGGAACACAGCACAATATCGAAGAATATCATTTACTTCTGTTTCCAATTAAAAAGACATGCAACAGTTTGTCACTGAGGGTAATTCAGACACTGATGCGTTTAACACATTGCCAAATAGTGTCTCGTCATCGTCAGGCACTCTCCGACTTACAATTGTTCCCCTATATTTGTTCACAGTATATACACACTCCCATTAGCCTCCGGTTGTCAACTATGTATATGCCTGACTTTTCTAAAGATTGTATAATAATTAAGAACCCAATGGGGATGCGAAGGGGGAGGGGTTAACTATGAGACAGAGAACCATAAACGGAGATGTCCAACTATCAATATGACTGTTGCTTGATGAACCATTACGAACCGGTTTATACAGATGCTAACAGTATTGACAACTGGTTTCAGTGAACTCGGTTCTATAACTCTTGTAGACCGCGTTATATAAATACATGTTGGATATATTTTGCGAATAAACTTTCATTTGTATTATTGGGTTAACGTTAATATCTACAATACCGAAACATATCAAGCACTTAAAAGAGTTCATTGTTCTATACAGTTATGGGGAATGAGAACTCCATTGTCGTAACTCTCAGTTCTATGAAATACATTGTAAGGGACAATCTCGCGATCCTGACTTTTGGAAACACGTTAAATATGTAAAAAATGTGAGGATTCGGCCAAATCTTCTTTCTCGCACATTTTGTATAATTATATTTAGCGTGTTTCTATAGGTCACGAATGTCCCTTACAGTATTCCATACAAATGCTTTCCGACGCATGTCAGCCGTGATACATAATGTGTTACTTAAACATGAACATAGGTAGGTCAAGGCTGTCTGAATATTTATTCCCAAACTAATAATGGATTTACGCAGTAGCTCATTGTATAACCTGACAATCACATTCGTAGAAATGGCTATTCCAGTTTCACTTTTTCGATTTGGTTTGTCTTCAAATGTTGCGTGTACAGTAAATGATGTTCCAGATGTCAGGTAGCCAGACTCAGTTCCTGTTCTCGCCTCCGTCACCGTCTACTGTTGTCTAGTATTGTCTGGATCTGCTGTCCAAAATGTCTAACCGACGCTATGGATACTTCGAGTGTGATGAATGTGGTTCATCCTGGGAGAGTGCCCATGTCTACTGCGATGGTAGAGCATGGGCTTGTGTTAGTGAGTGAGTGGGTTGATGCCGCTTTGAACAGCAATTTACTTATACCGCGGCTTGATTTTGGAGAAAAGCTCGTTTGGCGTTAAATACTCTGGTGAAAAAATCACGGATACTAAGGGTCACTACCGGCCAGTGTACACAGATGCTCAGTGTTGACGACTAATATCGGCCCTTTCATACTTTGTAGCCCTCCTTATGTAAATACATGTAGGATATGTTTGACAAATATACCTTCATTTGTAGCGTTACTTATATATCTGATATTTACTTTGTACACAGTGGTTTCTGCTGAGTAATATGATCTCCGTTATCTGTCTTCAAGATACACCGGGTGGGGCTGGGGTGGGGATGTGGGGACGAGTGGCCCAGTCGTATAAGACGCCGCGATTCGCTGTGCAGAGTTGCGTCCCTTGGGCACGCCAGAAACCGATGATTGTGGGTTCGAATCCCGGTTCGCCCCGATTTTGTTTCTAGGTTTGTCAGCACCATACCCGTGCTCGTGGGTTTCACCGAAGTGGTAAACGTCTGAGACCTTCATCACTCCGGCCTTCTTCCCACATTAAGCTGACACGCCGCGATATAACTGGAATAATGTTAAAAGCGGCGTTAAATCCAACTCACTCACTCACTCACTCAAGATACACCATCCCCAGCCCTCTCTGCATGAAGAACAGCACTGAGCCTGTTAATGGAATGTCATTTTGTTACTTGAAGCTCCACAATCTCTGCTATCCGAGCACATTCTGACCACTGGATGGTTTAGTATAGAGGGAGAAATATCGGGCACGGTTCTGTACAAAGTCATGCCTTCGAATGAGTGAGTGAGTATGGTTTTACGCCGCTTTTAGTGAGTGAGTGAGTTAAATTTTAACGTTACATCGGCAATATTTAAGCCATAACGTGACGAGACAAAATTTGACATTAATGATATATGTTTAAACAATATTAAAATTCTCTCGTCGAAGGAGAGTTCAATAACCAGATTATCACAGATTTACGTAAAACTGTTTTGAGAGCATGTAAAAATGAATTAGGATTCACCAATACGAGATAAAAAACGGGCTAAAAGATAAAAACGAATCACCACACTAGGGACCATGGGGACTTGTACTTTTGCTACCTGCATGGACCCAAGAAGAATTTACATCATACCTTGAGTTGTTGGCGATGATTGACAACATAGACAAACAACAATTAATACAACACATACGTATTCTACGATTTAAAAAAACATGGCAGAAATAAATATACTTTATTAATCAGCATCAGCCATTGTGTTACCAACGATTCCAACATGGCTGGGTTACCAACAAAAACGATGTTGTATTGGCTCGTAGAAAGAACATTTAATAATTCAATAATTACAAGTGGATGTGTTTAATTGCCTGAAGACAAGAAAGAGAATTTGAAAATATGATAAATTGCTTATATTTAGATTGTTTACTAAAGAACTCTAGCGCTGTTAATATTGCTTTTGATTCGGCCGTAAAATGGAACAGTTATCCGGAAGTCTGGAGATGTAGTCCTGGATTCAATGATGGTGGCGCTGGCAACTGTGTCACCGTCCTTGGATCCATCTGTAAATATAGATGTGAAAGTATCACATTTGTTTCTTAATTGATTATACTCTTGTTGATAAATACGTTGATGTGTATCCATGGTGGAGAAGACAAAATCTGGGTTGTGGCTATATTTTCAAGTGTTATTTTAGCAGCAGAAATATGATGCTTTATTCTTATACCAAGGAGCTGAGTAAGAGATGATTTTGTATTATAGAGATCGTTACAGAGAGGATTAAACACAATCGAAAGCTGGATTGGAGTCATTAGTGTAATGTAAAGACAATTTAATTCGACGTTGCTTTAGTGACGGTTCATCAGCCTTGGGCATTTGATTTCTGTTCAACTTTTTTCTTTCTGTTTTTGTTAATTTTCGGTGATGCGAGGTCAGAGGTGATGCTTCTGAATGATTCTCAGAAATAGTCGGTCGAAGGACAGACGAAGTTTGGACAGCTTGATCAGATCTGACCCTTGTCAAATCAGTCTGACACCGGACAGATGAAGTTTGAACAGGACGGATGAGTGCAACAGAGTAATTCATAACTGAAGGAGTTGTGGCTTGACAAGTTGTTTAGCATCTGCAAATAAAATGTTTCTTTCCGCACTTTATTTTCATAAATTTGGTTTCGGTTTGCCAAGTAGGGCAGGATTTAGAAGATGCCATGTGTTAGCCATCACAGTTGGAACATTTGAGGTCTTCATGACAATCCATGCCCTCACGGTTGGCATCACAACGCTGACAAACCACGGGGCGAGTACAGGTTTTTTAACCATGTCCATACTGTTGGCGTCTATAGCACCGGAGTGGATTGGGGACATACACATCCACCCCGATGTTAACATAACCATGTTTAGTTGATTGTGGAACTGAAGCACGGGCAAAAGTGAATAGATAAGTTTTGTTAGAACAATGTTTGATTTTTCATCTTTGCGAGTAAAACGTTTGATGTTTACTTATTAAACAACTTGATTCTTAAGGTCAGATACAATTTCCTCTTCTGAACATATCCGCCAAGGAACGAGTCCAGTCACTAACAATGCCACGAGAAGAGTGTGTTCTGTGGCCCAATCTATCGATCTTGTAGAGTGTTTGAATGATTATTGATTGTGATTGTAACAAATAGGGCTTGACTGACACCTCGGCCTGTAATCAGCTATTGTAGGGAATCAATGATAGGCTTACAGATCAGTCGTCTCACGTCCATGAGAGGGAGATTGAAGCGGACAGAGGGTGGATCACCCTGATTTTGACCCAGTATTGATACAGGTCCGGTGGATCAACAGTATGGTAATATATTGGTGAGGCCGGGTTGATGAATGATTATGTGACCCAGTATTAGTTTGTTTATTTGTTTAACGCTGCACTCAGCAATATTCCAGCTATATGACGGCGGTCTGTAAATAATCGAGTCTGGACCAGACAATCCAGTGATTGACACCATAAGCATCGATCCACGCAATTGGGATACGATGACATGCATCAACCATGTCAGCGAGCCTGACCACCCGATCCCGTTAGTTGCCTCTTAAGACAAGCATAGTCGCCTTTTACAGCAAGCATGGATTGCTGAAGATCTATTCTGCCCCGGATCTTCACGGGTCGACTCAGTACTAAAAAAGATCGGTTAGATCACTTCGTATGAACTTAAACATATTTCACTAACATTAACATTGGGCAAAAGTCGCCAACTTACAATGCCCTTTCCATGAACATTTATACAGTGTATGCATAACTGTACAAATGTCACCCAGTATGTGACTCAGTATTGTTTGGTCCGGTATTGATAAAAGACGAGTTGATCATCCCTAATGTGACCCGGCATTGATAAAATTCGGGTGGATCATCCTTAATGTGACCCGGTGTTGATAAAAGTAGGGTGGATCATCCTGTATTGGCCCGATGTTGATATAAGTCGGGTGGGTCATCAGTAGTAACCTGCATCGGTAGTGGACCACCAGGATTTCTGGGACCGCTCAGATTTCTGGGACCAAGATGGCGGCACATCCGTTTCCGGTCACGTGACCTGCGCAGTGCATGATGGGTACCTGCGCGCGCATGCAAGATGGCGTCGCATCCGTTTCCGGTGGCGCGCGCATGCAAGATGGCGTCGCATCCGTGTCCGGTGGCGTACGCATGGAAAGAGGGCGTCGCTTCCGTTTCCGGGGAGGAGGAGGAGGGATAGGGGGAAAACCCGGAGAAGCGCCCGTACGAGGGGAACAAGATCGACAGGGTTGTTGTTCTTGTGTTGTTCTAAAAATAGAAATAGACGTGGGGTGGTGGTGGGGGTGGTGAAGGGAGGGAGGGAGGGAGGGAGGGAGGGAGGGGAGAAGGGGTGGGTTCACGGTGTCGTGTAGGGTGGGGGGGTGGGAGGGTCGTCAAAGCAAAGGAGGAAAAGCTGTCTTTCGGGAGAGATGGGTGGCCCTGAAAAGGGCCGTTTTGATGTTTACATGGTTGTGCATCCCATGGTACAAAGGCACGGGTGGACTTTCATCTGTCTCCTCACAGGACACCTACTGGTGTGTGTTAACCGCCTCACGTAGGTGTCCTTGAGGATGGTCTTACAGTACACACATTCGAAAGTCCCATCCCGTACCCTTGTACCAAGGGCATAGACGGGCAGGCCCCCTTGACATCGGCCACATTGCCACGCTGGAGACCATGGGGGTAGTGGGGCTGGTGGTGATGTTTCTTTCCACCCAGGCAAAGGTTGTGCCACTGTGGTGATCTCTAAATCCCAGTTTTCTTTCAGGGGGTAGTTGTTGCCGGTGTTGTTGTTGTTGTTGTTGCTGCTACTCATCATGATGCTTTCTTTTCAATCAATTTTTACAAGTGACACTGACCCACTCGAATCCACGCTTGTTTTATAGGAGAGACACTGACACCCTGCCTCCCGGTTGGTTCGCCAGGCCGCAGCTCCGATTGGCTCGTTCCGGGGCCCGGCCCGCACCTCGGTTTTCCAAAACGGACCGACCCCTGTGTTTCTTTTCCATAGGAAATGGATTTTACCATGGGAGAGAAAGCACAACCCCGGTTCGACCAATCAGAGCCCCGCCTGGTCCGAGCGCCGCTTCTGATTGGTCGACCACCCAGGCTTCGGATTGGTCCGATTTCGATCCGTTTTTTTTTCTTCTTTGGTAGCCTTGGTATTTTTTGAGGTAGACGGTCGTCTGAATGGTAAAGGAAGGTGGACCTTCATAGGTAGACATGAACGTGGGAATGCCTACGCGATGTACGTGGTGACACCCCCATGCCAATCGGAATGTCATGTGTGCGTGTGTGTGTGTGTATGTCTTCAAACAGACGTTGACGTTGATGCATAGAATAACGTGTGGTCAGTCAAAACGTGGTGTCCTGTGTGTGTGTATCGAGTCGTGTCGTAGTGAGATGAATAGAGAAAGATCGATACACCTACGTGACGTTTGCACACGTCATGGACTTCGTGTCGCGATGTGAACGTCATGGTTGTACTTTGTGTGTTGTCATGCAAACGTCGTACCCTGTGCGTGTTTTCAAATTATTATTATTATTATTTAAGGATACCGAGGTGTTGACACTCGTGTAGGTCGACAGGCGTACTGTGACGCGTGTGTTCATGCACACGTGATGTTTGACGTGGTGTACTACGTGTCTCTATGGATCTATGGATCTAACTCTATTTATATTTATTTATATCTATGTATTGTATTTTTAGACGTGTGCCTCCAAGAGGTCTAGGGGGAGGATGTGGGTTCTTTGTTTTGGAGGGGCAGAGGGTTTAGCAAAGCAAAGGAAGAAAGTTGTCTTTTGGGTGAGATGGGTGGCCCTGAAAAGGGCCGTTTTGGGGGAAGAAAAACTTTTCTGCTGCTGTCCACTTGGGGTTCCAACCAAGAAAAGAAAAACATTTGAACGGGAACTTGAACGGGAACTTGAACGGGAACGCAGGACACGGGAAACGTCCTCCTAGGCAGCCGGCCGTGCTACGTCATTCGTGTACCTCTGTTTCTCTTCGCAGAGATAGTGCAGTTGTAGCTTCTTCTGGTGTTTCACCAGCCCGGTTAGCTTGAGGTAATCGCAGTCTGGGGACCACTTGTGATGTGCCGCCCAAGGATCGTCGTGGGGTGCCCATTGTCTCAGCCGCACCCCACATTGGAAACAGCACACCCCATCGGCACCCTGAGTGTAGACAAAGCCCGCATGGGCCATCTCTTCAGCAGTCTGATACATTTGCGTGGGCCACGTCTCAAACGAAGCGAGCCTTCTTTCAAAGCGTAGATAATAGTGCGATGGTGTTTGACTGAGCAGTGACACCGCCTCCTCGGCATGACTCTTACTCCAGCATTCACGAGGTTCTGCACTATCCATCACCGCATCTTCGCCACGTGTCGTCGTCGTCGTCGTCGTACCACTCTTCTTTGTTTCAGCCATTCTAGATGATTTTATGTAACATACACTGACCCACTCGAATCCACGCTTGTTTTATAGGGGAAGAACCGGATCGAAACTCACTGCTTCCTGGTTGGTCCAAAACGCAGCGCACCGATTGGTTCGTTCCGGGGCCTGGTCCGCACCTCGGTTTTCTAAAACGACCCGACCCTTGTGTTTCTTTTCCATAGGAAATGGATTTTACCATGGGAGAGAAAGCACAACTCGGTTCGGGTGCTGTCTTCTGATTGGTCGTTGCTGTCTTCTGATTGGTCGGCCATCCAGGCTTCGGATTGGTCCGATTTCGATCCTGTTTTGGGGAAGGGTTGTCCATCCCTCAGACGTTCAGCACCTCTTAGAGTACAGACGTTCATCAGATACACATCGCTATAATGACGAGCAACCAAAGTACGCCCTATCGTTTGGAGAGGAAAGATATCACCCGCTCCAGACGGTTAAGAACTGCTAATCATACCTATCGTTTGACTTTCAACCCAGACTACTTGGACACCGTACCACCGGAACGCGTCCCCATGGAACTGCCAGCTTTATTTGACAGGGTGATCGATGACTTTTATGAACAGATATCAGGTCAGAAGGGAGATCGTATTGGTCTAGGTATCGATCATCCCGCTTTGAACACACCCATACGGATACCCTTTCGACGTTTTGAAGATCTCCATGGGCTAACTATTTTGCAAGCCGTGGAAAAAGTCCAACAGTCCAACAAAGACCTGAACATCGATGCCACCATGGATGTGACCTTAGTACACGTCGCAGATCCCAACAGGGTAGGATCGGGCAGTGGTGCTCCCCGGCTGAAAAACGTGATTGGACTCGAAGCTTTTTTAACACGCAAAAAGTGCATCGTACGGATCAAGAACGAAGATCAATCCTGTTTGGCACGGGCCCTGGTGGTGGCACAGCATTATGCCCACAAGCCTCACCCTCTGACCCCAGCATGGACCGCCCAGCGAAAGAGACTGACGAGAACGGATCGCGTCGACGTTCAAGGCATACGGGCACGGGCCTTGTTTCGAAGCCTTGGCCTGCCCGAAGGACCCTGTCGGGGTCTGGACGACCTCGCACGCGTGGGACGAACCTTGACCCGTCTGCATTATCAACTGAAAGTCTACAGTCAAGAGGTGGGTCAGAGACTGTTGTACAAGTGTGATGAGACTCCACCCCACGCCACCGTGCTGCATCTATACCATCATGATCAGCACTACGATGTCATCACTTCCATGCCCGCTTTTTATGGCTCTAACCATTACTGCGAATGCTGTGACAAACGTTACGACCATCCCGAAAACCATCCCTGCACCAAGGAATACCGCTGTTACCGCTGCTTCTACTCTAGTTATTGTGGACCCCAGGAAGAGCACGGGATCCCTTGCTTGACATGTCAAGGTTGGTTCCCCAATCCAACGTGTTACACCCGACATCTCCAGTCACCGTCAGAGGGAAAACCCAGCGCCTGTCAATCGATTCACAGGTGCCCGAACTGTTTTCAGTTGGTCCGCGTCTTGGAGACCCCCATGGCTCACCACGCGTGCTTCGATGAAGAACATCCCTGCTTGGTGTGCCGAGAACCCATGACCCCAGATCATCGCTGTTACATGACGCCTCTCGGTGAAGAAAACGAGGAGGAGGAGGGGGAGGAAGCGGAGAAGGAGGAGGAGGGTGAAGAGGAACAACATCCCCTACGAGACCATGTTCAATACGCCTTCTACGATTTTGAATGCATGCAAGACACGGGGGAACACATTCCAAATTTGTGCGTGGTGCAACTAGGATGTGGACGATGCATCAGTGAAGTGAGCAAGAACTTGTGCGAACACTGTCCATGGAGAGAAGAAGGGTATGGTCCCAGCCTTGAGATCGTGTTTCGAGGCCCCACCACGCGACATGATGTGTGTGTTTGGTTGACCACGTTGTCTGAAATACCCAAGAAGAAGCCCCACCCAGAGGAAGAGGAGGACAGCACACGCAAGGGGACGACAGCTCACCTGGGGAAAAAAAGAAAACGGGATGACACCCCCTCAAGAAAGCACGCTTCCAAATGACAGGCATCACCCCAGCAGGAGGGGGAGGAGTTGGGGGAAGAGGGGAAGGAGATGGAAGAGGGGGAAGAGGGGGAAGAGGCCATGGAAGTGGAGAAAACAAAGAAGCCAAAGAACAAGAACACCTCCTGTCATACAGTCCCGAAGGAGGATCGCATTTATGTGATGGCCCATAATGCACGATCCTATGATTTACACTTAGTCCTGAAGGGTCTGTCCCCCCTCCTGGTGACACTCCCCACCAAGATTCGGCATGGCCAACAAATTTTGCAAATGACCCTGGGACGGTTATGTTTCGAAGACAGCTTAAATTTCATCCCTTACCCCCTGAAAGCCTTTCCCAAGAGCTTTGGGCTGAAAGAAATGAAGAAAGGGTACTTTCCACACTTTTTCAATACGAGAGTCAACCAGACCTACAGAGGTCCCTATCCACCAGCCGTCACGTACGATCCCGATGGCATGTCTCCCGCGGAACGCACAGCCTTCCTCCAGTGGCATACCCAAAAAGTGCAAGAAGGAGCCTTGTTCGACTTACAAGGAGAACTTTTAACCTACTGCCAAAGCGATGTGGACATTTTGAGACGGGGATGCGCCGACTTCCGACAGAACGCCATCCACTCGGTGGGCATGGATCCCTTTGTGGAAGTGATGACAGCTGCAGCGTTCACCATCAAATCCTTCCGAAAACACGACCTGAAACCCAATACCATCGCCATTCTCCCACCTCAAGGCTACCAACCCAAGAGAAACAATTCCCAGGCCTGTATGCACTGGCTCCACTATCTGATGGAAACGGACCCCCATCTGCACCTCCAGCACGCCAGGAATGGCGGTGAAAAAGAGTTCACGTGTGGAGGGGGTCAACATCGGTACACCGTGGATGGCTACGATCCAGCGACAGGCACCGTCTACGAATTCCTGGGCTGTTTCTGGCATGGGTGCCAGGCCTGTCACAAGACCCGACGTGGAGAACCGCATCCCGTCCTGGGCTCGTCGTTGGGAGCCCGTTACACCGACACCCACTACCGCTTGAGTCTCTTGAGTCAACACCCTGAGGTGAAACGGATCGTCACCCTGTGGGAGCACGAGTTTACGAAAATGCAACGGGAGGACTCCGCACTGCGTGCTTTCTTGCAGGGACCCCCCTGTATCCACGTCCCCGGGCTGCTCAACCCTCGCGATGCCTTCTATGGAGGATGCACCAATGCGACGCGATTATGCTACGAAGCCCAAGAAGGTGAAACCATCAAGTACATCGATATTTGTTCCCTTTATCCCTACATTTGTAAGACCGGAGTGTTTCCCACGGGACACCCGACCCTTCTCCATCAACCCCCTGTGGACACGTTGTTTGAACTGAAAGGCCTGATCCAATGCCGTGTCTTACCCCCGAAACGACTTTACCATCCGCTACTGCCTTACAGATCGGGTGGCAAACTGCTCTGTCCTTTGTGCCGCACGTGTGCCGATACCCGGTCAGACTCCCCCTGCGAGCACACGGACGAAGAGAGGTCATGGGTGGGGACGTAGGCCACCGTAGAACTCCAGGAAGCCGTGAAGAAGTATGACTACCGGGTGCTTCAGATCTACGACGTTTGGCATTTTGACACCTTTGCACAGCATGACCCCGACACCCAGCAAGTGGGACTCTTTGACACTTACATCGATCGACATTTCAAGGAGAAGCTCGAAGCCAGCGGATACCCCGAAGGATGTACGGATCACGACGCGTACATCCAGGAGATCTACGACAAAGAAGGCATTGGGTTGGACAAGGACCGCATCGAAAAAAATCCAGGACGTCGCACGATTGCCAAGATGCAACTGAATTCGCTCTGGGGCAAGTTTGGGCAACGGGTAGACTACAGTCAGAACGTGTATATGAACGATCCTGTACAGTACTTTGCCTTGTGGAGGGATGAACGCAATACCATCGAGGATGTGGTCGTTGTCAACGAACACATGGTGGAAGTGACCTATACCCAGCAGAAAGAATTCCAAACCCCTCATTCTCATTTCAACGTCGCCATCGCTGCTTGGGTCACTGCCCAAGCACGTCTCAAGCTGTACGAGACCCTTGCCCTGGTGGACCGCAGGGTGTTGTACTTTGACACGGACAGTGTCATTTACATTCATCGACCCCACGACGCGAATCCAGAGCTGGGTCATTCGTTGGGTGAGTTTACGGATGAACTGGACGGAAACACCATCGAGACGTTTGTGTCGGGAGGCCCCAAAAACTATGGCTACGAGTTAATGAACCCCAGACCCGATGGAACGCGCACGACCTGCAAAGTGCGAGGGTTCACTTTGAATTACCGAAACCAACGCCATCTCAACTTTGACACCATGAAAGGACTGATACTGGGACAACGGCCTGGGAAAGAGGAGGAGAAAATCAGTTTGGATTACCCTCATCAGATCATTCGAAAAGGCCCTCGGCACGAAAACGCACTCGTGACCCGACCCACCCGAAAAGACTATCGTACCGTGTACGACAAGCGACGTCTCGTCTACGACGACATCACAGGGCTACCTGTAGACACGCTCCCCTTTGGGTACAGAGACGACTTTCACTAAAATTTTTCATGACAGCGGATCGAAACTGAATCGACATGGACCCCTACAGAAAAAAACGGATCGAAATCGGACCAATCCGAAGCCTGGATGATCGACCAATCAGAGGCCGCGCTCGGGCCAGGGTGGCCTCTGATTGGTCGAACCGAGGTTGTGCTTTCTCTCTCACGCTACAAGCCTAACCCTATGGAAAAGAAACACAAGGGTCAGTCCAGTTTGGAAAACCAAGGTGAAAGTCAGGCCCCGGAACGGGCCAATCAGAAAGCAGGACCTCCGTGGCTTTTAATACGACCGACGCTCTCCGGTCATCACTTTTCACTGAACGGACCAAGCAACAACATCGTCCCCTCTGATTGATGTTCCTCACGTTGTGTTGGTTGTTGGCGTTTTATCTGGAAGAAACGCGTGTTTGGAGAGAGTACCATCAAGTGTTGACGTACCTCCGTGAAGACTTGGAAAGAAACAACAACAACAACAACAACGAACAGAACATCCGGACAACATCATGTCGAACAACATGTCGAAACGGTTGAATGACAAGACACGAAGCGACATGAGTGGCCAAGGAAGCAGTGGAGATGGGAACGGTAACATGACTGCTGAACTGTGGGGTGAAGTGTACGACTTGCTGTGTTTAAAGATGAAGACCGACGACGCGTACGCCAAGTTACGTGCGAAGGGCGACAACCTGATGTGCGACCAGATACGTTCAAAGATGAGGAAGCTGACTGAACCCGAGAAAGGCACATCCAAGAAGACGATCAAGAAGATCCAGAAGAAAAAGACACGCAAACCCACAGCCGTGGTGACCCCCACAGCAACGGCAACACCCCCCACCCCACCCCCACCCCCACAGCGCCAGTCCCCACCACCACCACCACCACCACCACCACAGCAGCCACAGCAACCACGACTGTGGCGACAACAGACATCGACACGAGGGGGACATCCTTTTTGAAACCTGCCACACCTGCAACGCCTGCAAAAAGACGATCACGGAAGAAATTATCTCTGAAGATCTCTCCTCAAGAACAACTGTAAGTACCCTGCTCTTCTTTGTCTCAGTCATTCTTGATGTGATTCATATGCATGACCTATGCCTATCCTAAATGGACTCTGTCCTTATGATTGACAGGACCCCTGATGTCAGTTCAGCCCAGTCCGTGCTAGAACAGTGGTGGGAATAAACCCCTCGGGAGCCCACCTATTCACCGAATGCCCCTGTGACGATGGCGACGGGTGACCTCGATGATCATGAAGCGCTCAAGATGGCCACTCTCCCTTCCATGGATCTGGACACGCTTCCCCTGCTCGAGGCTTCTTGGTCACCAGCATCCCCGGAAGAGGTTCATGTCTACTCCTCAGGTACGCCCATGGTTTGCGACGATGATGATGATGACAACGTTGACCTGGATCCTTATGGAGAAGCTCAACTCACTCCCCTACAACGCGAATGTCGTGTTTGCCGACACAACAACATGTTAAGATACATCAGTTGCAACAGCGGGCAAGTGATGTGTCATGCCTGTGAGCTGGAGCTCATAGACTGTACTTGTAGTATGTTGACCTATGACAGCATAGTGACACATGATGACATGCCTATCGCATCTGAGGATCACATCTTATGGTGATCCTCCTCTTCACTCGAAGAACTTTGTCAACACGCCAGCTGCAACCGTGATCAAGTGATGTGTCATGTCTGTTTCAGGGAGGCCATAGACTGTACGTGTTGAACGGTTGGGCCTCTCACAGGTTTGAGGGAGGACCACCTCTTAGGGACTTGAAGATGGAAGAGCTTGAAGATGGAAGAGGAAAACGTTGTCGCGTTATTGTTGTTGTTGTTGTTGTTGTTGTTGTAGGGACATGCAAAGCACTCCCTCCTCCATTGACTTTTCGTATTTCCATTGTATCGGGTTGTGATTGGTTTTTTCATGATTAAACAGTGATTGATTGAACTGACTCTTTGTGTCTTGATTGATCTCAACTCCAAAAGAGTGCCGAACCGAGGGTAGAGGTTGAGTTGAGATGTCGTTGACGTCGTCTGTCTGTCCGTCTGTCTGTCTGTCTGTCTGTCTGTCTGTCTGTCTGTGCCTCTGTCATGTCAGTGCACACCAAAGTGAAGAAATAAAATTAAAAATAGATAAAAGAGAAAGGCCATGCTTGAAAGATCAGCTGCCTGGTGTCAGTCATTCCAGGACGCATCGATCCCCCCTACACCCCTCCCCGTGTGCCATGTCATGTCATGTCATGGATCATGTCATGGATCATGCCGTGTGTCCGTCAACCCAAACACAGGATGACGTCACGTGATGAGGTGTAGGAGATGGAGAGTTTCATAAAAGCTAAAGTCATGACCTTCCGTTGAAGGGTGTAGGGTGGAGAGTTTCATAAAAGCTAAAGTCATGACCTTCCGTTGAAGGGTGTAGGGTGGAGAGTTTCATAAAAGCTAAAGTCATGACCTTCCGTTGAAGGGTGTAGGGTGGAGAGTTTCATAAAAGCTAAAGTCATGACCTTCCGTTGAAGGGTGTAGGGTGGAGAGTTTCATAAAAGCAGGCGAACCCTCAGACCTTCTTTCAGTGAAGTCACCGTCATCATGGAGCAAAGACGTTCTATGAATGCCATGTCATCCTCCCGAGATGTCGTCACCGATTCCGAGTGGGTGTCTGAAAAGGCGAGAGAACAAGAAGCGAGAAAACGTTCACTCTTGATGGACGACACACTCTTGATTGACGACAGGTGTCGACACGGTGACGTTCTGGAGAGACCTTTTCCTTCCTTGTGTCAACCTTCTCATCCCCACTATGATTCATTTCAAGAACGTCTGAGGTCTTTTAAAACGTGGCCTCAACAGATGACCAAGACCCCTTATGACATGGCCATGGCTGGCTATTTCTATCCAGGACGAGGGGACTGTGTGACCTGTTATTGCTGCGGTGTGGCACTCCGCCAATGGGAAGCCACAGACCAACCCTGGAAAGAACATCTGAAGCATGCCAAAGTCCCCTGCGAATACTTGTGTGTGTTTTGTCCTGATGGAGAAGTGAACGAAAAATACAGACGTTTGGTGTCCCAAGAAGCACGGAAACGAAGAGTCGAGTGTCTTGTTCACCCCAAGTGACAACGTTTCTTTTTTTTTTTCAAAGTGGTCAGACGTTCCTACCCTCGCGGTCACCCCTCCCTCGTGTTCACAAAAATCACAGGGATGTCCCCCCTCATCCTGTGACTTTTGTTTTGTGGTGTTGGTTCATGTGATCAGGGGGATTAAATTTTTTGTTAAAAACTCATAGTCGTGTTATGTTGTCTGTAGGATGAAGAAAAAACAAAACAGGATCGAAATGCACATCCCGATAAAAAACCGGATCGAAATCGGACCAATCCGAAGCCTGGGTGGTCGACCAATCAGAAGCGGCGCTCGGACCAGGCGGGGCTCTGATTGGCCGAACCGGGGTTGTGCTTTCTCTCCCATGGTAAAATCCATTTCCTATGGAAAAGAAACACAGGGGTCGGTCCGTTTTGGAAAACCGAGGTGCAGGCCAGGCCCCGGAACGAACCAATCGGGGGCGCTGCCTGGGGAACCAATCAGGAAGCAGGGTGTCAGTGTCTCTCCTATAAAAACAAAACAAGAGCGAAGCCACTCACACACACTGCATTCTATGAAACCCATCATGTCAGCTCGATACAGTTGTAGGATGTGCCAGACCGACAGTCACAGTTACCTGTACTGCCCTGAAGTGACATGTACCGAGTGCCACACTCAAGGTCACCGTCACTATGTCTGTCCGAAGCTGAACAGTCAAGAGAAGCAGGAGAAGCAGGAGAAGCAGTACCAGGGCCCCTGTTACAACTGTGAAGCCCTGGGTCATTTCGCTGCAGATTGCCCAGAACCCCGTCGAAAGAAGACTCCCCATCGCCTGGACCGCTGTTACAACTGTGGAGCCCTGGGTCATTTCGCTGCAGATTGCCCAGAACCCAGTCGAAAGAAAACGTTAGCAACACCGTCCACGTCGACACCCGTGGCATCCGTGGCAACCGTGACCCCCGTGGCCCCCGTGACACCCGTGACACCCGTGGCACAAGTGCTTCATCTCATCGAAGACATGCATTCCGATGTCCTCGACCTAAAAGAATGTCTCACACAACTCCGGGTAGGCATCACACCTCGTCTAGAGAAAAGAAAACGGAACAGGTCCCCCTCACGAAAACACGTTTCAAAGCGCCGACGACACCTTCCGTCCGAGGATGAGATGGAAGTAGAGGATGGAGAAGTGAGATCCTCTGAACAAAGTGACTAACGCATGGGTCATGCTGCCCCACTGTTTTTACCCGTTTCCCATCGTTTGCAGTTTTTCCAGTGTTCCAGTGTTCCTGCCGTTTCCAGTTTCCAGTTTCCAGTTTCCAGTTTGTTTTCCAACGGCCCTTTTCAGGGCCACCCATCTCTCCCGAAAGACAGCTTTTCCTCCTTTGCTTTGACGACCCTCCCACCCCCCACCCCCCACCACACCGTGAACCCACCCCTTCTCCCCTCTCCCTCCCTCCCTCCCTCCCTCCCTCCCTTCACCACCCCCACCACCACCCCACGTCTATTTCTATTTTTAGAACAACACAAGAACAACAACCCTGTCGATCTTGTTCCCCTCGTACGGGCGCTTCTCCGGGTTTTCCCCCTATCCCTCCTCCTCCTCCCCGGAAACGGAAGCGACGCCCTCTTTCCATGCGTACGCCACCGGACACGGATGCGACGCCATCTTGCACGCGCGCGCCACCGGAAACGGATGCGACGCCATCTTGCATGCGCGCGCAGGTACCCATCATGCACTGCGCAGGTCACGTGACCGGAAACGGATGTGCCGCCATCTTGGTCCCAGAAATCTGAGCGGTCCCAGAAATCCTGGTGGTCCACTACCGATGCAGGTTACTACTGTCATCCTTTATTTGACTCATTGTTGATAAATGTTAGCAAAGGATTACACAAACAGAATACACCAAACATGCTTTATATTCATTCATTCAAGTGTACATGCATATTTACAGGTCAACAGATAAACCAGTTTCACACCGGTGACCATCAGCTGACTGTCTTGTCACCTTTCACAATTAAACTGTAATGACCGCCCTGGCTCCGCTCGTCCATCTCACATCGCTAATGTGGTTCCCTCGAGTGTCGTATCTACACAAAGACATGGAGACTTCCTTTAAGTTCCCAGTGAATAGTCGCGCGTGTGATATACAGCGCCACACCAGCTAGGGAGGGTTATATCTCTTCCCTGGTCACCTAGCACCCCCGGGACACGGTTCGCGGCGCCTCAGACGACTGGGCCACCCGTGCCCCCTGTCACAGATGACCAACTGTTGACATCGGTATATGTTATCGCGCATCCACATACCACGTAAGCAGAGTGTCAGGTGTTATTCTATCCCGGTGTCTGACGTATGCCAACTGTCTGTCTTGATGTTGTGCAACAAAACACCCGTCTCTTATAGCCATGCCCTGTACTGTTGTATATGACTCTGCTGAAATTCGAGAAGAATGTCTCGTGATAAGGTGGGCGTGGTAACTCGTTTTTCTACGTTTACCAGTCACATAATCTGATTTCGTCATTGCCAAGATAAGCTGTATGTGTTACATAATATATGGTGTAGTCTTCCCATTTAAAACATACTGTTTGCTGCATTTCTTAATGACGTCATAATCCCATCGCTGTTTTCTGAAAAATGTAAACAGGCATATAAATTTATTCTATATTTATTAGGGATTAATAGGTGTCTCAATGATTCAGAGTTGCGTCCCTTAGGCATGAGAGGCAACGATGATCGTGGGTTTATCACAGCCAAATCCGTGCTCCGTGGTAAAAATCTTGACCAGTATTATTTCAGTATTTCACTACATGAAGCCTTTTCGTTTTGTTTGTTTGTTTGTTGTTTAACGCCCCACTCGGCAATATTCCAGCTATATGACGGCGGTCTGTAAATAATCGAGTCTGGACGTGACAATCCAGTGATCGATTTCATGAGCATCTTTCCACGCAATTGGGATGCGATGACATACATCAACCAAGTCAGTGAGCCTGACCACCCGATCACGTTAGTCGTCTCATGATATATGTATACTGTAATGTATACAGTTCAAAGTCTACAGTCTACTGTATACAGTTAAACATCTCACTCCCCCATTTATGTATCATATAAACTAATAAGAAATGTAAATGTTTTCCGAGAAACTGTCACATACACGTATATATTACTGTGAGGAGCCAACAACGTGTCAGCTCTTTTCTACATATCCGCCATCGTGCTGCTGTTGTCTGCTGTCCATGATGTCTGACCGACGCTATGGCTACTTCCGCTGCCCTAAGTGTAACGCCCACTGGGAGAGTTCCCATGTTTACTGCCACGGTTTCAAGGTAGGTTGTTGGTGGTTATAGCGTCTCTCTTTCAGACCCCTGAATATATATTTACTGATAAAATATTCACCCAACCCGTCCAGACCCTTCTCAGATCCAGCACCCTATAGATCCCTTTTCAGATATGAAATTCAGAAATATGGTTCCTTTATAGACTTGTTTTTATTTAACCCCATACAGGACAGGGGCTTTTTTTTAATCTAGCGGTTGGAGTTAGTCACTGCTGGGGTAGCCCAGTACTTAATGTGTCCGGTCGTTCGACTCCCTGCACTGCTCATGGGTTTAAAGTCTGGGTAAATTAACATATCGTTTCAACAAAATCAGTTAATAGTAGTTGCGATTGTATCTTAGACATTTATCAAAATAAGATGCCATGTGTTGATATTTCTAAATGATACACGGAATTTCGGATATATGAAAATAACTAAGGGTGTGTGATAAACTGTTTGTGACAGTGAAGGAAAGTGCATGTGTACATGGAGTATATCTTTATGTGTTATCTCTACAGGCTGTGTACGAACAGGACTGCAAGTCGTGTAAAATAGGCTGCCTCCCATATCGGGCAGAGAAGATGATCTGTTCCGTGTGCGGTAGTAAAGATTGCACATGCACCAGTGAAGACCGGAAAAATAGGAATATTGATCTCAACAAACCTCACAGGTCTGACCTGTGTCACAAGTGCAGGTCTGGGAGACCGTGCATATACTGAGGGTGCAGCATTGCACTGAAAGTTGACTGCCTACAGCACCAGACATTAAGGATTGCCTATCTCTCCATAGATAGATGGTAATAATGATGATGATGACGAAAATTCTTTGATAATTGAAATGTCTGACAAAACCTAAACACTATCCTCCAGCTTGTGAGTTTTTATGGGTTTCTTTAGATGTTTGTAAGTGCACTGTAAATATAACAATTACCTTTGTCTAATTTGCTTTTAATCCGTACGACACTTGGTTTTTGTAACGAATTTACCCAATGAAATGATTGAATTATATAATAAAACTGCAGGGCAAACACAAAAGGATATTTACTTTGGCAGGTTACCAGACAATTGAGCTCTGTTCAACAGATTTATTTTTAAAAGTTGCGTCATTTGTTTGAGAACCGCACCGTGACGTTCATGGAAGTCGTTTTAGTATGTGTGTATTATTGTAAACAAGAGGCCATATACATCCATACTATTCAAAATCACTCCACTGAAAGGCATCAAGGGAAATCCTACTTCTAGTTTCGTTCTCCATCTGTTAGTCACACATAATCTGTATATGGGTGTAAACAAACTCCATATTTGGCATATAACAGATCAATATCATTCCTTGAATACGACACTCAGACATGGGCAGTTTGCCAGGTTGTCTTGTAAAGGGAGATAACCATGGTTCCTGTTGTTCAGGTGGGCGTAAATGGACCTAAGTTCTAAATATACCACTTACCTGCATACTGATGTCATATCTATCCATGCGGTTTATATAAATAAAACATTTCATTGCCATGATTGCTCTCTGTGTTACGTTCCTTAAATATTGTTTGGGTAACCTAGTAGTTATTGCGTTCGCTCGTCACACAAAAGGCAGGATTCTATATTAGTTTCCATATTTTCATAAACTATTTCTCTATATGGAGTATCAAACGACGATATCTTTTCTTCAGTTGTACATCGCCTATATTCGTTATAAACTACATGTGTATCTGGCCAGGTGATGTGAGGCGACCCAAAGTCGTTCCAGGATTCTCTGATTGTTGGTTTGAATATCAGATTCTTCCTGATTATGATCCATGGTTTGTACCTATTGTATATTGTACATGTTACACATACTGATGGACAAAATTAACGGAACACAGCACAATATCGAAGAATATCATTTACTTCTGTTTCCAATTAAAAAGACATGCAACAGTTTGTCACTGAGGGTAATTCAGACACTGATGCGTTTAACACATTGCCAAATAGTGTCTCCTCATCGTCAGGCACTCTCCGACTTACAACTGTTCCCCTATATTTGTCCACAGTATATACACCCTCTCATTAGCCTCTGGCTGTCAACTATGTAAATGCCTGACTTTTCTAAAGATTGTATAATAATAAGGACCCAATGATTAGATAGACACAATTTTATGGATAACAACTTCTTTAATACTGTAAAAGGCGACGTTTCGGTATAGATCCTTATACCGTTGTCAAGCAAGACTGAATGAGGGACATAGTGCAGAATATATATAGCAAGTGGAGGATTAACAGTAGAGGATTAACAGTAACAAAAAGGGCATACATGAGTGGGATAACATAGGTAGGTGTGACAACAAGGATGATGCTATCACAACACGATGGACAGAAAACACATAGCTGGAAGCCAATGGGGCATGAAGCCAATAAACAGGTGATTATTGTTTGATGAGTTCATAGTAGGCGGATGGGATGAAATAGCCTTGATCTCTGTTGATTGTTGGGTTGTGGCGGCGAATGTGGACTGCTTCTGTTAGTTTTCTTTTGGTGAAATCATGGAGGTTGTTGGCGAGGATTTGGACGTTGTCCCAGTTGATGATGTGATTGGGACAGTTGATGATATGGTCCGAGATGGCTGATTTGCTGTCGGATTAAGTAATGCCTATCAAACAAGTTAACCCAATGATTGTATATATGATGATATTCCTGTACCACATATGCTTGTTGTGTTATATTTATGTAACCATTCCATGATTAAATCATCATGTGATAAAAAGACACAGTGACTTTGTCCTTGCTTTTACAAGATCCATTGTCACGTGGATCATGTTTGATTGGAATCTTATGTGAGTGAGTGGGTTGGGTTTATACGCCGTTTTGAACAGTATTTTACTAATACCGTTGCTGACATCATTATGAAGCAGTGACTTGAAGCCCCGATCATCAGAGTAAACTTTGGTCCCTTGTCCTGTGATTACTAGAAATGGTGATGCGAAGGGGAAGGGGTTAACTATGAGACAGAGAACCATAAACGGAGATGTCCAACTATCAATATGACTGTTGCTTGATGAACCATTACCGACTGGTTTATACAGACGCTCACAGTATTGACAACTGGTTTCAGTGAACTCGGTTCTATAACTCTTGTAGACCGCGTTATATAAATACATGTTGGATATATTTTGCGAATAAACTTTCATTTGTATTATTGGGTTAACGTTAATATCTACAATACCGAAACATATCAAGCATTTAAAAGAGGTCATTGTTCTATACAGTTATGGGAAATGAGAACTGCATTGTCGTAACTCTCAGTTCTATGAAATACATTGTAAGGGACAATCTCGCTATCCTGACTTTTGGAAACACGTTAAATATTTAAAAAATGTGAGGATTCGGCCAAATCTTCTTTCTCGCACATTTTGTATAATTATATTGAGTGTTTCTATAGGTCATGAATGTCCCTTACAGTATTCCATACAAGTGCTTTCCGACGCATGTCAGCCGTGATACATAATGTGTTACTTAAACATGAACATAGGTAGGTCAAGGCTGTCTGAATATTTATTCCCAAACTAATAATGGATTTACGCAGTAGCTCATTGTATAACCTGACAATCACATTCGTAGAAATGGCTATTCCAGTTTCACTTTTGCGATTTGGTTTGTCTTCAAATGTTGCGTGTACAGTAAATGATGTTCCAGACGTCAGGTAGCCAGACTCAGTTCCTGTTCTCGCCTCCGTCACCGTCTACTGTTGTCTAGTATTGTCTGTATCTGCTGTCCACAATGTCTAACCGACGCTATGGATACTTCGAGTGTGATGAATGTGGTTCATCCTGGGAGAGTGCCCATGTCTACTGCGATGGTTTCGAGGTAAGTTGATTGCGGTTGTTTGGACGTTATGATTTAATTACAATGTTCACCCCGCGCCGATTGGTACGATTCTCTTTAAGGTACACGCGACAGGACTTAACATGCTTGATCTGGTGTAAATATCACCTTGATAAGCGGTGTTTATCATATCCTTGTTCGCTTTACTTGTATGTGTTTGATTGTTATCGACATGTATGAGTAATGCAACGAGTGAGTGAGTGAGTATGGTTTTACGCCGCTTTTAGCAATATTCCAGTAATATCACGGCGGAGGACACCAGAAATGGGCTTCACACATTGTACCCATGTCGGGAATCGAACCCGGGTCTTCGGCGTGACGAGCGAACGCTTAACCACTAGGCTACCCGACCGCCCAGTAATGCAATGAACCCTTTCGGGACGATGTCGTTCCAATCGTCGGATTAATCATGTCCTTTATATATAGAAGTTAGTAACATTATTTTTTCCATTTTTCCCTTCATATTGTCCATTGTACTATTGCAATACTTCACAGAACTCTGGGGGCGGTCGGGTAGCCGAGTGGTAAAAGCGTTCGCTCGCGTCACGCCGAAGACCCGGGTCCGTTTCCCGACATAGGTACAATGTGTGAAGCCCATGTCTGGAAAATTGCTAAAAGAAGCGTAAAACCAAACTCACTCTCTCACTTATAGAACTGTGCGTCGCTCTTTAAAGCGACGATTAACGATACTGATTCTCTTTTAGCAACTAGACTTTTTATAGCCACCTCAATACAGTGAATCTACCAGCTGCAAACGTTATTCTGTATTTTGCTTATTCAGCACATGCCACAGGATTTTTGTGACGAACTTACTAAAAGAAATTATTTGAACTTGCTCCATATAGAAAAGCTTAGGCGCCCTCAACAAAATCTGGTGTGCGATTAAACGTGCATGTTGTCTTGTATAAACAATTATATTTACCCTAATTTGTGACAAAATCTGACAAAAAGAGCGTATGCTCGCGTATATGATAAGTTTCTGAATTATGTATGTCGATTTTGAAAGTTCTTTTTTTTCTATTTCTATATTTATCAAGTAACAAATTAACTCACAAAATCAAATTCAACATGATTTGACTCACAAACTTGGAATGATTTCAGCATATACCAATATAAAACTGCACAGCAATTACAGGTGTTTCCTTTGGCAACGAGCCAGGGGCGTTTCCGTTTAAATGGTTGCTCAAATGCATGAGTCATGTGTTCGATAATAGTACACTGAGGTTCTTGGAAGTCGTTTTGTATGTGCATGTTATTGTGAACAAGAGGGGGCGGTCGGGTAGCCTAGTGGTTAAAGCGTTCGCTCGTCACGCCGAAGACCCGGGTTCGATTCCCGACATGGGTACAATGTGTGAAGCCCATTTCTGCTGACCCCCGCCGTGATATTGCTGGAATACTGCTAAAAGCGGCGTAAAACCATACTCACTCACTCACTGTGAACAAGAGGCAATGCATTTCAACACAATTCACTGTTACGCCTTTGAAAGACAGCAAGGGAACATCCTACTTCTACTTTCGTTTTTCCATTTACCATCACATAATCTGTGTATGGGTGTAAACAAATTCTATATAGGGCATGTAATATATCTACACATCTAACTCGCTATAAAATAAACTACGGTTATAACGAACTCAAAGGGGCTACTTATTTTAGTTCGTTATAACCGTAGTTCGTAATAAGCATATATACAACAAATGGCCGTGACCAAAAAAATAAGTTCATTATATCCGTCAGTTCGTTATAAGCGTGTTCGTTATAAACGTCGTTTACTGTATATCTTATTTGTCCACTGCAGCCGGTGTACGAGCAGGACTGCAGGACATGTGACACCCCCTGTCTGCCCATCCGTGTAGAGAAGCTCATCTGCTCCGTATGCAACGAAAGGGATTGCATATGTACTGAATGTGGCGAAAGAGAGAGGAACATCGACCCCAGCAAAGCACACCGATCTGACCTCTGTCACAAGTGCCAGTTAGGCTACCCCTGTCAGTAGACAGACCTCCACATATGTAATCTATGAAGTGAACTTCTGTAGTATGCTTGATAGTAAGGCACAGTACTTGGTGTTATTTACATGTTACAGGTACTGATTTACAAAAAATGAGGGGACAAAACTCAATATCGGAGAATATCATTTACTGCTGTTTCAAATAAAAGAACGACATGCTATAAGTTATGATACTGAAATTCACGCTTCTAGTGTATTGAATACATTCCACATAATGTCTGTCATCGACAGACATTCTTCCACTTCCAACCGTTCCCTTATTCTATCTTTCAGTATATACACACTCTCATCTGCCGCTGGTTGTTTACTATCTATATTCCGTTTCCAGGACCTCTACAAAATATACCTTTTCTACCTACGCTTCATTACCCAACAAGACCTTGTTTCTGTGTAATATCATTCCATGATTAAATCTTAAAATACACAATGGCTATTTCTTTGCTTTTAACGAACACGACATCGTCATCACCATTGTTCCAGTATTGTGTGGATCTTGTTTGAGCAAGGGCTTGTGTTAGTGAGTGAGTGGGTTGATGCCGCTTTGAACAGCATTTTACTTATATCGCGGCTTGATTTTGGAGAAAAGCTCGTTTAGCGTTAAATACTCTGGTGAAAAAATCACGGATACTAAGGGTCACTACCGGCCAGTGTACACAGATGCTCAGTGTTGACGACTAATATCGGCCCTTTCATACTTTGTAGCCCTCCTTATGTAAATACATGTAGGATATGTTTGACAAATATACCTTCATTTGTAGCGTTACTTATATATCTGATATTTACTTTGTACACAGTGGTTTCTGCTTAGTAATATGATCTCCGTTATCTGTCTTCAAGATACACCGGGTGGGGCTGGGGTGGGGATGTGGGGACGAGTGGCCCAGTCGTCTAAGACGCCGCGATTCGCTGTGCAGAGTTCCGTCCCTTGGGCACGCCAGAAACCGATGATTGTGGGTTCGAATCCCGGTTCGCCCCGATTTTGTTTCTAGGTTTGTCAGCACCATACCCGTGCTCGTGGGTTTCACCGAAGTGGTAAACGTCTGAGACCTTCATCACTCCGGCCTTCTTCCCACATTAAGCTGACACGCCGCGATATAACTGGAATAATGTTAAAAGCGGCGTTAAATCCAACTCACTCACTCACTCACTCAAGATACACCATCCCCAGTCCTCTCTGCATGAAGACCAGCACTGAGCCTGTTAATGGAATGTCATTTTGTTACTTGAAGCTCCACAATCTCTGCTATCCGAGCATATTCTGACCACTGGAGGGTTTAGTATATAGGGAGAAATATCGGACACGGTTCTGTACAAAGTCATGCCTTCGAATGAGTGAGTGAGTATGGTTTTACGCCGCTTTTAGTGAGTGAGTGAGTTAAATTTTAACGTTACATCGGCAATATTTAAGCCATAACGTGACGAGACAAAATTTGACATTAATGATATATGTTTAAACAATATTAAAATTCTCTCGTCGAAGGACAGTTTAATAACTGAGTATCACAGATTTACGTAAAACTGTTTTGAGAGCATGTAAAAATGAATTAGGATTCACCAATAGGGGATAAAAACGGGCTAAAAGATAAAAACGAATCACCACACTAGGGACCATGGGGACTTGTACTTTTGCTACCTGCATGGACCCAAGAAGAATTTACATCATACCTTGAGTTGTTGGCGATGATTGACAACATAGACAAACAACAATTAATACAACACATACGTATTCTACGATTTAAAAAAACATGGCAGAAATAAATATACTTTATTAATCAGCAACAGCCATTGTGTTACCAACGATTCCAACATGGCTGGGTTACCAACAAAAACGATGTTGTATTGGCTCGTAGAAAGAACATTTAATAATTCAATAATTACAAGTGGATGTGTTTAATTGCCTGAAGACAAGAAAGAGAATGTGAAAATACGATTAATTGCTTATATTTAGATTGTTTACTAATGAACTCTAGCGCTGTTGATATTGCTTTTGATTCGGCCGTAAAATGGAACAGTTATCCGGAAGTCATGAAGATGTAGTCCTGGATTCAATGATGGTGGCGCTGGCAACTGTGTCACCGTCCTTGGATCCATCTGTAAATATAGATGTGAAAGTATCACATTTGTTTCTTAATTGATTATACTCTTGTTGATAAATACGTTGATTTGTTTAAGATTTCTTCAATTTAGTTAATATTGGATCCACCTCTGGCTTTACTAACGGCCATGGTGGAGAAGACAAAATCTGGGTTGTGGCTATATTTTCAAGTGTTATTTTAGCAGCAGATATATGATGTTTTATACTTATACCAAGGGGCGGAGTAAGAGACGATTTTGTATTATAGAGATCGTTATAGAGAGGATTAAACACAATCGAAAGCTGGATTGGAGTCATTAGTGTTATGTAAAGACAATTTAATGCGACGTTGCTTTAGTGACGGTACATCAGCCTCTACGTACAGACTTTGAATCGGATTGGGCATTTGATTTCTGTTCAACTTTTTCCTTTCTGTTTTTGTTAATTTTCGGTGATGCGAGGTCAGAGGTGATGCTTCTGAATGATTCTCAGAAAAAGTCGGTCGAAGGACAGACGAAGTTTGGACACTCAGGTTGATCAGATCTGACCCATGTCAAATCGGTCTGACACCGAACAGATGAAGTTTGAACAGGACGGATGAGTGCAACAGAGTAATTCATAACCGAAGGAGTTGTGGCTTGACAAGTTGTTTAGCATCTGCGAATGAAATGGGTTTTTTCCGCACTTTAGTTTAATAAATTTGGTTTCTGTTTGCCAAGTAGGGCAGGATTTAGAAGATGCCATGTGTTAGCCATCACAGTTGGAACATTTGACGTCTTCATGACAATCCATGCCCTCATGGTTGGCACCACAACGCTGACAAACCACGGGGCGAGTACAGGTTTTTTAACCATGTCCATACTGTTGGCGTCTATAGCACCGGAGTGGATTGGGGACATACACATCCACCCCGATGTTAACATAACCATCTTTAGTTTTTTGTGGAACTGAAGCACGGGCAAAAGTGAATAGATAAGTTAACTTTTGTTAGAACAATGTTTGATTTTTCATCTTTGCGAGTAAAACGTTTGATTTTTACTGATTGAACAACTTGATTCTTAAGGTCAGATACAATTTCCTCTTCTGAACATATCCGCCAAGGAACGAGTCCAGTTACTAACAATGCCACGAGAAGAGTGTGTTCTGTGTTCAGAAACAACAAGGTCCATATTGGCAAATAGATTGATTAGTAAGAGATTGAGCGTTTGTTGTTTCCGAGCACATACAACCAGAAGAGATCCAGTACGGGGTCCGGTGACATTTTAACTTCTCCAAGTGCCCTTGTATTGCTTTGGAGATAGCAAAGGGATTTAACTTAATGGGTAGGTGATCTGAAGCTTCGATTACAAGGAATCGAGCCCAGGAATCAAGCCTCATTAGATGAACTTGTGTTTAAATGTATTCTTTTCGAACCAGTGTGAGTGTGAGCCATGATGAAAGAAATGTGTTCTGCACCCCTTATCCCCATCCAACATGGAGTGCCAAACAAAACTCCGATGCAGAAGTGCACCAGAATATCCAACATCCAAACACCAGGGGTACAGGGGAGGACTACTCCAGTAAATACGACATGAAGAGCTATATTTGTCTACCAAATACAATGCAAGACTGGTTCGGCCCATGACAAGAAATTGGAGACATACAGAACTCAGAGGGCGACATCAGCAGATTAGCCCATGAGCCACCGCCTTCTGGCATGGGATTCCAGGCAAATTTATACAATATAATTACCATTTAGAATATGCATACCCAATATTCAATAATTTCAGCATGAATGTTTTCTATACGTAGAATCGGGCCAATTCTACCACCCGTCTAGGTGAAGTAAGGGTCGAAGTGGTGTGTTGGGCAAAAGGAACACCGGTTCATGGCTCCAGTGCCCTCAACCACCAGACTCCCGACCTCTACCGACACCCACGGGGAACGCCAGCAATATCACTGCTGGGGACACCAGAAATGGGCTTCACACATTGTAGCCATGTCGGGAATCGAATCCGGGTCTTCGAAGTGACGAGCAAACGCTTTAACTACTAGGCTAACCGACAGCCCCAGCAAATGGAGTGAGACTCACTTCATCGTCGTAACTCTCAGTTCTGTGGAATGCTGCAAGGATCATTGTCACGTTCTCGCGACCTTGACATTTGGAACAACACTTAATATGCCAAAAAGGCTAACTCACGTACGTTTTGCATAATTATAGTTTGCGTTTTCCCAAAGGGACGAGAACGTGAGAATGTCCCTCACAACTTTCCATAAAGTCCTCAATGAAACCTTTTATGCATTACTAGCCGCCATGTACAACATACTAGGTGTCTTCTAATCTATACAAAGCGAGTGAGTGAGTATGGTTTTACGCCGCTTTTAGCAATGTTCCAGCAATATCACGGCGGGGGACACCAGAAATTGGCTTCACACATTGTACTCACGTCGGGATTCGAACCCGGGTCTTCGGCGTGACGAGCGAACGCTTTAACCACTAGGCTACCCGACCGCCCCCTATACAAAGACATGGTTACGAAGAAGATAAGGAGAATAGAGTTTCCTTTGTAAGACTTAATGGTTACCTGTAGGTAAGATATGTTGAATAATAAATCTGTCACCTCAGAACAACATTGCCTGCATTGGAAAGTCGGTGCTAAGAATAGGTTTACCCGGTGTAGATATATTAACGTTTATTAAAAGGTTCTTGGAACTAGCGATTGTGGTATTATGCACAGTCATGTTATATGACCCGGAAGATTATATGTCGACTGCGCTACGCATATATGCTCATTATCTAATGTAGAATGTATCATGACTATAGTTAGCCCTTTATCTACGTAGTCATGTCAGCTTTACAAGGTGGTATAATGTCAGTTGCGAGACACGCATGGGCAAATCATTTCAACTGTCAAGAGTAGGCAGTTGTGGTTTAGTCTCCTCGAACACCGTCACTCAACGTTACCAGGAGTTGACTGTGGTACTAAACAGGCTGTTCGAAGTACGTCTCTCAAGACACTGGAAGGTCAGCACCATGCCAAACAGGAAGGGACGTCGAACCAAACCACAGAGACTCGAAAGAGTGTACGGGCTGTTCGAGTGTCAGAGATGTAAACACCGCTGGGGCGATGATGAAGTACGTCGTTACGAAAGGACGCACGAGGTAAGGACAGTATCACTTTCAAATAGTAATATGATTTGTGTACGCCATGGATAATATATATCCATGTACATCATTGTAATAGCCTGCAAGTGTAAATATATTTCAATTGAAGTGTAATATTTCGTTGCGTGTTTATTCATTATATTTGGAAGATAACGATTTATCATTCACAAGATTGTATGAAATTCCAATAATCTATTATCAATGTATATGCATTTCTTATTCTTTGACCTTTTCTAAGTCTGTACGTGTTCTAATGATTTTAACTAAAGTTATCGCCGTCGTCATTGCATTATTTGATTTAAAAAAGCGGTTGACAGATGCAGATGGTGTGTGTTTCGCTGATGTGAACTGTCCGCGAAAAAGCTCGCATGTTTAGCATGGCCAAATTTCAGCACGAAATTGTGTACGTCCACTGTTTTATATGTAAGGAAAATCAATAATTGAAGTTGACATTACGCCTTTTAACTACTCTTTCCTGACTTAAAACATAACCTTGCTGGATACTCTGTAGTATTCAGTTACACTGCCATCTGACTACACATCGTACAATTAGCATTAGCATCTATAGTTGCAAGCAATATCAGAAACGAATTATGGGTAAATTGTCTCTGGCAATATATGCAAACGGTCACCACCTACAAAGATAAGTTGTGTCAACTGGTAGGCTATTTAGTTGCAGTTAACATAATTTTGTTTACATATTTCTTGGTTATATTTGACCACAAAACGGAAAGTAAAATCAACGTGTTTTTGCGAATTTTCCATGATCTCTCTTTTCAACAAATAAATCCCAATGCATGCAGAAATGACCAATACAATTTTGTTATTAATTTTTTATGGATGCTGGTAACACTCCGATATGAAAGATTTTCTAGTTTTGCGTTTCTTTTTTAGCAGAGTATATAACCTTGTCTGGTCTTGTCCAATATTCTAAAGCTACATTGTAGTACATGTACAGTAGGACAGAGCAACCATGTATGTCGCTTCCAGTCCATTTGTCGTGCAAGCTATACTGTTCTTCATATACAGGTATTATCTCCTACAAAGTGTAAGATTTGCGGAGAGATGAACTTTCCTCACACAACTGAGCGTCTGGTGCAGGAGCGTCAGATATGGAGCGAAGGTTTCTGGTACAATCCCTCTTGCAGACCAGACCATCATTCCTACAGGTCTTGGCGCGACAATGAACACCACTTCGACGACATCTATGAAGATCGTCAACAACCGAAACACAACAAGAAGCTCGATACACGCAACGATGGCGACGAATGTCATCAGAGATGGAGGGGAGGTTTCTGGTACAATCCCTCTTGCAGACCAGACCATGATTCCTACAGCTCTGGAAGCGACAATGAACACCACTACGACGACATCTATGAAGATCGTCAACAACCGAAACACAACAAGAAGCTCGATACACGCAACGATGGCGACGAATGTCATCAGAGATGGAGGGGAGGTTTCTGGTACAATCCCTCTTGCAGACCAGACCATCATTCCTACAGCTTTGGAAGCGACAATGAACACCACTACGACGACATCTATGAAGATCGTCAACAACCGAAACACAACAAGAAGCTCGAAAGACGCAACGATGGCGACGAATGTCATCAACCACGGAAACGAGGGGCCAAGAGAAACAAAGCTTACAATTACGATTAACACCGGATGTGGTGATGTGTACGGACCTTACTCTTTAAGGTTTAAAAATAGATTTATCGTAAATTTAAAACAAAACTGTTTCAAGTTTTCCCCCCAACTCTCAATATGACTGTTGATGAACCGTTACCGACCGGTTTATACAGACGCTCACAGTATTGACAACTGGTTTCAGTGAACTCGGTTCTATAACATTTGTAGACCACGTTATATAATACATGTTGGATATATTTTGCGAATAAACTTTCATTTGTATTATTGGGTTAACGTTAATATCTACAATACCGAAACATATCAAGCACTTAAAAAGAGTTCATTGTTCTATACAGTTATGGGGAATGAGAACTCCATTGTCGTAACTCTCAGTTCTATGAAATACATTGTAAGGGACAATCTCGCGATCCTGACTTTTGGAAACACGTTAAATATGTAAAAATTGTGAGGATTTGGCCAAATCTTCTTTCTCGCATATTTTGTATAATTATATTTAGCGTGTTTCTGTGGGTCATGAATGTCCCTTACAATATTCCATACAAATGCTTTCCGACGCCTGTCAGCCGTGTGTTACATAATGTGTTACTTAAACATGAGTGAGTGAGTGAGTATGATTTTACGCCGCTTTTAGCAATATTCCAGCAATATCACGGCGTGGGACACCAGAAATGGGCTTCACACATTGTACCCATGTCTGGCATCGAACCCGGATCTTCGACGTGACGAGCAAACGCTTAAACCACTAGGTTACCAGACCGCCCCACTTAAACATGAACATAAACATAAACTATATATAAGTACATAGTTACGAGGAAGGTAAAGGCTGTCTTGATATTGAGTGGTTAAAGCGTTCGCTCGCGTCACGCCGAAGACCCGGGTCCGTTTCCCGACATAGGTACAATGTGTGAAGCCCATGTCTGGAATATTGCTAAAAGCAGCGTAAAACCAAACTCACTCTCTCATTTATAGAACTGTGCGCCGCTCTTTAAAGCGACGATTAACGATACTGATTCTCTTTTAGCAACCTAGACTTTTTATAGCCACCTCAATACAGTGAATCTACCAGCTGCAAACGTTATTCTGTATTTTGCTTATTCAGCACATGCCACAGGATTTTTGTGACGAACTTACTAAAAGAAATTATTTGAACTTGCTCCATATAGAAAAGCTTAGGCGCCCTCAACAAAAAAGTTATCTGGTGTGCGATTAAACGTGCATGTTGTCTTGTATAAACAATTATATTTACCCTAATTTGTGACAAAATCTGACAAAAAGAGCGTATGCTCGCGTATATGATAAGTTTCTGAATTATGTATGTCGATTTTGAAAGTTCTTTTTTTTCAATTTCTATATTTATCAAGTAACAAATTAACTCACAAAATCAAATTCAACATGATTTGACCCACAAACTTGGAATGATTCCAGCATATACCAATATAAAACTGCACAGCAATTACAGGTGTTTCCTTTGGCAACGAGCCAGGGGCGTTTCCGTTTAAATTGTTGCTCAAATGCATGAGTCATGTGTTCGATAATAGTACACTGAGGTTCTAGGAAGTCGTTTTGTATGTGCGTTTTATTGTGAACAAGAGGCGATGCATTTCAACACAATTCACTGTTACGCCTTTGAAAGACAGCAAGGGAACATCCTACTTCTACTTTCGTTTTTCCATTTACCATCACATAATCTGTGTACTGGTGTAAACAAATTCTATATATGGCATGTAATATATCTACACATCTAACTCGCTATAAAATAAACTACGGTTATAACGAACTCAAAGGGGCTACTTTTTTTAGTTCGTTATAACCGTAGTTCGTAATAAGCATATATACAACAAATGGCCGTGACCAAAAAAATAAGTTCATTATATCCGTCAGTTCGTTATAAGCGTGTTCGTTATAAACGTCGTTTACTGTATATCTTATTTGTCCACTGCAGCCGGTGTACGAGCAGGACTGCAGGACATGTGACACCCCTGTCTGCCCATCCGTGTAGAGAAGCTCATCTGCTCCGTATGCAACGAAAGGGATTGCATATGTACTGAATTTGGCGAAAGAGAGAGGAACATCGACCCCAGCAAAGCACACCGATCTGACCTCTGTCACAAGTGCCAGTTAGGCTACCCCTGTCGGTAGACAGACCTCCATATATGTGATCTATGAAGTGAACTTCTGTAGTATGCTTGATAGTACGGCACAGTACTTGGTGTTATTTACATGTTACAGGTACTGATTTACAAAAAATGAGGGGACAAAGCACAATATCGGAGAATATCATTTACTGCTGTTTCAAATAAAAGAACGACATGCTATAAGTTATGATACTGAAATTCACGCTTCTAGTGTATTGAATACATTCCAAATAATGTCTGTTTCCAGGACCTCTACAAAATATACCTTTTCTACCTACGCTTCATTACCCAACAAGACCTTGTTTCTGTGTAATATCATTCCATGATTAAATCTTAAAATACACAATGGCTATTTCTTTGCTTTTAACGAACACGACATCGTCATCACCATTATTCCAGTATTGTGTGGATCTTGTTTGAGCAAGGGCTTGTGTTAGTGAGTGAGTGGGTTGATGCCGCTTTGAACAGCATTTTACTTATACCGCGGCTTGATTTTGGAGAAAAGCTCGTTTGGCGTTAAATACTCTGGTGAAAAAATCACGGATACTAAGGGTCACTACCGGCCAGTGTACACAGATGCTCAGTGTTGACGACTAATATCGGCCCTTTCATACTTTGTAGCCCTCCTTATGTAAATACATGTAGGATATGTTTGACAAATATACCTTCATTTGTAGCGTTACTTATATATCTGATATTTACTTTGTACACAGTGGTTTCTGCTGAGTAGTATGATCTCCGTTATCTGTCTTCAAGATACACCGGGTGGGGCTGGGGTGGGGATGTGGGGACGGGTGGCCCAGTCGTCTAAGACGCCGCGATTCGCTGTGCAGAGTTGCGTCCCTTGGGCACGCCAGAAACCGATGATTGAGGGTTCGAATCCCGGTTCGCCCCGATTTTGTTTCTAGGTTTGTCAGCACCATACCCGTGCTCGTGGGTTTCACCGAAGTGGTAAACGTCTGAGACCTTCATCACTCCGGCCTTCTTCCCACATTAAGCTGACACGCCGCGATATAACTGGAATAATGTTAAAAGCGGCGTTAAATCCAACTCACTCACTGTCTCACTCAAGATACACCATCCCCAGTCTCTCTGCATGAAGACCAGCACTGAGCCTGTTAATGGAATGTCATTTTGTTACTTGAAGCTCCACAATCTCTGCTATCCGAGCACATTCTGACCACTGGAGGGTTTAGTATAGAGAGAGAAATATCGGACACGGTTCTGTACAAAGTCATGCCTTCCAATGAGTGAGTGAGTATGGTTTTACGCCGCTTTTAGTGAGTGAGTGAGTTAAATTTTAACGTTACATCGGCAATATTTAAGCCATAACGTGACGAGACAAAATTTGACATTAATGATATATGTTTAAACAATATTAAAATTCTCTCGTCGAAGGACAGTTTAATAACTAGATTATCACAGATTTACGTAAAACTGTTTTGAGAGCATGTAAAAATGAATTAGGATTCACCAATACGAGATAAAAAACGGGCTAAAAGATAAAAACGAATCACCACACTAGGGACCATGGGGACTTGTACTTTGCTACCTGCATGGACCCAAGAAGGATTTACATCATACCTTGAGTTGTTGGCGATGATTGACAACATAGACAAACAACAATTAATACAACACATACGTATTCTACGATTTAAAAAAACATGGCAGAAATAAATATACTTTATTAATCAGCATCAGCCATTGTGTTACCAACGATTCCAACATGGCTGGATTACCAACAAAAACGATGTTGTATTGGCTCGTAGAAAGAACATTTAATAATTCAATAATTACAAGTGGATGTGTTTAATTGCCTGAAGACAAGAAAGAGAATTTGAAAATATGATAAATTGTTTATATTTAGATTGTTTACTAATGAACTCTAGCGCTGTTAATATTGCTTTTGATTCGGCCGTAAAATGGAACAGTTATCCGGAAGTCTGGAGATGTAGTCCTGGATTCGATGATGGTGGCGCTGGCAACTGTGTCACAGTCCTTGGATCCATCTGTAAATATAGATGTGAAAGTATCACATTTGTTTCTTAATTGATTATACTCTTGTTGATAAATACGTTGATTTGTATCCATGGTGGAGAAGACAAAATTTGGGTTGTGGCTATATTTTCAAGTGTTATTTTAGCAGCAGAAATATGATAATTTTATTCTTATACCAAGGAGCTGAGTAAGAGATGATTTTGTATGATAGAGATCGTTACAGAGAGGATTAAACACAATCGAAAGCTGGATTGGAGTCATTAGTGTAATGTAAAGACAATTTAATTCGACGTTGCTTTAGTGACGGTTCATCAGCCTTGGGCATTTGATTTCTGTTCCACTTTTTTCTTTCTGTTTTTGTTAATTTTCGGTGATGCGAGGTCAGAGGTGATGCTTCTGAATGATTCTCAGAAATAGTCGGTCGAAGGACAGACGAAGTTTGGACAGGTTGATCAGATCTGACCCTTGTCAAATCAGTCTGACACCGGACAGATGAAGTTTGAACAGGACGGATGAGTGCAACAGAGTAATTCATAACTGAAGGAGTTGTGGCTTGACAAGCTGTTTAGCATCTGCAAATAAAATGTTTCTTTCCGCACTTTATTTTCATAATTTTGGTTTCTGTTTGCCAAGTAGGGCATGATTTAGAAGATGCCATGTGTTAGCCACCACAGTTGGAACATTTGACGTCTTCATGACAATCCATGCCCTCATGGTTGGCACCACAACGCTGACAAACCACGGGGCGAGTACAGGTTTTTGAACCATGTCCATACTTTTGGCGTCTATAGCACCGGAGTGGATTGGGGATATACACATCCACCCCGATGTTAACATAACCAGCTTTAGTTGATTGTGGAACTGAAGCACGGGCAAAAGTGAATAGATAAGTTTTGTTAGAACAATGTTTGATTTTTCATCTTTGCGAGTAAAACGTTTGATGTTTACTTATTGAACAACTTGATTCTTAAGGTCAGATACAATTTCCTCTTCTGAACATATCCGCCTAGGAACGAGTCCAGTCACTAACAATGCCACGAGAAGAGTGTGTTCTGTGGCCCAATCTATTGATCTTGTAGAGTGTTTGAATGATTATTGATTGTGATTGTAACAAATAGGGCTTGACTGACACCTCGGCCTGTAATCAGCTATTGTAGGGAATCAATGATAGGCTTACAGATCAGTCGTCTCACGTCCTTGAGAGGGAGATTGAAGCGGACAGAGGGTGGATCACCCTGATTTTGACCCAGTATTGATACAGGTCCGGTGGATCAACAGTATGGTAATATATTGGTGAGGCCGGGTTGATGAATGATTATGTGACCCAGTATTAGTTTGTTTATTTGTTTAACGCTGCACTCAGCAATATTCCAGCTATATGACGGCGGTCTGTAAATAATCGAGTCTGGACCAGACAATCCAGTGATTGACACCATAAGCATCGATCCACGCAATTGGGATACGATGACATGCATCAACCAAGTCAGCGAGCCTGACCACCCGATCCCGTTAGTCGCTTCTTAAGACAAGCATAGTCGCCTTTTACAGCAAGCATGGATTGCTGAAGATCTATTCTGCCCCGGATCTTCACGGGTCGACTCAGTACTAAAAAAGATCGGTTAGATCACTTAGTATGATCTTAAACATATTTCACTAACATTAAAAGGTCAAGAGGATTGGGCAAAAGTCGCCAACTTACAATGCCCTTTCCATGAACATTTATACAGTGTATGCATAACTGTAAAAATGTCACCCAGTATGTGACTCAGTATTGTTTGGCCCGGTGTTGATAAAAGTCGGGTGGGTCATCCCTAATGTGACCCGGCATTGATAAAAGTCGGGTGGATCATCCTTAATGTGACCCGGTGTTGATAAAAGTAGGGTGGATCATCCTGTATTGGCCCGATGTTGATATAAGTCGGGTGGGTCATCCTTTATTTGACTCATTGTTGATAAATGTTAGCAAAGGATTACACAAACAGAATACACCAAACCTGCTTAATATTCATTCATTCAATTGTACATGCATATGCGACGGTGAAATAACTTCACAGGTCAACAGATAAAACAGTTTCACACCGGTGACCATCAGCTGACTGTCTTGTCACCTTTCACAATTAAACTGTAATGACCGCCCTGGCTCCACTCGTCCATCTTACATCGCTAATGTGGTTCACTCGAGTGTCGTATCTCCACAAAGACACGGAGACTTCCTTTAAGTTCCCAGTGAATAGTCGCGCGTGTGATATACAGCGCCACACCAGCTAGGGAGGGTTATATCTCTTCCCTGGTCACCTAGCACCCCCGGGACACGGTTCGCGGCGCCTCAGACGACTGGGCCACCCGTGCCCCCTGTCACAGATGACCAACTGTTGACATCGATATATGTTATCGCGCATCCACATACCACGTAAGCAGAGTGTCAGGTGTTATTCTATCCCGGTGTCTGGCGTATGCCAACTGTCTGTCTTGATGTTGTGCAACAAAACACCCGTCTCTTATAGCCATGCCCTGTACTGTTGTATATGACTCTGCTGAAATTCGAGAAGAATGTCTCGTGATAAGGTGGGCGTGGTAACTCGTCTTTCTACAGTATACCGTTACGTTTACCAGTCACATAATCTGATTTGGTCATTGCCAAGATAAGCTGTATGTGTTACATAATATATGGTGTAATCTTCCCATTTAAAACATACTGTTTGCTGCCTTTCTTAATGACGTCATAATCCCATCGCTGTTTTCTGAAAAATGTAAACAGGCATATAAATTTATTCTATATTTATTAGGGATTAATAGGTGTCTCAATGATTCAGAGTTGCGTCCCTTAGGCATGAGAGGCAACGATGATCGTGGGTTTATCAGAGCCAAATCCGTGCTCCGTGGTAAAAATCTTGACCAGTATTATTTCAGTATTTCACCACATGAAGCCTTTTCGTTTTGTTTGTTTGTTTGTTGTTTAACGCCCCACTCGGCAATATTCCAGCTATATGACGGCGGTCTGTAAATAATCGAGTCTGGACGTGACAATCCAGTGATTGATTTCATGAGCATCTTTCCACGCAATTGGGATGCGATGACATACATCAACCAAGTCAGTGAGCCTGACCACCCGATCACGTTAGTCGTCTCATGATATATGTATACTGTAATGTATACAGTTCAAAGTCTACAGTCTACTGTATACAGTTAAACATCTCACTCCCCCATTTATGTATCATATAAACTAATAAGAAATGTAAATGTTTTCCGAGAAACTGTCACATACACGTATATATTACTGTGAGGAGCCAACAACGTGTCAGCTCTTTTCTACATATCCGCCATCGTGCTGCTGTTGTCTGCTGTCCATGATGTCTGACCGACGCTATGGCTACTTCCGCTGCCCTAAGTGTAACGCCCACTGGGAGAGTTCCCATGTTTACTGCCACGGTTTCAAGGTAGGTGGTTGGTGGTTATAGAGTCTCTCTTTCAGACCCCTGAATATATATTTACTGATAAAATATTCACCCAACCCGTCCAGACCCTTCTCAGATCCAGCACCCTATAGATCCCTTTTCAGATATGAAATTCAGAAATATGGTTCCTATATAGACTTGTTTTTATTTAACCCCATACAGGACAGGGGCTTTTTTTAATCTAGCGGTTGGAGTTAGTCACTGCTGGGGTAGCCCAGTACTTAATGTGTCCGGTCGTTCGACTCCCTGCACTGCTCATGGGTTTAAAGTCTGGGTAAATTAACATATCGTTTCAACAAAATCAGTTAATAGTAGTTGCGATTGTATCTTAGACATTTATCAAAATGAGATGCCATGTGTTGATATTTCTAAATGATACACGGAATTTCGGATATATGAAAATAACTAAGGGTGTGTGATAAACTGTTTGTGACAGTGAAGGAAAGTGCATGTGAACATGCAGTATATCTGTATGTGTTATCTCTACAGGCTGTGTACGAACAGGACTGCAAGTCGTGTAAAATAGGCTGCCTCCCATATGGGGTAAAGAAGATGAACTGTTCCGTGTGCAGTAGTGCAGCGTGCACATGCACCACTGAAGACCGCAAGAAAAGGAATATTGATGTAATCAAACCTCACAGGTCTGACCTGTGTCACAAGTGCAGGTCTGGGAGACCGTGCATATACTGAGGGTGCAGCATTGCACTGAAAGTTGACTGCCTACAGCACCAGACATTAAGGATTGCCTATCTCTCCATAGATAGATGGTAATAATGATGATGATGACGAAAATTCTTTGATAATTGAAATGTCTGACAAAACCTAAACACTATCCTCCAGCTTGTGAGTTTTTATGGGTTTCTTTAGATGTTTGTAAATGCACTGTAAATATAACAATTACCTTTGTCTAATTTGCTTTTAATCCGTACGACACTTGGTTTTTGTAACGAATTTACCCAATGAAATGATTGAATTATATAATAAAACTGCAGGGCAAACACAAAATGATATTTACTTTGGCAGGTTACCAGACAATTGAGCTCTGTTCAACAGATTTATTTTTAAAAGTTGCGTCATTTGTTTGAGAACCGCACCGTGACGTTCATGGAAGTCGTTTTAGTATGTGTGTATTATTGTAAACAAGAGGCCATATACATCCATACTATTCAAAATCACTCCACTGAAAGGCATCAAGGGAAATCCTACTTCTAGTTTCGTTCTCCATCTGTTAGTCACACATAATCTGTATATGGGTGTAAACAAACTCCATATTTGGCATGTAACAGATCAATATCATTCCTTGAATACGACACTCAGACATGGGCAGTTTGCCAGGGTGTCTTGTAAAGGGAGATAACCATGGTTGCTGTTGTTCAGGTGGGCGTAAATGGACCTTAGTTCTAAAAATACCACGTACCTGCATACTGATGTCATATCTATCCATGCAGTTTATATAAATAAAACATTTCATTGCCATGATTGCTCTCTGTGTTACGTTCCTTAAATATTGTTTGGGTAACCTAGTGGTTATTGCGTTCGCTCGTCACACAAAAGGTAGGATCCTATATTAGTTTCCATATTTTCATAAACTATTTCTCTATATGAAGTATCAAACGACGATATTTTTTATTCAGTTGTACATCACCTATATTCGTTATAAACTACATGTGTATCTGGCCAGGTGATGTGAGGCGACCCAAAGTCGTTCCAGGATTCTCTGATTGTTGGTTTGAATATCAGATTCTTCCTGATTATGATCCATGGTTTGTACCTATTGTATATTGTACATGTTACACATACTGATGGACAAAATTAACGGAACACAGCACAATATCGAAGAATATCATTTACTTCTGTTTCCAATTAAAAAGACATGCAGCAGTTTGTCACTGAGGGTAATTCAGACACTGATGCGTTTAACACATTGCCAAATAGTGTCTCCTCATCGTCAGGCACTCTCCGACTTTCAATTGTTCCCCTATATTTGTTCACAGTATATACACACTCCCATTAGCCTCCGGTTGTCAACTATGTATATGCCTGACTTTTCTAAAGATTGTATAAAATTTAAGAACCCAATGGGGATGCGAAGGGGGAGGGGTTAACTATGAGACAGAGAACCATAAACGGAGATGTCCAACTATCAATATGACTGTTGCTTGATGAACCATTACCAACCGGTTTATACAGATGCTAACAGTATTGACAACTGGTTTCAGTGAACTCGGTTCTATAACTCTTGTAGACCGCGTTATATAAATACATGTTGGATATATTTTGCGAATAAACTTTCATTTGTATTATTGGGTTAACGTTAATATCTACAATACCGAAACATATCAAGCACTTAAAAGAGTTCATTGTTCTATACAGTTATGGGGAATGAGAACTCCATTGTCGTAACTCTCAGTTCTATGAAATACATTGTAAGGGACAATCTCGCGATCCTGACTTTTGGAAACACGTTAAATATGTAAAAAATGTGAGGATTCGGCCAAATCTTCTTTCTCGCACATTTTGTATAATTATATTTAGCGTGTTTCTATAGGTCACGAATGTCCCTTACAGTATTCCATACAAATGCTTTCCGACGCATGTCAGCCGTGATACATAATGTGTTACTTAAACATGAACATAGGTAGGTCAAGGCTGTCTGAATATTTATTCCCAAACTAATAATGGATTTACGCAGTAGCTCATTGTATAACCTGACAATCACATTCGTAGAAATGGCTATTCCAGTTTCACTTTTTCGATTTGGTTTGTCTTCAAATGTTGCGTGTACAGTAAATGATGTTCCAGATGTCAGGTCAGGTCAGCCAGACTCAGTTCCTGTTCTCGCCTCCGTCACCGTCTACTGTTGTCTAGTATTGTCTGGATCTGCTGTCCAAAATGTCTAACCGACGCTATGGATACTTCGAGTGTGATAATTGTGGTTCATCCTGGGAGAGTGCCCATGTCTACTGCGATGGTAGAGCATGGGCTTGTGTTAGTGAGTGAGTGGGTTGATGCCGCTTTGAACAGCAATTTACTTATACCGCGGCTTGATTTTGGAGAAAAGCTCGTTTGGCGTTAAATACTCTGGTGAAAAAATCACGGATACTAAGGGTCACTACCGGCCAGTGTACACAGATGCTCAGTGTTGACGACTATTATCGGCCCTTTCATACTTTGTAGCCCTCCTTATGTAAATACATGTAGGATATGTTTGACAAATATACCTTCATTTGTAGCGTTACTTATATATCTGATATTTACTTTGTACACAGTGGTTTCTGCTTAGTAATATGATCTCCGTTATCTGTCTTCAAGATACACCGGGTGGGGCTGGGGTGGGGATGTGGGGACGAGTGGCCCAGTCGTATAAGACGCCGCGATTCGCTGTGCAGAGTTGCGTCCCTTGGGCACGCCAGAAACCGATGATTGTGGGTTCGAATCCCGGTTCGCCCCGATTTTGTTTCTAGGTTTGTCAGCACCATACCCGTGCTCGTGGGTTTCACCGAAGTGGTAAACGTCTGAGACCTTCATCACTCCGGCCTTCTTCCCACATTAAGCTGACACGCCGCGATATAACTGGAATAATGTTAAAAGCGGCGTTAAATCCAACTCACTCACTCACTCACTCACTCAAGATACACCATCCCCAGCCCTCTCTGCATGAAGAACAGCACTGAGCCTGTTAATGGAATGTCATTTTGTTACTTGAAGCTCCACAATCTCTGCTATCCGAGCACATTCTGACCACTGGATGGTTTAGTATAGAGGGAGAAATATCGGGCACGGTTCTGTACAAAGTCATGCCTTCGAATGAGTGAGTGAGTATGGTTTTACGCCGCTTTTAGTGAGTGAGTGAGTTAAATTTTAACGTTACATCGGCAATATTTAAGCCATAACGTGACGAGACAAAATTTGACATTAATGATATATGTTTAAACAATATTAAAATTCTCTCGTCGAAGGAGAGTTCAATTACCAGATTATCACAGATTTACGTAAAACTGTTTTGAGAGCATGTAAAAATGAATTAGGATTCACCAATACGAGATAAAAAACGGGCTAAAAGATAAAAACGAATCACCACACTAGGGACCATGGGGACTTGTACTTTGCTACCTGCATGGACCCAAGAAGGATTTACATCATACCTTGAGTTGTTGGCGATGATTGACAACATAGACAAACAACAATTAATACAACACATACGTATTCTACGATTTAAAAAAACATGGCAGAAATAAATATACTTTATTAATCAGCATCAGCCATTGTGTTACCAACGATTCCAACATGGCTGGGTTACCAACAAAAACGATGTTGTATTGGCTCGTAGAAAGAACATTTAATAATTCAATAATTACAAGTGGATGTGTTTAATTGCCTGAAGACAAGAAAGAGAATTTGAAAATATGATAAATTGCTTATATTTAGATTGTTTACTAAAGAACTCTAGCGCTGTTAATATTGCTTTTGATTCGGCCGTAAAATGGAACAGTTATCCGGAAGTCTGGAGATGTAGTCCTGGATTCGATGATGGTGGCGCTGGCAACTGTGTCACCGTCCTTGGATCCATCTGTAAATATAGATGTGAAAGTATCACATTTGTTTCTTAATTGATTATACTCTTGTTGATAAATACGTTGATTTGTATCCATGGTGGAGAAGACAAAATCTGGGTTGTGGCTATATTTTCAAGTGTTATTTTAGCAGCAGAAATATGATGCTTTATTCTTATACCAAGGAGCTGAGTAAGAGATGATTTTGTATTATAGAGATCGTTACAGAGAGGATTAAACACAATCGAAAGCTGGATTGGAATCATTAGTGTAATGTAAAGACAATTTAATTCGACGTTGCTTTAGTGACGGTTCATCAGCCTTGGGCATTTGATTTCTGTTCCACTTTTTTCTTTCTGTTTTTGTTAATTTTCGGTGATGCGAGGTCAGAGGTGATGCTTCTGAATGATTCTCAGAAATAGTCGGTCGAAGGACAGACGAAGTTTGGACAGCTTGATCAGATCTGACCCTTGTCAAATCAGGGAAGGGGTTAACTATGAGACAGATTACCATAAACGGAGATATCCAACTATCAATATGACTGTTGCTTGATGAACCATTACCGACTAGTTTATACAGATGCTCACAGTATTGACAACTGGTTTCAGTGAACTCGGTTCTATAACATTTGTAGACCGCGTTATATAAATACATGTTGGATATATTTTGCGAATAAACTTTCATTTGTATTATTGGGTTAACGTTAATATCTACAATACCGAAACATATCAAGCACTTAAAAGAGTTCATTGTTCTCATACAGTTATGGGGAATGAGAACTGCATTGTCGTAACTCTCAGTTCTACGAAGTACATTGTACGGGACAATCTCGCGATCCTGACTTTTGGAAACACGTTAAATATGTAAAAAATGTGAGGATTCGGCAAAATCTTCTTTCTCGCACTCACTCACTCACTCAAGATACACCATCCCCAGCCCTCTCTGCATGAAGAACAGCACTGAGCCAGTTAATTTAATGTCATTTGGTTTCTTGAAGCTCCACAATCTCTGCTATCCGAGCACATTCTGACCACTGGAGGGTGTAGTATATAGGGAGAAATATCGGACACGGTTCTGTACAAAGTCATGCCTTCGAATGAGTGAGTGAGTATGGTTTTACGCCGCTTTTAGTGAGTGAGTGAGTTAAATTTTAACGTTACATCGGCAATATTTAAGCCATGACGTGACGAGACAAAATTTGACATTAATGATATATGTTTAAACAATATTAAAATTCTCTCGTCGAAGGACAGTTTAATAACGAGATTATCACAGATTTACGTAAAACTGTTTTGAGACCATGTAAAAATGAATTAGGATTCACCAATACGAGATAAAAAACGGGCTAAAAGATAAAAACGAATCACCACACTAGGGACCATGGGGACTTGTACTTTTGCTACCTGCATGGACCCAAGAAGGATTAACATCATACCTTGAGTTGTTGGCGATGATTGACAACATAGACAAACAACAATTAATACAACACATACGTATTCTACGATTTAAAAAAACATGGCAGAAATAAATATACTTTATTAATCAGCATCAGCCATTGTGTTACCAACGATTCCAACGATTGATTTCTGTTCAACTTTTTCCTTTCTGTTTTTGTTAATTTTCGGTGATGCGAGGTCAGAGGTGATGCTTCTGAATGATTCTCAGAAATAGTCGGTCGAAGGACAGACGAAGTTTGGACAGGTTGATAAGATCTGACCCATGTCAAATCGGTCTGACACCGAACAGATGAAGTTTGAACAGGACGGATGACTGCAACAGAGTAATTCATAACTGAAGGAGTTGTGGCTTGACAAGTTGTTTAGCATCTGCAAATGAAATGGTTTTTTTCCGCAATTAAGTTTATTAATTTTGGTTTCTGTTGCCAAGTAGGGCAGGATTTAGAAGATGCCATGTGTTAGCCATCACAGTTGGAACATTTGAGGTCTTCATGACAATCCATGCCCTCATGGTTGACACCACAACGCTGACAAACCACGGGGCGAATACAGGTTTTTGAACCATGTCCATACGTTTGGCGTCTATAGCACCGGAGTGGATTGGGGACAAACACATCCACCCCGATGTTAACATAACCAGCTTTAGTTGATTGTGGAACTGAAGCACGGGCAAAAGTGAATAGATAAGTTTTGTTAGAACAATGTTTGATTTTTCATCTTTGCGAGTAAAATGTTTGATTTTTACTGATTGAACAACTTGATTCTTAAGGTCAGATAGAATTTCCTCTTCTGAACATATCCGCCTAGGAATGAGTCCAGTCACTAACAATGCCACGAGAAGAGTGTGTTCTGTGTATAGAAACAACAAGGTCAATATTGGCAAATATATTGATTGGTAAGAGATTGAGCGTTTGTTGTTTCCGAGCACATACAACCAGAAGAGATCCAGTACGGGGTCCGGTGACATTTTTAACTTCTCCAAGTGCCCTTGTATTGCTTTGGATATAGCAAAGGGATTTAACTTAATGGGTAGGTGAACTGAAGCTTCGATTACAAGGAATCGAGCCCAGGAATCAAGCCTCATTAGATGAACTTGTGTTTAAATGTATTCTTTTCGAACCAGTGTGAGCCATTATGAAAGAAATTTGTTCTGCACCCCTGATCCCCATCCAACATGGAGTGCCAAACAAAACTCCGATGCAGTAGTGCACCAGAATATCCAACATGCAAACACCAGGGATACAGGGGAGGACTACTCCAGTAAATACGACATGAAGAGCTATATTTGTCTACCAAATACAATGCAAGACTGGTTCGGCCCATGACAAGAAATTGGAGACATACAGAACTCAGAGGGCGACATCAGCAGATTGGCCCATGAGCCACCGCCTTCTGGCATGGGATTACAGTCAAATTTATACAATATAATTACCATTTAGAATATGCATATCCAATATTCAAAATAATTTCAGCATGAATGTTTTCCATACACAGGGCATGGCGTAACCAACCGATTGATAGAATCGGGCCAATTCTACCACCCGTCTAGGTGAAGTAAGGGTCGAAGTGGTGTGTTGGGCAAAAGGAACACCGGTTCATGGCTCCAGTGCCCCCAACCACCAGACTCCCGACCTCTACCGACACCCACGGGGAACGCCAGCAATATCACTGCTGGGGACACCAGAAATGGGCTTCACACATTGTAGCCATGTCGGGAATCGAATCCGGGTCTTCGAAGTGACGAGCAAACGCTTTAACTACTAGGCTACCCGACCGCCCCAGCAAATGGAGTGAGACGCACTTCATCGTCGTAACTCTCAGTTCTGTGGAATGCTGCAAGGATCATTGTCACGTTCTCGCGACCTTGACATTTGGAACAACGCTTAATATGCAAAAAAGGCTAACTCACGTACGTTTTGCATAATTATAGTTTGCGTTTTCCCAAAGGGACGGGAACGTGAGAATGTCCCTCACAACTTTCCATAAAGTCCTCAATGAAGATTCGTTAAACCTTTTATGCATTACTAGCCGCCATGTACAACATACTAGGTGTCTTCTAATCTATACAAAGCGAGTGAGTGAGTATGGTTTTACGCCGCTTTTAGCAATGTTCCAGCAATATCACGGCGGGGGACACCAGAAATTGGCTTCACACATTGTACCCACGTCGGGATTCGAACCCGGGTCTTCGGCGTGACGAGCGAACGCTTTAACCACTAGGCTACCCGCCCCGACAAAGACATGGTTACGAAGAAGATAAGGAGAATAGAGTTTCCTTTGTAAGACTTAATGGTTACCTGTAGGTAAGATATGTTGAATAATAAATATCTGTCACCTCAGAACAACATTGCCTGCATTGGAAAGTCGGTGCTAAGAATACGTTTACCCGGTGTAGATATATTCACGTTTATTAAAAGATTCTTGGAACTAGCGATTGTGGTATTATGAATAGTCATGTTATATGACGCGGAAGATTATATGTCGACTGCGCTACGCATATATGCTCATTATCTAATGTAGAATGTATCATGACTATAGTTGGCCCTTTATCTACGTAGTCATGTCAGCTTTACAAGGTGGTACAAAGTCAGTTGCGTGAAACACATAGGCCAATCATTTCAACTGTCAGAGTAGGCAGTGGTGGTTTAGTCTCCTCGAACACCGTCACTCAACGTTACCAGGAGTTGACTGTGGTACTAAACAGGCTGTTCGAAGTACGTCTCTCAAGACACTGGAAGGTCAGCACCATGCCAAACAGGAAGGGACCTCGAACCAAACCACAGAGACTCGAAAGAGTGTACGGGCTGTTTGAGTGTCAGAGATGTAAATTCCGCTGGGGCGATGATGAAGTACGTCGTTACGAAGGGACGCACGAGGTAAGTACAGTATCACTTTCAGATAGTAAGATGATTTGTGTACGCCATGGATAATATATATCACTGTATATCATTGTAATAGCCTGCAAGTGTAAATATATTTCAATTGAAGTGTAATATTTCGTTGCTTGTTTATTCATTATATTTGGAAGATAACGATTTATCATTCACAAGATTGTATGACATTCCAATAATCTATTTTCAATGTATATGCATTTCTCAATCTTTGACCTTTTCTAAGTCTGTACATGTTCTAATGATTTTAACTAAAGTTATCGCCGTCGTCATTGCATTATTTAATTTAAAAAAGCGGTTGACAGATGCAGATGGTGTGTGTTTCGCTGATGTGAACTGTCCGCGAAAAAGCTCGCATGTTTAGCACGGCCAAATTTCAGCACGAAATTGTGTACGTGCACTGTTTAATATGTAAGGAAAATCAATTATTGAATTTAACATTACGCCTTTTAACTACTCTTTCCTGACTTAAAACATAACCTTGCTGGATACTCTGTAGTATTCAGTTACACTGCCATCTGACTACACATCGTACAATTAGCATTAGCATCTATGTTTCTATAATTGCAAGCAATATCAGAGAGGAATTATGGGTAAATTGTCTCTGGCAATATATGCAAACGGTCACCACCTACAAAGATAAGTTGTGTCAACTGGTAGGCTATTAAGTTGCAGTTAACATATTTTTGTTTACGTATTTCTTGGTTATATTTGACCACAAAACGGAAAGTAAAATCAACGTGTTTTTGCGAATGTTCCATGATCTCTCTTTTCAACAAATAAATCCCAATGCATGCAGAAATGACCAATTCATTTTTGTTATTAGTTTTGTATGGATGCCGGCAACACTCCGATATGAATGATTTACTAGTTTTGCGTTTCTTTTTTAGCAGAGTATATAACCTTGTCTGGTCTTGTCCAATATTCTAAAGCTACATTGTAGTACATGTACAGTAGGACAGAGCAACCATGCATGTCGTTTCCAGTCCATTTGTCGTGCAAGCTATACTGTTCTTCATATACAGGTATTATCTCCTGCAAAGTGTAAGCTATGCGGAGAGATGAATTTTCTTCACACAACTGAGCGTCTGGTGCAGGATATCCGTGATCAGGTGAGCAGGAGCAGGAGCGTGGGTCTCTGCTACAATCCCTCTTACAGACCAGACCATCATTCCTACAGCTCTGGAAGCGACAATGAACACCACTACGACGACATCTATGAAGATCGTCAACAACCGAAACACAACAAGAAGCTCGAAAGACGCAACGATGGCGACGAATGTCATCAACCACGGAGACGAGGGGCCAAGAGAAACAAAGATAACAATTACGATTAACACCGGATGTGGTGATGTGTACGGACCTTACTCTTTAAGTTTTAAAAATAGATTTATCGTAAATTTAAAACAAAACTGTTTCAAGTTTTTCCCCGTAGTATGTGCCCAGTTCAGACCAATTCCAGGCTGTAATAAATAAAAATATTAAAAAATAAAAAATGAATAAACCATAGCTTGCCACAAAAATTACATTGATTTGAAAAAGTTCAGGCGAAAAATATCTGGTTTTGTAGCTGTAGCTGAAAAATATCTATTCTCGATACAAAATCCCGGCCGCCGCACCCCAAAATGTGAAATGGTCGGACCCTTAAGGCCCTTTTCTCCATATATCTCCCTTCACCTGTCGCTCTATCACACTGGGATAAAATGCATGCGGCAGCGGTGGAGAGAAGGGGTGTTATATTTTAGTTTCGGCGTCAAGACCACGTGACATTCCTCACTTCCGCCTTGGTTAGTGTCACGTTCTTCATTTCTTGACAACAAGGAGATAATTATGTGTCAGTGTTAGGTATATATTGACTTTGTAACGTGTTTCATGACTGGTATTTATAGCAGCAGAAGAAGTGAGGTTTGTTTAGTTTGCCAGTGTAAAACAAAATTTATTTATGATATTTGCCTGTCAATTACGTTTTGTAGTATTGTGTAAATAAACTTAAAATTCCACTGAAAATCATTTATATGCTATTTTTTACCTGTATTGTTTATGTCATTTGTTGTTTACTTTTTATATTGTACCTGTCAACACGGATCGCAAAATGACCAGGAAAGGAGCCTTTATTGAAGTGTAGTAAAACGTACTACAAGATTAGTAAATATACTAATACAGTTAGTAAAGTATGAGAAGGAGATCTATTAAATTAGTATAATTCACTACCTAAATCAGTATTTCTTTGAAAGTTGGACAGTAATCTCAAGTTACTGATCAGTAAATTGTTCTATTCTACGATAGGCCATATAATCCGCATAACCCCAGGAATATACTTACTCCAAGAAAAAAAAGAGTCCAACAGAATGTTCACCACATATACACGTGTCATCTGTACATCAACTATCATTCATCATTCATCCATATATAGCTCCTCGTTTATACAGCTCCGGTCACTTAATGATTTTCTCATCATATAACAAGCCACATGGTAAATGATTCTAATGTTAAGTAATGAACCATCATTTTACACCTCCACAGAAATAATGATTTCACAAAGCAGTTGAACAGGAAACTATAACACTATGTAGCTATGCTATTGACTGCTATCATTCCAGCCACAAGAAAGGACACATTAAAACATGATGATAGGTCTTGATTTAACGACTTGAAAATCACAAGCCCAGTCTCATTTACGGCGTAGCATGTATGTTTGTTGTTTAACGCCGCACTCAGCAAGATTGAAGCTATATTACGGTGGCCTGTGAATAATCGCATGTGTCAAGCAAGTCAGAGAGCCTGACCACCCGATCCCGTATGTCGCCTCTGACGACAAGCTTGGTCGCCTCTTACGGCAAGCATGGGTTGCAGAAGACCAATTCTAACCCGGATCTTCACGGGTCTCGGCGTATCATGATACGTATGAAGTTACACAACTCATACACAACTCTTGTACATATTGTACGACTATTTGAACATTAAATTTTAGTTTTTGTTTTGCTTGTTTATCGCCGCACTCACCAATATTCCAGATGAGACGGCGGCCAGTACATAATCGAGCCTAGACCAGACAACCCAGTGATTGATATTGTGAGCAACGATCTACGCCGCCGCGGCACGATGTATGTGCCACGATATATACTAGCCACATAAAGAAACTGTGCACGGAGAAAATATAGATATAAGGGCACACCGTCCACATATGAAATATAGGTTCGAACACAGCAATTATTGGAGACATTCAAACGCTCATGCACTTGCCATGTGATATGACGTCATTGATGGGGGCCTATGGACGTGCAATGTGTTACTGCACGTGCATCCTGTGCAGCTGTACAACTCAAAAATTCGATGTCACTTTGGAAAGCATGATCTGTGGTCATTCAGAAATTCAAAACTGCTCAGGCGCAGACACAAGCATATCACAAGCAAATCATGCCAAGATTGACAGCTGCACAGCGTCATAAAGCCATTGGAATGATCCGAGCGGGAATGAGGCAACAACAGGAGGCAACACATTTCCAATGCCATCGTAACACGATATCGGCATTGGTGAGGCGTTATCAGAACACAAATGACGTTGCCGACCACCCACGTTCAGGATGTCCCCGAGTAACGACGTCAAGACAGGACAGATGGATTCGAGTTACACATCTCCGACACAGGTTCCAAACGGCAGTAACGACGTCCCAGACAATTCCTGGACTGCGCCGTATCCATCCCAACACTGTCAGGAATCGTTTACGTCAGTACGGGATTCGACCACGACGCCCTGCCATACGTCCCATCCTGACACACAGTCATCGCGTCAACCGTCTAAGATGGTGTCGAAATCATGTTCGCCAACCTCGAATATGGTGGAGAAATGTTGTCTTTACAGATGAATCGAGGTTCAACATTTCCCACAGTGACGGGCGCCAACGTGTCCACCGGCGTTTGGGAGAACGTTATGCACGCAACTGTATTGTGGAGAGGAATCGTTTTGGAGGTGGCTCTGTGATAATTTGGGGTGGGATAACAGCACGGCACTGAACGCCTTTGGTGGTTGTTCAGGGCAATCTCACCGGTGTTGGCTACAGAGATCAGATTCTGAGGCCTGTGGTCATTCCTTTCCTGCAACGTCATGGCGAGGGATTGACATTTCAACAGGACAAAGCTCGTCCTCACACGGCTAGGGTCGCAATGGATTTCCTTCACCATAACAATGTCATGTTACTGCCATTCTCCAGATCACTCCCCAATAGAGCATGTGTTGGATGAAATGGAGCGCCGTCTGCGTCGTCTTCCACATCCTCCAGATAACGTCCGTGACTTGGCACAGGATTTGAGGAGGATATGGCAGGCCAGTCCCCAGGCCTTCCATGCCCATTTGGTGGACTCCATGCGTCGCCGATGCACTGCTGTGATTCACGCACAGGGTGGTCATACCCGTTATTGACTTTGTGACTTTGTCGTTTGACCCCCTACTCCATTGTGATCTTCTGACATTTTCTTATGGTCCGATCATTGAGCTGCTACAGCGTCTGCATCATTTTGTTCTTGCTGTGTTGTATTTCAATCCAGAATATATTTTCTCCGTGCACAGTTTCTTTATGTGGCTAGTATATATGTGTATATGTGTATGACAGAGATGAACTGGAAACTGCGCTCGTTACATAGACAACAATGCAAGATAACATCAACACAGCATTCCCTCCCAAGATTGTGTCATGCAACACCTTGTTATGGGACCTGGCTTCACCAAACGTTGGACCCCGCTAGTCCAGTAAACCGACAACAACCGGATCTCCACCTCACACGGCGGTGTGCTCGGTACGCTTGTGAAGATAACATGCCATGCTTTTCAGGATCACGCGAGAATTCTTACACCGACAGCTGTGTATATGTGTGTACATTATGGTGTTTTAAAGAACCCAATGCCATTGTGGTTCTCTTATTTTGAGTTGGTTGTACTTTACACATACGTACACTCACACTCACACTTGTACTTACACTTACACTCACATTTACACTTAAACTCACACTTACACTAACACTCACATTTACACTTAAACTCACTCACACTTACACTCATATCACACTCACACTTACACTCATATCACACTCACACTCATATCACACTCACACTTACACTTAAACTCACACTTACACACATATCACACTCACACTTACACTCATATCGCACTCACACTTATACTTACACTTAAACTCACACTTACACGCATATCACACTCACACTTATATCACACTCACACTTACACTCATATCACGCTCACACTTACACTCACACCCATATCACACTTACACCAACACTCACATTTACACTTAAACTCACACTCACACTTACACTCATATCATACTCCCACTTACACTCATATCACACTCACACTTACACCCACACTTACACTCATATCACACTCACACTTACACTCACACTTACACTTAAACTTAAACTCACACTCACACACATCTGGTCTTCTGAAAATTTACTAAAGCCCGTCCTGGAACTTGAGTGTGTGTGTGAGTTAAAAATTCACATCGGCAACATTTCAGCCATATCATGACAATCAAAGGTTAAACATAATAAATACCGTAAAACAACCTACCAACGAAGGGCAGTAAAATATCACAGAAATGGATCATAAAAAAATATAGTACTATACATAACATTAATATGATGAAAACGGGCTATAGATCGCCACCCACTGAAGGTAGATCACCAAACTGGGTACCATGGGGACTTACAGTACCTTTGCTACCTGCATCCTGGAACTTCGAAATGAGTGGGACTAAAGTTTGATCATTAACCAAGACGGATTCAAGTTTTTCTGCTGCTATACATGACAAAAGTTCGAACTATTGTTTGATTTGAATGGTATGTGGTATGAAAACTGTGTGACTGCGACAGGCACAATGCCCTCCAACCACAGATCATGTATATAAATAATAATATTATCTCAGTTACCATTCAAGACAGACACAGTACATCAGATTGACTTTTGTTTACCGTAGTTAAGCTACAGCAAACATATACATTGACCTCTTCAGCACACAGGCACTACCCTCAAATATGTATTCACCAAGCTTGCATCTTCCCGAGGCAAGAGAGTTAACTTACTATAAAAGTCCAGTTTCCACCCTTGTCGACATAGGCTGGTATTATGGAGTTACATTTTGGCCGGACTAACGAGTCTATGCACAGTCCAATCAAAATCGCACACCGAAATCGAAATCCGGTTCGTAAACTGTCGTGCAGATTTCGATCGATTGCAAGATTTGCAAAGCATGTGCACCGCCAACTCGTTGTCAGCAGATATTTTCCAAATCTGTTCATGTTTTTTGTTGAATTTTGCCATACTTCTAACCTTTTGTTTGATAGAGGCTTCAACTACTCTCGTTGGATGACAGATTTATTCACAGAGCCGTACACATGTCCGACTTCGACGATGCATGAATGTCAACAGACACATATATTCAAACATCAGGGGCAGTTAAATCTGATCATCATTTCCGGTTAACATAAATGTATAAAGCATATAATAATGAAACGTCCATAAAACATCAATACACGGTTACTTAAGTTTACATTCTAACATTTTTAATCAAGGTGCTCACGTGATTTGATGCATTTCGCGATGAAAGACCCGTTTTATCAAAATATAGATCTTGATTATCGATCAGATCGTCCTGACTGGGCGCCACCATTTTGTGGTGAAGCAAACGCAATTGATACGAGAGGTGGAACCTGATTGGTAGGCTTAGAAGGGACATAACTGGTAATAGCCACCGGTGGCGCTACGATCTAGCCCAGTAGTTCCAGCTTAGTTCGGCAAGGGTGGAAACTGGACAAGTCAGTTAACTCTCTTGCCTCGGGAAGGTGCCAAGCTTGGATCCGGTCTATTTATTAACCGTTACGTGGCTCGGAGGAAGTACTATAAAGGTGTAGCGTATTCTGTGTCCGGTGTCCGTGAGTGTTCTGCATCTCGAAGGAGACGAGACAACCGAGGTTGGAAAAGGTTCTTGGGAAGTTCAGGTGCCATATTTGTGCCAACTGCTGGGAAGATTCTGTGTTCCGCGTGGAGGGGATACGAGTACAATGTAGATACAGATTTAAGACGGCCACATATGCAATGACTATGAAATTTGATTGAGTGAGTGAGTGTCAAGTATAGTTTAAAAGCAACATACTGTCAACGATGGCCTTTATATCGGTTTACCATTCCAACAAATTTGGCTTTCTAGGTACGACTGGGAAAAAAATGTACAGTGTGTGACGAGATGACTCTACCCTACTTCACTAAGAGGTCGGAGGCCGACTTTGATAAACTCCGCTTCCATGGCGGTCAGAAACCTTACCAAGGCGGAGGTCACGTCAAAGGCGGCTACAGGGTCGACCACCACGTTGGACTTAGGGTTTCCTGTAATAAGAGTGTCCGACACTTTTCACACCGGAATTGGGATCCGGTGTCACTTACATTTTCTCTCCAGAAGGATGGAGAAAGAATAATTGACGGATAAACTTCCCTCAGTACCTTTACTAGAATACATGTATACCACCAGGTCTATTAACAAACAAATGTAATGTGTAACCACACTCGGTTATGGTGACTAGGACAATTGACGACAACAGTCCGTAGCACAGGTGGTACAAATAAGGTTGCAGGTTCGAATCTTCACGAGGTTTAAACATATTTGTGTGCATAAATGTGTTATTGTTGTATGGCTAGTAGTATTTCTCTCACACAGGAAGGTGACAATGAAAGTATATCTGTTTACTAGGAGGCAGGGCGGGACAACTTAGGAATGGCCATGAGTCCGAACTTGACCACACAGAAGGAAGCGAGCTACAAAAACATGTTTTATATCACTGGAAAGCTCTCAAGACGAATCCAAACAATGTGTGTCCCAGTGTGTTCACATGTTCATAAGCTCAAAAATTGGCTCAGAAAATGCATTACTGCAGAAATTTCTGGCAGAATTTTTTTTTTCTGCAGAAATTTCTGGCAGTATTTTTTTTTTCTACAGAAATTTCTGGCAGAATTTTTTTCTGCAGTAATATTTAGCCAAATTATTTTATTTCAGGAGAAATAAGGTTCAATCAGTGGATAGTTTAACCTGGAGTTGCTTCAAATGACCTTTTTCCTCAAAACAAACATTTTTAGTTCACATGATTACAGGCAAAAAAATAAAACTAATTTTGTGAGATCTTTCAAAAAATTATTTATTCACATGCAATTCAATTCCTTGGGAGACTTTGCACTTTTCATTCTCATGAATGAGTCACATTTTCTTGGGTGAGGTGATTTTTTCGGGATGGGTCCTGTCACAAAAGAAAATAGATGTATAGATGAGTGGATCCATATTGTCTAATATAATGGATAATGGCAGCCTATACGCAGCTTGAGTTTAACTTTACAATAGAGCCTACGGAATAAAATGTATTATGAATGTAAATAGTGTGCTTTATTTACGTTTTCTTCTCAACATACTTGAAAATTCTTTAATTTGTCTGGTCATTGAACGCTATGTGCACATATTCTGAAAAGATATGAAAAAACCCATTAAAATGCTTTTCATTTCAGTAATTAACACATTCCACAAGCTTTAGACACATGAACAAAGTAAGATAAGTGAGGTGAGTTGAAATTGGGTTGAATGTCACATCCAAGATAATTGCACTTATATAGCGATGTGCGTGTGTGCGCGTGTGTGCATGCGTGCTTGTACCAGTCCGGACTGATGCCGATTTATAGTGCTAGCTCACTGAGATACCATGCCACAGTTTAGCACAGTTTAGACACAGTACACTGACTCCAAGCCGACCAGTCCTTGTTTTAGCCCCTTAATGCCAGCACCAGACAGGGTAACAACAAATACTCTTTTAACGTCTATTGGTATGATGAGGCCAGGGATCGACAATGTAAGACTTACTAAATTTGAATCATAGCATATTGAAAGTTCAAGGTCACATAGCATACGTTAAGTTCAAGGGTTATGAGCTATATAAATACTCTTAGAATTACCTCCATCAATGCGCTCCACATGACCAGGGTACCTATCTGCTCTGTGCACCAGCCATGGGGCCTCTACTTCGTCACCTTTCTTTAACTATATCAGATATACAACATGTATATTAAGTCTTGTAACCTGTATATTAATTCTTTAACACGTATATCAATTCTTGAATGCTTAAAAAGTCACAGTGAAAAGTTTTAGACAATATAAATATGTAAATTGTGATCAGTTCTGAAGATAAATGAGATTTCTGATAAAATGCTATGAGAAATGGTTTTTATTGACAGTAAGTAAGAAAATCATTAACCATGTTGTATTCTGTGTGAAAACTATTATAACTGATTGTGTTGATGCTGTATCTTTGTATTCTGCTTACCTCTAACCTAATCTTGCTTGCTGATTGCCACTCGTCGTAGTTGTAGCCAGTCCAATGTATTTTCATTTTCTCCTTTTGGACCGATAATACTTTAGCTTTATACCTGTATTATATTAAAGATAAAAAATAAATCATGATTTCAGCAGAAAATGAAAGATATATATCTATTTTCACTGTTTTGTCTCTTTTGCTCCACTGACATTTTCCCAAAACTATTATTAGCAGACGGAAAACACAACACTACTAGCATACAAAGTGTATACAAGTTCTTTAAAAAGAAAAGTCAATCAAATCAACCATTATGCACTTCCTGTCCGAAAACATTTAACTTCTATCACATGTCTCCCAAATTTCAAAAATACAATAACAAGTACTTGACACTTCTTGTCAATAACCGTAACCATGAACTGGGCTTCAAAGAGAACATCAAAATATAAGTATTGTACTACTCAGATGCTACCAACATGTGTTAATCTGCATGTCGTCGTAATAAAATGTCGGCTTAAAACCCCGAGATTTCAAAAGAGATGAAAACTGGAGTTACTTGGCATAGGTTGTAGCTGGGTAACAGATGGGAATGAGCAGACAGAAAAGATATTATGTTATTCAGCATAAACTGCAGAAATGGTTCAGTAATGAACATAAATGTCATTTTCACAACTGTCGCAATGCAATTCTGTGAGCAATTTCAAGAGATACAAAAAGTGTGATCCTTCAAGCAAAATTTCTGTTTCAAAATGAGCTATAAGTTTCAGATGAAATGCCTAGTATGAAACGGGCGGGGGATGGAGAAAATTGATTTTCAATCAGGAGAGTTAAAACAATTAATTGATATGAAATAATAAATATTGTTACATAAGGAAGATCATGATCCATCAGTATCTTATATATAATCATAAAAATATGCTTGTGTGAAACGTGATGAAAACAATTCAATATATGAAATTTCCTTCAACAGTGCAAACAGTAATTACATACCAAAAGCCATCCTCCTCCAATGCCTCCACAATCATGCCAACATTGAATTTGCAGGGGGACATCTGTGGACAAAATCAGTGTTATGTGTGTTTATATTAAAGCATGGTACTAAGTGGACAAAGAGGATGTTTTCAACTCACAGTCATTTCTGTATATTCTATTTTTAAGTTTTCAAAATATATTTTCCAGTTTTTCACAATACTGATCTTGCTATAGGAAATGTGGTGATTATCATATTGATAAGACAGTGAATCAGCTTCATTAGCTTTCATCTGAATCGAACCCATGTGGACAGTAATGTTGCCAAGGTTCATAATCAGGGCGAGTCATCAATATCAGTTATAGACATGCACAGCAACAGTGTCCATGGCCCAAGGAAATCCACATACATGTTTACACTAGCATATAAGCTTGTCAGTTACTGCCCATTATTTCTACAATCTGCTCACCTTTTTATTGTGCCGCCTCCTTTGCAAGTATGTCTCAACCTGAAAGAGAATCAAACTATTGGTTTACATCAGGGACTATCTACCATTTTTCACACATTAGGGTTTAGTCAATGAACTATATAAATCAGTTTATTTTTATATATTAACTTACCATTTTCTCAGTTTGAACAATTCTAGATGCCTGCAAATAAGAATAGTTCACATTAATTAGAAGCATTAAAAGGTCATTAAAAGATAATAAAATGTGTCCTTTTTATAGAACTTGGGTACTTAAATGTAGACCACACCAAAAGAAACGATCAGGTGATTGATCATGTATTTGATATTGATATTCCTTTTCAATGACCTGGCACTTACCGGTAGTTCAGAGGAGATGTCAAACAGAAGTTTTATAACAGACAGATTGATTGAGGAACATTGCAGTGAGAGCATTTATTTGTGTGAAACCATTTATTAAAATGGTTAAGTGTAAAAGGAATGTTTGAAAAAAGCATTATTTCGGAACTAAGCCGTTCATATATATCCAATCCATATATGGAAAGTTTTCATAACTTACCTTGTCAGATCCTGTTTTCCTCATGCTTCTAAGCCTTGAACTTGAATGTGGAATCTGATAAAGAAAGTATTAAATACCTTATGCATTTGAAGGATATCATTGTCATTTAAACACTACTCTTACAAAAGATAAACTGTCACCAAAAACATTTGAGATAGTAGAAATAATTCAGAACTGATTTGTGTGTGCAAACGTTTCCCTGCCTGACTTATGGTTGAATTGGCAGTAACTTGAATGAATGAAGTCTCCACAGAACATTGCAGAACATTTAAAACTCCAAAACACTGTGTGTGTGTGTGTGTGTGTGTGTGTGTGCGCGCGCCAGCTATATCAAGCGGCCTGTATTAATATTGAAGTTTGGACCAGACACGCCGCCACTGAGCCTGACCACCTGATACATCAAACTAATAATAGCAATAACATTCTTTTCAAGCTAATATAGTAATTCATTTAATATATGTTGTTCATGAAATGAATAATAAAATAGTTTTTATAATTACCTTTCAACTCTTTTGAGGTGCTCTTCCTTTGTAACATATCACCTGAAAATAGTAGTTTTTCGAAAAGATACATCAGTCGATACATAAAGTTACATAAATTGCATACTTCTCTAATTATAGCTGCTCAAAATAGTTTATTTGATCATGTGGATCATAATAACTTTCAGTTACACACATGTAGTAATATTTTATTATAATTAAGAATAAACAAACCATGTGCACTCATGATATTTAATAGGCACTGTAAAATGAGGTTATAGTAGTATCAGATCTGACAAAATACTTACTGGAAGATCCTGGCATTCCATGATGGGTAGATTCTAATAAAAATAAAATGTTATATAGGTGTATGGTTCCATAACATGTTATTCACTGGTCAGTTGAATTAATTTCAATTAACACACTTCACTTCACATTAAGTATATGCAGATACATGCAGGAAGAGAACTGCTGAATATTGGGTCAATATAGCTTTATAAAATTTTATGGCATTTAAACTCTATGGCAAGATTAAGTATACGATCATAAAGTAGTGAGTGAGTGAGTTGGGTTTAGCGCCGCTCTTAACAGTATTACAGTTATATCGTGGCGTGTCAGCTTAATGTAGGAGGAAAGCCCGAAGTGATGCAGATCTCAGACCTTTACCACTTTGGTGAAACCCTAGAGCACGGGTATGGTGCTGACAAACCTGGGAACAGGTATTCGAACCCACAATCATAGGTTTCTGGCATGCCCAAAGGACACAGCTCTGCACACCGAATTGTGGTGCCATAGACGACTCGGCCACCAGTGTCCCCGGTAACAATAGTATGCAAACTTTCATTTGGTACAGGTGTGCTATCTGGGTTTCTGTTTCTGCTTTACTAACCTCATGATGTTCCTGTGCTGATTCCTCATGGAGTAACCCCTGCAACATAATATCAACGTCAAACTAATGGCATTTTTTCTGAGGATAAATAAAATTCACTATCCACTTCTGATTTTCTTCTGCCAATAAACATCCAATCCAAACAAGGAATCAGCACCTATAATTAGCCCAGGGCTTCATTGCCCGTCCAATATTAGGAGCCTGTACATGTCATGTTGCTGTTGTCATCATGTTACTCCTAAAGGCCTCATGACCAAGATGAAATAATTAGGTAATTGTCCCTGATAAGCCCCAAACATAAAGTAAAAGTATTAGCTCTTATAATTAGGTGACATGGTTCATTTTCATTGAGTATGAATTGTTGTAACTCACCCGAACTAGGGTCCCTTGTAGGTCCAGGTCATCATCACTGAATGCATAAACCTGTAAACAAGACAATACAATATATACAGAGGTCCTTATCATATACATGTATCTCTTATTTTGTAGAAGATAGGGCTCTTGTGCTACTTAACTGGAGAATTTCATGTTTGAATTGGTCCACAGCAACCTATGTTGACGTGTCAACATACCCTGATGGCAAGGATTGTTGCTCATAATAACAATCACCTGACAGGCCGGCTTGAATATTGCCAAGTGTGGCATTAAACAACAAATACAAACTGACACAAGTGACTGAACTTGACATAATACATAATGCACAAACACCACTAAAACAATTGATTGAGATGTTATATATTGTGAAAAAATTCATTCAAAATTCATTCAAAAGTAATTCATCAGGAAGATATAAAATAAACAATGTCTGTGGTTATAATAAATAATGTGTGAAACTATTCCCATAGATGCATGTTAAACATAACCTTATGATAACCACCAGCCAATCATACATATACATATTGATATAAGAACATATAATTATATTGTTAAATATAACTTTTCATGATAATTATGTCACTAAATCTGTATCTTAAGTAATGCATCACCAAATTAATGCTGACCCCTGAATTTAATGTGAGTAGCCCTGCCTATAAATACTGTAGAAGACAAAGTCTTCTTATTTTACATTTGTAAACAATGTAGAGTCTAAAATAAGAATGATACTCACATCCAGCTCAGGCAATCTTCGTATTTCCTGTGATTTCTCCTGATCCTGACATCTTCGAGGCTGCTGTGATTTCTCCATTTCCTGAAATTAAGAGGGAGGATCTCCAGAATTAACGTTTTTTCTCTCTATTTTTTGTATTGTTTCATTAACACCGCATTCAGCAATAATCATGCCTGTACATAAGTGAGTCTCGACAATCTAGTGATTGATCTTATGACCATACTGGCATGATTGGGGTACGACGACACACAATCACTTAAGTCACAGAGTCTGACCACACAAACTAAGTAGTCACCCAAATCGACCAGCACAGATATCTAGGGACCAATAAAAAAAAATTTATTCTAACCCGGACTCCAAACAGACTAAGAATGAAAGTACATTGATCAAGTGTAACTAACCACCAGTGTAACTAAACATACCATTTTATCCAGTTCCTGTCTTAGAACTTGGTTGTTTCCTCAGCTCCTGAATCAAAATGTCCTTCTCTTTCAGTTGTTCTTGCAGCACTAATACTTCAGCAGCTGCCTCCTGATTGTTTCCAGTTCCCTTCAAATATAATATACATTTTCATTTTCATACTAATGACAATTAAAAACAACAACTATATAAATTATTCACATGTTGAAGTTCCTTGAGTGAGTGAGAGTGTTTAAATGACAAAGATCTGATTCTGTCCTTAGTACTCCTTACCTTGTTTTCTTGTTTAATCTGTTTAAGTTGATTGTTGAACTCTTCTTTGGAGATTTCACCATTTCTAAATTCTATTAGCTTCCTATAAAGGGTTGCCTCATCTTTAAATGAAGCAGTCTCCAAGAAAAGACAGGTGTTGACCTTTGTGTTCTTTTGTTCCTTAAGTTTACCAAGGCTGAATAATTCCATAATATCAAGGATGAGACGATAACATCTGTCTGACATCGTAGCTACTGCTAGCTGAACTTTGAAACAACCACCAAAACGGTGCTGGAAAAAGGCATCAAATAGAAGATTCAACACATATTCAGTAAAAATCAACAAATGCATACATCTTAACATGCATGAAGATCCAGGGTAGAATAGGTCTTCAGCAACCCATCCTTGCCGTAAAAGGAGACTATTTTCGTAAGGGGCGACTAACAGGATCTGTTGGTCAGGCTCGCTGACTAGGTTGATGCATGTCAACGATCCCAATCCCGTGGATCGATGCTCTTGATATTAATCACTGGATTGTCTGGTCCATACTCGATTATTTACAGACCGCTGTCAAATAGCTGGAATATTGCTGAGTGCGGTGTTAAACAACAAACCAACTAACCAATCTTAGCCTGCATTACATGACTTAAAGAATACAAGGGAAAATGTGAAAAATAATATGTAAGCCAACTGCTACACTAGCTTCAGGTGCTGAATAACATTTTGGTTTTTTAATTAGCATGTCCAATAGCGCAATCGTTTTCCATGAGTACATGTGTTTAAAACTGTGCATCACACTGATAGAATTGTAATACATGACATGACATCATGGAATATTGTTCTGGTACATAACCTCATGTGTGGCCACATGGAAAATAGAGTATGATATCTTACACGTGATGTCTCTGTTGGTTTCACTGCTGCCTGGCACTGTTTCCTCCATTTAGTATCTGCACTGCAAAGAAGGGCTGTCTCACTTTTACCAGCTGTTGGGTGAAGGTTGTGAAATGCCTAGAGAAAAAATAAAACGAAACATTACATGTAATGTATCAAAAGTGCAGGAAATAAGACAGAAATGATGGTCCATTGAATTGATAGGTGCACACATATTTTGTAAAAGATGTATCTTCAACGGCTTTACAGTATTTGAAATTAAGGGGAGGTTGGGGTGTCGAGGTTTTCATGTATGAATCCTTGAATCTAAGAACCTTCCAATCCTTAACTTGTAAAATTTGGATATGACAAGGACCCCCATGCTTAATTTGGTACCAGTGAGTCAGTGGTCAGTGGAGTGGATTAACAATGCATCCTCCCTATTTCCTGGAGAGGAATATTCATAATGGAAACACGTAAAAAAAATATGATACCATTACGGCAGCCTTAAAATTAAGGGGTTGTTCACCTGCTGGGGAGGTCTCTGCCAGTGATATGCAGGGTATGTCCCCTGGTTTGGCAGCCGAAACAGCTCCTGAACAAATACACATGAGATAGATTCTATAGGCCAATATAAAAAGAAATTGCAATGTAGTAACTTATAGTTTTGTTTAATATACATTAAGTATTTTCTCTCTACCTTCATATTCAACATTATATACACTCATCAGCATGTCAAGTGTCTCCAGGAAGTCGTCTGCATCTTCTGTTTTGTACAGGTCACTCCATAAGTTGTCAGTGACTGCATATTTGTGTAGGGGGCACTCAATGTCCACACTGTCATGAAGCTGAAAATTATATAAGGATGAGTATACTGCGAAAATTACATTGGATTAATTCGTTAAAAGAGACTTATGTATCATGTTTGGGAGAGGCATTCAGATAAGCAAAATTTGCTTGTTTGCCAATCCCTCAACTTTATGGAAATAAATATGTTTATATCAAGAGACTTCTAAACCATAACCGAACTCAAACTAGCCCCACGTGTCGTAAATTGGTGCTCTAAGCTAAAAGGATGGTAAACACGTAAATCATTGGCAAGGGGTACTCAACCCTTATGATCGGAAGGGGGGTCCAAGGACAAAGGAGAGACCAGACCTACTACCCAGAGGGGCCAGTCTGGTAAAGCTAGCATAGTCTATGTCATCAGCAGCTGGTCACTGCGGGATAATGTGGTTTGGGCGTTGCTGTTCAAGTTCGAATTTCCGACAGGCCTGTCTCCACTAAAAAAAATAGATAAATTTTCGGACAGCATAATTTGGTGTCAGATCTTTAAAAACTTCCGAACGACTGTGAAACCATGGTAAGAAGTATTATTATTAATGAAGCAACCTTCCCAAATGTGTGTGCTGCATAAGCTGGAGTGGTTCTCCTTGAATTTCCAAAATATGAATCGACAGACGAAAAGAAAATTAGTTCGCTTGACATATCCATTTGGGGGTTATTCTTTTTTAGTTTGGTGGAAAAATGATATGAAACACTGGGGCTGCCCGAGGACTAAATAAATCATTCATACAATTATTGAAATACCCGTATACATTCTGATTGTCGAGTGACCCCGTGAACAACCAGCACCCTCCTTACCCCCCTTGCCGGTTTTCAATATATTCGATAACATACTACTTAGATGTGAACTGTTTAACTGACAGCTGTTAATTGGTAACGGTCAAGCCTCAGTGAATTTGCATTGGGAGTGTGTGTGTGTGTGAGGGGGCGTCTGGAATATAGGTGGATTCAAGTCGGAATAAAGATAAGATAATGATCTCATAAATTTTATTGAAGGCTTTGAAAGTTTAGGATCGGCGAGACCGTAACACAGAGTAATTAACAAAACGATCACGTGATCGTGGCGCTGATAGACAATACCCACCGACCACGTGCGCGAGACAATGGAAACAGGCCCTAGTCATACCAATCCCTAAACCTAATAAACCAGCTAATCAAGCTAACTCATATAGGCCAATATCCCTAACTTCAAACTTATGTAAAGTAATGGAATCAATGGCTAAAAATAGATTACAACATTACTTAACCCAAAATAACATCATAAACCCAGATCAAAGCGGTTTCACTCCTGGCCGCTCAACCCTAGATAACCTCGCCCGACTAGAACAAGATATTAAGACAGGACAACTAAATAAACAATATACCACAGGCATCTTCTTAGACTTCTCTAAAGCTTTCGACATGGTATGGCACGATGGGCTAATACAAAAACTTAAAACAATAGGACTCAAAGGTCAGATAATAAACTACATCCAGGACTTCCTAAACAATCGTAAAATAACCGTGGGTATAGACCAAACTCTATCGGACCAATGTCCCCTAGAAAATGGTACTCCACAGGGCAGTATCCTCAGCCCCACCCTCTTCAATATAATGATAAACGATCTATTCGAGGGCCTAGCCCCTAAGGTAAACACATCAAAATTCGCGGATGATGGAGCCATCTGGATCCGCACTAAAAGCATGAACATGGTCCAAAATCTACTCCAAAAATCTCTTAATAAAATACAACAATGGGCTGACAAATGGGGCTTCTCCCTTAACTCAGAAAAAACAACAGGAATAGTATTCAAACATAAAAACATGAAACCCGCCTCCCCAATCCTCCAGCTAAACAATCAAACAATCAAATTTCAAAAACAAACCAAATTCTTAGGACTTATTTTCGATGAACATCTCACCTGGGATGCTCACATCCAAAACCTAACAACTAAATGCAGTAAAGACCTAAACACCCTAAGATGCCTAACTGGCTCTAACTGGGGAGCATCCAAAGATACCCTCCTCTCTCTCTCCATATCACTAATTAGATCAAAACTAGACTACGGCTGCGCCATATACAACACCCTAAACAACTCTCTATCTAAAAAACTTGACTCAATACAATATCAGGCTCTCAAACTAATTACACGCACCCAACATGGCACCTCCTACACCTCACTTCAGGCCTTAACAGGAGAAATGCCACTAAGTCTACGCAGGGAACAGCTAAGCTTAAATTTCTGGGCCGCGTCCCAATCAAACCCTCTCATCCAAAACTTAATAAACCAAAACATCAGCCCCAAAAACCAAGCTCTAGCTCGTAAACACCCCTTACTTACCCCAATATCCCAAAGAATAACAAACTACCTAAATGAACACCAAATTAAAAAACTTAAACAAAACTGCAAACAATCAAATATCTTCACCCCTAAACTTAAAATACCCAAAATAGACACAACACTAGCTAGCCAAATAAATAAACAAACCGACCCAAACATAGCTAAAACTACCACACTAGCATACATACACGAAAATTGGCCAAATTGGTGTCACATTTACACGGACGGATCCTCAGATCCGACCTCCAAACACACAGGTTTCGGAGTCCATACCACACAACCAACTAAAACCACACGATCCTTCCGACTCCCAAACAACCAATCAATATTCACGGCAGAACTAATGGGCATGGCCTCAGTCCTCCATAATCAAGAATAAAAAAACACAAAAATATCCTAATACTTACGACTCCCTAAGTGGACTGCAAGCCCTCCAAAACAAAAATACCAAAAACCGACCTAAATTAATAAATCAAATACTTAAAAGCTCCAACGACCTAACTAAGGCAGGCAAACAAATAACCTTCTTGTGGATACCCGCCCACGTAGGAATATACGGTAACGAAAACGCCGATAAAGCAGCTAAACTATCCCTCAAAATCCCAGAAATAAGCTTAAACTTACCCATCTCAAAATCAGAAATTAAAAGTGTAATCAAGCAAAAACTCACAAAAAAATGGCATAACCTATATCTAAACTCAAATAGCCAAATCAAAAAAGTGCTCAGCAAACCACTAACCAAACCCAAAATTCTCCATCCATCGAAAAAAATCGACAGAGTAATCACTAAACTCCAAACAGGACACACCAACCTAAATAACCACCTAAATTTTTTTTAAAAACACACTACAGGTAACTGCCCACACTGCAAACAACCAGAAACCCCAGAACACGCACTCATCCACTGCACACACTACCTAACACATCGAACCGCATTACAAACCACCCTCAATCTAAACAAGGCTCTAACTCTAGAAGCAATACTAAACCCACAAAATAAACTAGAAAACTTCAAGGCCTTAGGCGTATTCTTAATAAAAACGGAACTAATAAAACGCATCTAAAAACACAATAACCTACCAAATCAAAATCACATAAACAAACAAACATCCACCATACCCAGCTCCCTTAGTTCTCCTCCCCAATCCCATCGGCATCTATTCCAAATCTCAAAATTCCCAAATTCTATATAAGCAACCCCTAAAACCCCCCTCTTGGGTTGCACAGACCACCTTCGCCCCTTTCGGAAACACATTAAATGGCCTGGCCGGGCCCGTGTGCGAAATACGCATCAGTCGGAAAGCGCACGTTAAATCTCCAAAGTAAGTAAGTAAGTAAGTAAGTAAGCGCGAGACAATGTATCACCGTATGAAGTGACAATACCCGAGGAAATTTAATTGCCAAGTTGGCAGGAAGTCTGGCGGCACGTCACGTACAATATGCGTCGTTTGGGTATTCTAAATTGTCCCAGCACCAGCTTTGATGGGGCAATAAGAGAAGATGACATATATGTTTTTTTTAGGAAAACCAAAGACGTATATAGTATATACGTCCGTGGGAAAACATTAATACAACAATTTGTTATATTCATAAACATTGGGTCCAAAAAGTTATTTTTATCTAAATATTTCTAACGTTAAAAATAATAGAAAACTCGCATGTAAATTATCAAAATACTGCATGTATTATTTTGTAATTTTTCGTGTTTTCACTGATCACCACAGGCAAATTCATGGTCACATAGCTACCCTACAAGTGTCGCCATACAGCTACAATAAGTTGCCTAATGTACATGTAGAAAGTATACAAGTCGCAATAACACCACAGGGGATGGAGATATCTCCTTTTCGGATTAGTTTGTTCGCGTATTTTTTTATCAAAAGTTGTAGAACTAAATACACTAAAATTAGATTCTTACAAAACGCGTTTCGCATGGCAGCAAAGCCACACAATCACTGTTTGGAGTACAGTTTGTTATTTGGTTGTTGTTATATAAAATAACCTTGTTACCAAAATGGTTTATTTCCACGTTCTAGGGACGGCGTTTCCAGAAATAAAACAATAAATATTTTGACGTCTTACCTGTATCGTAACTGCAAGACGGTAACCAGACGCTGTAACTTTGCTGACTGCACGTGGTTCGGGATCTTTGCTGTGGCTGAAATAAAGAGTGCTATTTTTTACAGAAAGAGACCACGTTGCTTGTGCCATTGTGCAAGAATGCGAAGGTACATATACACGAATATATACAAGTCACATGACAAAGAAAGGTTTTTACATGAAAGGTATTTCAAATCTCGATGTTAGATACCTTGAGAAATGTAGATTTAACTGAATCCAATCCGATTACGTGTTACTATCATTCATTACAAATGGATAATACGATATTGCATTATAGAGAGGGTAATTATAGCTACCTGAAGGAGCAACCATATGTCCACTCTTTTAAGTTGCCGCCAAACCGAACGCGTAATTGTAACTCGCAAGAACACTGTGTACACAGCTTCTTTCTAAATTTGGAGAAGCGTAAGTGTGGTGAATGAAACAATATGAATGTAAGTCAGGCATGAAGTTGCACGGAGGAACCAACGTGAGACTTTATAATCACATGGTTGTTCATATATGTTATTTAATGCGTGATAGGTATTACCGCTTAAAAGGTGGTTTTGTATTTATAATAAAAACCGATCGTTTACATTTAACATAGAATATAAAAATAGTTTTGTCTGGGTAGCAACATAACTGTTGCATAGGGTATGTTGTTTAATGATAATACTATATGAAAATTCCTCGAGCCAGCTGACTTACACTATGGATAGTTTTTTAACAGTTATACAAAATCACCTTGAAACGGCAAAATATTTATTTACTATATATGTGTTTCCAGGGGAAAAGCCTGTTACAAAGTCTGTGTCTAAAAAAGAGTAAACTCGCTCCTTGTCGGACCAAACTGAATGTAATTAAGTTAACTACCTATGTACATTATTAGTGGAGTACTTGAATTAATATCAAATTGTAACCCGAGATGCTGGTGCCACACCTTATTACGTGACCACCCAGTGAGGGGTGAACACTCAAGGGGGCGTGATGTGATATACACCCTTGTGTTTGATTTGGTATACCAATTACGCCCGACCGACCATAAAAATGGTATATATAGATTTAACCCTAATCAGGTATCGTTTGATATCGTTAAATCTTCGAGAACGTTCTGTCAGACGAGTAAACGATAACTATTTAACAAGTCGGTAAATCACATCGAAAACCCAAGTTCTGGTCGCAGTGAGAAGCTCTGGATGCCTTCAGGAGGGTTCACCAGCTCTGCTTCAACAACGTTGACATGGGTAAGAAGCATTTTATTCTATTTTTGTACACCAAACACTTTTACAGATCTTACCAACGTCATCAACAGTCAAGGCAGACATCTTTCTTCAAGAAATCTGCCCAAAAGGAAAAACACTGAAATTGGTAAGTAATGTTTATGTGCAATGTCGTTAAATATAGTTCATTTATTGCATCGGCACTATTAGGTTGAGCTACGAACGCGAAAATAAACTGGTAAGGCGAATGTAGGGGTGAGGTCTTGCGTTGCGCTGGGTTTTTTTACCACCACCGACTGTGTTGCCAATTTAAATTTCGTTTCGGAATCTAAGCACGGTGCATGTTTTTTTTATCAAAATTTCAACATGAGCTAGGAAAGGAAGTTCGGAAGAGTCAGGGCTCTGCGAACGTACGCAGATTGTGTAGCCTTTATATATATGGCTTCGCGTGGCATTATTTTGGTGTTAATTGCTAGGGTTCGAGTTGGTGGGTGGCTCGGTGTACTCTGTGGTGCTAACAGTAGGCGTAGGGCTATAGACTACTAGGCAAGTTTACGAGATATTGCGCATGCGTGTGACGTCACTGCCCGCTCTCCCATTCATCTTTTCTTGAAACCACACCCGCAATTGTTTATGTCAACATGACCGACCAATGGGATTAACTGGATCAACGCTTGAAAAGGTAAGAATTTATGGCTAACCCTTGCCCAAAGCCAGCTGACCTTAATGACCGAAAAGGGGTTTTGGATCATAAAGACGTGTAAGTTTCCCTAAGACCGAAAAACGGGTGTTGGATCGTAAAGTTGTGTAAGTTTCCCTAAGACCTAGAACGGGTGTTTGATCGTAAAGATGTGTAAGTTTCCCTAAGACCGAAAACGGGTGTTTGATTGTAAAGATGTGTAAGTTTCCCTAAGTCCGAAAACGGGTGTTGGTTCGTGAAGCGAGAGTCACCAGAGCGTGAGACACGGTAACGGTATAACGAGACAGCGGTGGCGCTATAGCGCGGTAATTGAGCGGATGGTAGAGCTCGGGCTGCGCCCGGTAAACTGCATTGTTGAATTTTCTTCGTGAAATTCTGAAAGCCCAGGAATATTGCAAAATCTATATTAATAATTGCTGTTTCCAACTGGATACATATAAAGGTGATCTTCAAAATGGAACCGAATTTAGCATGAAAACAATATTGATAAAAGTAAGGGTTTGGCAAGGAGTATTATGGATAAGACCTTGAATAACGTATCGATACCAACCATATACATACACTACCAGGCATTGTTGGTATATGTATCCAGTTGGAAACAGCAATTATTAATATAGATTCTATGCACAAGCCAAAAGTTGAATGTTGTGATTACGACAGGTTGGGAGTGTCAGATCATAAGTACCTGGTAACTGTTTTGGGGACAAAGTGTCTAAAACATAATTTAGGATTTATTCATATTCAATGCATCTATTCTCAAATCTCACAAATTATCATCCTTGGTACATACCTTTTCAAACAAAATTTTGTGAAACAGGAATAATCTTGTGAAAGTAATAAGATGTTACTGCTCCCTGAGGTAACAAGATTATCAAAAACATTGACAAGAATCATTCATCACCAGTCAGAATGTGGATAAGGATTAAGGTACTTTGACAGAATCATTCATTCATAAAATCGTGAATGTCATTACAAAGCACATCGATAACAGAATTGCGTTGCAAAAATTGTAGTTGTAATACAGATAGGATTAAGCACTATGAGCAACGATGAGACATTCAAATCCACACTTGTCTGTCTGTTTTTATAAAGGTTCACATTTTGCTGTTGTGTTTTAGTTCAGTTTTATATCCATTTTGATATGTACTTAGAGGTGACAAATATTAAGTAAGTGAAATAGCCACAAGTTTCAAAACATACTTTACATAACTTGTTTACTTCAATATAATATATTGTGCTTACATTGGTAATTCATGTTTTATATAAAAATACACATTAATACTTATTTCTACTTATGTCATAGAAAAGCAATAACTGTTGACATTGGTTTGGGGAAAATGAATGTAATTTAATAGCCAACTGGATACTTTTTACATTATTATTTTAATTGCCCATTCAATCAAAAACAACACACACTTGTGATTCCTATGTCAATTGTTCAATATCATTTAAAAATATACACTTGGAAATAAAAGTTGGAATAATTACGTCAGCTTGGAATAATTACATGAGATAATACTGTTTTAATATCTTAAAGGTTTCATTTTTTTTTATACAGCAACATGCGAGCTCGACGGTAACATTGATGCAATCATGTAATCTATAGGATCTATGGCTACATGTATCTGAGAGAACTTGATTAATCTTGACAAATATTGTATGACTTATTCATCATTCTTGTTGTGAATTTCAACCAGTTCCGAACACTACATCTGTGGCACTGACAATATGGCCCAAAACATACAGTTTATGTTAAGTGGGAAAGACATTGTCACAATACTTAATGATAGATTATCATTTTGAAAATACATGACACTGATCTTATTGCATCACAGTTTTGTGAATTAAGATGTTTGTTTATGAATGGTTTTTTGTATTGCATTATTCATCAAAATTTAAAAAATCAAGTTTTCATTGACTTGACATTTTCAGTATTAATGTTTTGACTACACTAGTGTCTTTAGACTTTAAATACATGTCATTCTCATCTTACTGTCACTCTGTCTAACTCTGTCTATTAATACCTATATATATGCAACCAAATTTATCCAGTATTTAATCAGGAGATCAAAATACTGTGTTTCAATGTTTCACTTCGTAACCTGTAAACTGCACTAAATTGAATTTGGAAAAGAAAATGTGAACAGATAACCGTGCTCCACATTAAAAACATGTTGTGTTGTGTCTATACTTGTGGTAAGAGGCGACTAAACAATAAGTTCACTGCTGCATCCCAGCAACAGTGTTTTTGGAAACTGCTCATTAATAAGCCTAATTGATTGAATAGATGAATTTTGGCAAAACTCACAGGCATTTCTGTCCGTATAATTGTTTTTTTTATGTGCATGCATGTGGTTGCATGTTTAGTTTGTCCATGTATTACTGCATTAAAGCCAATATGGTTGTTGTGTAGAAACCCTCATTGCTTTCTTCTTAAACCCTGAGTAGTTTGGTAGCCAAGTGGTGAAAGCGTTCACACATCTCGCCAAAGACCCGGTTTCGATTCCCCACATGGGCACAGTGTGTGAAGCCCTTTTTATTTGTTGCATTTCATGTCAAACAGAAAACAACGACTGCCATGTTATGAAAATAATGTATGCCATGAAGACAAAAAATTATAGAATCTGTCTTATTCCCACTCATAAATGCTGTTCATTTTGAGATATCATTCTTATTTTTCTGCAATCCCAAAACAAGTGTCAGTTTCACAAAACCCATGCTTGCCATAAAAGGCGACTTTGCTTGTCTTAAGAGGCGACTAACGGGATCGGGTGGTCAGACTCACTGACTTGCATTGATGCTCATGATATCAATCTCTGGAATATATGGTCCAGACTCGATTATTTACAGACCGCTGTCATATAGGTGAAATATTGCTGAGTGGGGCACTAAACAACAAACCAAACCAAAACATATATTACTGTCTACATATCCTACTGGTAGGGAGTTATGTAGATTCTTATTTAGAAACCATTGGAGCTTAGTATCCACAATGCACATATATAGGTTACGTTATTGTAGTTTGTCCAGTATTATTAGTAAAGGATGTAATGGGATCATGCCATGTATGTCAAGACATTTCTTTGTACATTATATTTTGTAACACAAGTTTGTCTTCTTGTAAGTCATCTACATAACACATACCTTTTCTATACCAATCTTTCATAAAATCTACCTTTTCTATTAATCTGAATTGTTTACTTTTAACCAAACTATTTCTGGTGTTCCCTGTCATGATATAGCAGGAATATTGCTAAAGTGGTGTAAAAACATCATCACTCACCCACTCTTTAATCTCATTTGGACTGTAGTGTTTCAATGTGATTTTGTCTATTGATACAATGGTT